GCGGAGCTGTTGTAGACACTACATTTTTGACAAATTAGCAACCGGGCACACTGGACGGTGAGTTGCAGCCTTACCCGTAAACGACGAGCTTGCCGCCACGGCGGACGTAGTTGATGGCATCCTCGAGAATCTTCACGGAACCGGTAGCCTCGACTACGACGTCGAAGCCGTAGGGGTGGTCCTTCTGAAGCTGGGTGAACTGAACCTGGGGGTCGGAGCGGGACAGTTCAACGTAGTTGTCGGCGGCATCCAAGCTGCGAGCGAGGTCCATCTTCAGACCTTGAGGAGCCGCGATGGTGACATTGCAACCACCGTTGTGGCGCATGAGTTGAGCGAGCATCTACATTGGAAGTACACCGGTCAGTCATTGGTGCACGGGGTGCCGTTTTCCGGCCGAGGTGGGACTCACGAGGCCGGTGGGGCCGGCGCCGAACATAAGGACGCTTGATCCGAGGCGGGGCCGGATCTTGTCCAAGCCGTGGCAGGCGCAGGAGGCGGGCTCGAGAAGAGTGGCGTCGACGTCGTTAAGGTTGTGGATCTTGAAGACCTTGCCGGCAGGGTACGCGCAGTATTCGGCGAAACCACCGTTCATGGTGACACCGTGGGCCTCGAACTGCAAAAGAAAAAAGTGTTATTTTATCATCCGTCCGTGTAAGTGGTGAAGTGGGGCCGGGCATACGTGCTCGCAGAGCAAAAGCTCTCCACGTCGGCAGTAGAAGCACTCATTGCAGAGCTCACTGTTATCGGCAGCAACACGGTCGCCGACCTTGAAGTCCTTGACTTTCTGTATCTTCTCGTCAGCAGCCATGTCGTCAGATGTTGTCAACAATGGGTTTGCTTACAGGTCCGACAGCGGCAACGACACCAACAGTTTCATGGCCAGGGATCAGGGGGAACTTTGCAATGAACTCTCCCTCGTGAATGTGCTATCAACAATGTCAGTTATACCACTAGAGGCATGACTGGAGGTCGCGAGGCTTCGGAGGTTTTACCAAGTCTGTGGCCTTCGTGTTAGTCGTACAGATCAAAGCAAAAGATCGTCCCAGCTTGCACAGCGTATGCAGTGGTACACAAGAGAGAGTGTGATTTACTTACCAGTGCCACAAACACCGCAAGCTCTCACTTTGACCAGAACGTCGTTCTCCCGAAGCTCAGGGAGAGGAACCTGGACAATTGACCAATCCTCGGGCTTCTCGTACCTAAATGAGGGGTCAGCTTAGCGCCGATAGAGGGGTAGATGATCCAGCGACCAAAGTCGCGTGAACTGCCACGCTGACCCGACGAACACTCATGGTCGGCAGAGAGGAGCCATACCGAAGAGCCTTCATCTGCTTGGGAAGGTTCGACATATTGAAAGATTTTCGACCTGTATTCTGCAGGGTGGTAGGTGTGCTGTCGTAGGTTGATGCTCAGTTAGCGAATGTCCTCAGTGCAAGTGAAGCTCAGCCCATTTCAAAGCGAAACAAGCAACCATGGAAGCAGACAACGTAAACTGGGGGGGACTCACTGAATGGCAAACAGAGTGAGGGGAAGCTTGATTTGTTGTCTCTACGGCAAGCTTTGAGAGGTGGAAATGGGAGCTATATATGTGGCCTTCTTTGAGCAGCGCGGGGAATGGGCGCATCTTGGGACGGAGATGGGACCAGGGTCCAAGGCGTTGTTGGCTGGCGTGTCTAAGGTCAGGGTACCTACATCTAAACCCTCCCTTGGACTTGCATTGTACGGTCAAATCGGCGAGGTTCGATGGCTACACCGAGTGCATGTACCTCTTCATTCGTGCGGTGCTATCCGGCATGTTGGCGTAGGTAGCTGCATCCCGCGTCCGCAGACGTATCCTCGACCATATCGACGCGCCACTCGGCCAACAAATGATGGTACATACACGAGACGGCATGCCACGCCTCTAGCAAGGCCCCGGCCTGGTCTGGCCAAACATTGATCGGTGAGGGTGAAAAGCACCTGAGAAAGAACGGAGCTGTTGGCAGACCACAGAGCTGAGCAAAGTCTAAACCCCCTGTCCGTCCAAAAATTGCCCCGCCCCCAGACTTTCAGCGGAGTTATTGCTGCAAACCTGGCGTCATCACGCAGGGCAGGGCTGCCACCAGCACCAGACTTCCAAGCCCGGGAAAGTCGGGAGGTAATGGCTTTGGGAGCAATCGAAAAGCAGAGAGAATAATCAAAGTGTGAGGGGCAAGGCCGTGGCAACGCATCCACGGATGAGCTTCCCACAACCTCCAGGAAGTCCAGCTCTCTAGCTCTTCCCATTGTATGGGGTCAAGACACTCTCATCGAGCCACTCAGAGACGCGAGAGCTAGCGAGGTGCATCCGAATTGGAGAGTGGGGAGCGTGCAAGAAGTGCTGGTCTCGAATTGTAAGTGTGTGAACCAGACAGTGACAACACCACTTCCACCATCAACAACACCATCTCTGCTTTTCCTTCCCGCCAGGTGGTCCACTTCCGCCGCAGTGCTTATCTCGCACATCCGGCACCCTTCCCCTGGTACACTACCTCAACAAAACACTCCCAGAGCCGGGCCAAGGAGAGAAGGAGAATGGTGACACCCCATGGCACATGACATGAACTTACAGTACCTAGTCTCCTCGTCTCGACCATGCCCGGCGCCCTGGCTCTTGCTGATATCCGCGCCCGCGATTCTCTCTCCACGCGCTATCCTTGGAGCGCCCCCCCTCGCCGGTTGTTCCCCGGTTTGCTGACTTTGTAGCGCCAGACCTTGGCGTGGAGACGCTGCCTCCACATGGAATCGACTTACGTACCGCGTTGGCACGAAGATAGTGGGATGGGTCGCGGAGTGCTCTGATAAGTTTCTGGATTTCTGTCACCCTGAGGTTGGGCTTGGTTTGCGTTTGGTGGCTCATAGCTTAATCTTGTCTCTGACTATTGTTCTGTACGACAAGGTGCTGGGCATGAAGGAATGCTCGTCTGTGCTGGCGCGGCTAGAGAAGAATCGAAGCTTGCTTTGCAGCTCCCTGGATTAGGTAGTAGATGTTCTGCCGCTGGTAGTGTGGTGAAGCTGTGTGTAAGTTGACGTCGGGTTGAGTTGTACAAGGCGTCGATTGGGTGAGGTGACTTTCATGGCAAGTACCCGTCCCCAAGACCTCGTCTTGCCTTCTCATCCCACGGCTCAGGGATATCGAGGTAACCGCGTCCGGAAGCTGGCACAGGTGCAGGTGGGAGGAGGCCAGGTACGTAGGAGTGAGGGGGAGGGGGGATGAACCCTACCCTCTTACTGAACGAGGTGCAAGGAATGGCACCCAAGGCACGGCAGGACGTTGAGGAAGGCGTCCTGTTCTCTTCTGAGCCAATGCAGCACATCTCACTTGCTGAGACAAAGGCACACAGCCAGATAGCATTTACAAAAGTGTGGAGAGGGTGCTTGAGTTCCGACCTTGCGCGGGGGCACAATTGAGACTCTCGCCCATTCGGCGTCCAGAAACCTGGCAGTCATGAGATTTACGCAGTCACCGCCATTTCCCCATGGCAATACCAAGTTACTAACCCGCCTCGGGATTCCTCCAGCTGGCCATCCCGTTCAACTTTCGAGGCTATCACGCATATTCGCTAAGGCAAGGGAACATCGCGCATTGCTTCTTTGCACAGAGGGGGCGGCGGCGCTACACACAAAATGCACTCATGTCTGGAACCATACGTTATTCGTGCAAAGCCTGCTGAAGCTATCCTACGTGCGTCGGCGCTTACCCCAGGCTCTCAACATTCCTTCATAGACGGACCCCTTTCTTGTCCATCCTCGACTTGAGAAACGCTTTGCGCATTGTCCTCGTTTCTTTTTCTCGTCTTTGCCTGGCCTCGACATGCAGAAGGGGTCTTGAACGTGGCCTCTCGCAACTTCAGCACCACCCCACGTGCTAGCCGGCAGACACTGCTTGCTCATCACAGCGTGGTAAGGACAAAAAGACGTTTCACAGTTTGGAGGAAGCGGCACAAGCCGCAGGCTGCAATTCATGACCTTTTGATGCAAACGATTTCCGAGGATCTAACCTCCAAACTCCCACGATGTTTCCCCCGTTGTCTGTGACGTTAACAGACGCGCGACTGTTCCGGCCATCCACTTTTTAGAGTACATGTCGGTGCCTTTTTGTTTCTGCTAATGCGTCTCGAGAGTAAAAGCCGATAGGAAAGAATCCTCTTACGAGGGGGGAGCGGCGCCACGGCCACGGCCAAAGCCACCACGGCTATAAAATGTGTTAGCAAGAAAGACGTTCCAGCCCTTACTATGCGCCGTATCGACATGGCGCAAAGCGTTCGAGGGATTGAGGCTCACAATTGGGGCTCGAATCCACCAGGGGCACCACCCTCCTTGCCGCCCTCGCCAGCATCACGGCGGCGGTAGCCACCCTCACGGTCACCACGGTCACCTCCACGGCCACGGCCGCCGAAGGGTCTTCTCTCGCGCTCGCCCTCGCCGAGCATGCCGCGGGGAGGAGCGTGGGAGCGCTGCTGCTTGATGTGGGTGGCGGGGACAATCTCGGCGGGAAGGTGAAGCCACTCGCGGAGGTAGTCGAGACCCTCGGGGGTCAGGGTGTAGTAGTAGTACTGCCACGAGAACTGGGTCTTGACATAGCCGCGGGAGGTGAGCGACTGGCAGGCCTTGACGACGAACAGGTTCTTGGTGTCGATGTCGGGGTGCTTGGGGAGGTTGAAGTCCTTCTTCGCGACGAGGACACCCTCACGGAAGAGGTACTGTAATTTTCGTCGTCAGCAATCGCTATCCTCCCAATTTTTCAGCACGTCTGAAAATTGTAAATCTAACCTCGTGGATCTTCTTGCGGTCGGCCTTGGGGATCAACATCGTGGCGGTTGTCGTGGTCGCTGCTGGTCGATGAGTGGGATGTCTGATCGAGCGCTGTCGAGAACTAACAAAAAGTTTCGAAATTCGTCGTGGGAAGGTAGAATAGCCTAGTGGGCGTCAACCCTACGCGGAACGGACGAAGTGTGGGGCGCTCTGAAGGCACGCAGATTGGTCACGTGTAGATAACGCCTATTGATAACTGGATGCATCCCCAAGGTCCGCCACACTTCCTCAAGGCTCTGCGCCTCACTCGTTTGCTAGGTATCGGCGATAAGCCGGGCCCATGTCATAATCATCCTTGTATCCAAACACTGAACATTTGCCTGCCACTTCACGTCCTCGTTCCGCCTGGAGACCGTCGCCCAGACATCGATTAACTATTGCGTCGGCGCAAATCGACAAATCAACTACTTCGACCACGGAAACAAGGCATTCTGAACTCGCAAAATGGCTGTCAAGAACGTCAACGTATTCGTCAGTACCTTTGCTGGATTGGGCCTGCCATCGACACTGGTATTGCCCGTTCCCTCGACGACGACCCTATGCGACCTGCGACAACAGCTTGACGAGCGACTGCCCGCCACAGATAACCGCCTTATCCTAACGACCATTTCCAACAAAGAACTGTCAACGTCATCCTCCAAGCCAGTATCAGATCTTCTGTCGTCTATCGACGATGACTTTGTTTCTCTGCGGCTCTCAGTACCGCTTTGCGGTGGCAAGGGTGGTTTCGGATCCCAGCTTCGAGCCGCTGGCGGTCGCATGTCCTCAAAGAAGAAGCGCAACCAAGGAGATGCCAACAACTCGAGCCGAAACCTTGACGGCAGACGTTTGCGGACCGTCACCGAGGCCAAGGCTCTGGCTGAGTACCTCGCCATCAAGCCAGAGATGGAGAAGAAGGAAAAGGAGAAGCGTCGTGAAAGATGGGAGCAGATCGTCGAGCTTGCAGAGAAGCGCGAGGATGAGATCAAGAACGGCAGCAAAGGTCGCCTCGACGGAAAGTGGGTTGAGGACAAGGAAGAGTCCAACGAGAGAACCCGCGAAGCGGTACTTGCTGCCATGAAAGCCGGAAAGTACAAGGACAACCTCCTTGGTACGTCGCAAGGATCGACAGGATCAGAGGAGACGGACGAGGAGATGAGTGAGGATGAGGAGGAGGAAGGCGGCAGCTCGAAGGAGTCAACCCCGCCGTCGGAACCGGCCAAGGCGCCCAAGGATAAGCCAAGGACGTTCTTTGGATTCGACGAGGACGATGAGTTTATGAGTTCTGACGAGGATGAAGTTAAAGGCAAGAAGAAGTGAGTCGACGAATCGCTTCCCCTCTCACAACCTCTTCACTGCTTTACTTCAAATATCTTCATCACACGGCTTGGCTTGCGTAAGGAGTTCAACGACAAATGGGAGCGCACGGAGTTTCTGGTCAGCCGGGTCAAGGGAACGGTATCAAGGTCCAAGGTTTTGTACAAATGATCAAACGGGCGGACACTACAGATAGTTTTCACGAAATCAAATTCGGCGCCCTGGAGCGTCATCAGCTTCGTCGCACGACACATCCCCCCATGCTCTATTTGAGGTCTCGATCCATCTCGAAGTAATACAGTCGCCCGGCTCCTCCGTCTAACCTGCTCACAACAGAGTCCAAATTCGCTTATGCGTCGAGCTTGACGGGGAAGTTGCCGGCCTCTGTTATGTGTCAGTATGCGTGCTTTTGATATACGAACGGAGTGCTGACCTCTCTGCTCGTCCCAGCGGGTGTACCAGCCAGAGGGGCACAGAGAGCGGTAGCCGAGCCAGAACTGCGACAGATTAGTTTTCTGTATTCTTTCAACAAAACTCGCGGACGGTCCGGACCTGGCGGCAAGGGGCGAAGTCCTCGCCCTTGGCGTTGATGCACTTGTGGTAATCGACGTAGTTCTGCCAGCAGTGCTTGGTCTGGTTCATGTTCGGGTAGCGGGCATCGGTGCCTGTCCAAGTTCATGTTAGATTCACGTCGCTCATCATTCCCGCTCTCAATTGAGGTGACGCTATCGCGGGTTTCGGTGGTTCGGGCGGAGGGTTCATACCGGCTATAGTGCTCATCAGTTAGCCTCGGAAAAAAGATCAGACCATAATTTGGAGAGGGATATTTCTTCAGCGTACCGGTAACGAACTTGAAGGGCTTGGTAACGAGCTCCTGATCGTCGGACATTTTGGCGGCTTGCGAGTTCAATTGACTGGGAGTCGGATCTGGTGATGGGGTCGAGTGGGCAGCGGCGTGCGATCGGTGTTGATGCTTTGAGAGCAATTGAATGGTCGTTTCTGCACCGAGAATCAGGTGGTGACGGGCGAGAACGGGTGGATGCCTGAAGATGGCCAATCGGGCCTCAGGCATTAGAAAGGTGGGTCGAGCTCCAGTCCAACATCAGACCAGACCGATGGAAGTCCAGTCCAACTTCTAAACACTCATTTTGAGATCCAATCCCGATCAACTACGCTCCCTCCCGCCGTACCGACAGGACCGAAAATCTCCCCTCTTCAAACAAAAAACGAAATCGCCAAAATGCGTCCTACTCTCGGTCTCCGCGCTTTCCGCCCGACTCTGCGCAAGATGTCCCCCGTTCCCGTACGTTGAAATTTCGCCGGCCCGGATAAGCTCAATCGCTAATTCTTATGTCTCCCCTTAGGCCGAGGACCAAGTCGGTACGTCGACATCCACCCCCAGCCATTGAAGGCTCCCACGATACCCGATATACATCTCGACGACAGACTGTGGTGTTGCGAAATGAATAGCAGGGGCTGACAAAGTCGATCCTAGGCCACACCGTCTCCCAGAGACTGCGCAAGCTCCGCCAGATCCCCCCCGAATTGATCCCCCTCGGTACGTCATTGGACATTCAAGGTTACGTCAAATTGTTGTTGACGATATATAGGTGTCGTCGTTGGCTTCGCTCTGGCCGCTGCCACCTACTCCGTCGGACGCCACTTCATGACCGACAAGACCATCCGTCTCAAGCGCCAGGGCAAGTCTGCCGCCGACGCCGGCCACGGAGAGGAGCACCACTAAGCGAAGGTTATGAGGACGACGGGAGAACGTTTGACCATGGCGCTCATGTGTTATTAGGGAGGATCAGTTTGTATAAGTCTACGACAAAGACAGATCAAAAGGCACCAGAGACGCTGCTTTCATTTCCTTTCTCATTGTGCTTCTCCGCCTCGAGTATTAGAGAAAAGCCGTGCCCCTTTAATATCTCAGTAAAACCATGTGAACGCCGTCGCTATGTAATTCGAATGAGGCATTGGTCGCCTACGTTCACACAACATCTTCACTCTGGTCGTGGTCCCGCAACGTCGAGCCCCTCCAAACCTTGCATGGGATCATCCCCACGCATTTCAATCTGCGTCGTACCCTGATCTGTTGCCAATCCATCCTCCTCACCAACAGCATGCTCTGCCAGCCATCCCTCCTATGATGAACGTCAGTAAGTTATTCCAAGGCTTGATAAGCCAGAGTGAGCGAGGAGAGAAGCGTTGAACCAGAGTGGTGGGAATAGTGCTTAGCAAAGAAGAGGAGAAGGAGTAAGTAGAACAGTGAATGTATCATGTAGATGAGACGCAACTGTGAGAAGTGACTAACTTGTTCCCATACAGCCTTCTTGCTGCCCAGGCCTTCTTCTGCGCTCTTGGGGACTTTGGCGGCTGACACCTTGATGACTCGTCCGAAGAATTCCGACTGATCCATGTTGTCAATGGCTTCTTTCGCATCCTCCGTGTCTTCATACTCAACATAGGCGAAGCCACGGTGAGGGTCCGTTGAGTTTGGCTTGTCGTTCTTGGGTAGCGATACGTCGGCGATTTCTCCAAAGGGGATGAACGCATCGTGAACGTTGGCGGCCGTCACTATCGAGGCCAGACCGCCCACGAAGACCGTCGACTTCCAGCGCGCTGCATCCGTCATATTGACTGGTAATGTGATTGTTTGGCGGTTATTGAACTCGTTTAATTCTGCTCAACAGTGCCTTGTGAAAATGAGCGCGGTTGGGTGACAGTTGAGTGAATCTTTCAGATAGTAAGTGGAGTTTCTGCGCAAGAGCTGTTGTAAGTCTCTATTGGCTGAGATGGATTTTAGCTACCTGGAGCTGTGCCGTGGTTCTTTAGGTGTCCTAGCTTGCAGTTACGTAAGCCATATAGAGCAACATTTGCTCACTGCTTCCCCTCCACTCACAGTCCATTCTCAACATTGAATTTGGGACTCATCTTCTGCCAGGTATCCCTGTTTCCATATCATAGTTGTTCTAGCTTGATTCTACAGTTATTTACATTCAAATCTTGAATCAGGCGGTGGTAGGCTTCTGGCGAAAAAGAACGCATGGTAAAAAGCGACCGCTTATGTAATGGGTTCCATGTCTTGCGCTTGCTCTCCGCATCCAATTCTCCTGTCGTAATGACGATGCACGTGACGCCACTTTTCCTGCTTAAGCCAGTTGAGAGGTGCACGGTCCAGTGCTAGGGGGCCATGGATGGCTGCGATTTAAGCCTTGGGGAGCTTGGGATGGGGCTGCAATCTGGCATCATATTTCCCTAAGGGCCAGCGTGCACTGTGACACTACCGCTTCAACGACTAATAGCCACCTCTCCCATAAGGCTTGGTTTTACTTTTCCCAACTCCAGAGAATCTCGGCCCTCCTCGCCAGTTCTTCTTGTCACTGACACGTCAACCAATGCCAATTGGCAGCTAGATTTGTCTTTCTTAGACTGGCAGACTTTCCTTATAGCAACGTCTCCCCCCTCCCTCCGAGTGCAGTCCTGGGGACTGAGTGATTCTCGCAATCATGGTTCGCCTTCGCGAGATCCCAAGGACCGCGGCTTTCGCCTGGTCCCCCGACCCGTCGAAGCCTCTTTTGATCACCGGCACTAGAGCTGGAGCTGTCGATGCCGACTTCTCGGATGAGACCAAGCTGGAGCTGTGGGACCTCAACCTTGACAACCAAGACCAAGGCCTCGAGCTGCAGCCCATAGCTAGCATCAGCACCGACTCGAGGTAGGCTCTCCTGCCACACTACCAATCAAACATCTTGGCTCACGACACTTAGATTCTATGACCTCGCATGGGGACCGGCCGATTCCGAACACCCGAGGGGCATCATCGCAGGTGCCCTGGAAAATGGCTCTCTCGACTTGTGGGATGCCGAGAAGCTCATCGACGGAGCCGAGGATGCCTTCATGTCCCGCACAACGAAGCACACCGGTGCGATCAAGTCCCTCCAGTTCAACTCCCTTCGACCGAATATTCTTGCGACCGCCGGCGCAAAGGGAGAATTGTTCGTTTACGACATCAACGACGTGGAGAACCCATTCCGACTGGGAACCGCCGCTGCTCGCGCTGACGACCTCGAAGTTGTCGCATGGAACCGCAAGGTTGCGCACATTCTCGCTACCGGAGGTTCTGGCGGTTTTGTCACTGTCTGGGATTTGAAGACCAAGAAGGCCTCTTTGACCCTGAACAACAACAGAAAGCCCGTCAGCGCCATTGCGTGGGATCCCAACAACTCGACGAAGCTCTTGACCGCCACTCACGACGACACCGCTCCCGTCATCTTCCTTTGGGATCTCAGAAATGCCAATGCGCCCGAGAGGACGCTTCAGGGACATGAGCAGGGTATCCTTTCCCTGTCTTGGTGCCAGCAGGACAGTGATTTGCTACTCTCTTGCGGCAAAGACAACAGAACTCTGGTGTGGAACCCCCAAACGGGAGAGAGACTGGGAGAGTTCCCTGAGGTTACAAACTGGACCTTCCTCACTCGATTCAACCCCTCCAACCCCAACCTTTCCGCTACTGCTGGGTTTGACGGCAAAATCACCGTCCAGACTCTCCAGAACACCAACCCTACGAACACGCAGGCCGCTACCAACAACAACCTCGATGGTGAAGACTTCTTTACCAGTGCCCAGACGCAGCCTCAGGGAGCGTCATTCTCCTTGAGCCAAGCTCCCAAGTGGTTCGAGCGTCCCGTCGGAGCCACCTTTGGCTTTGGTGGAAAACTCGTCATCTTCAAGCAAAATGCCCAGCAAAAGTCCACCAAGATCTCCATCTCCCAGTTCTCTGTTGACTCGTCCATCGGTACCTCCACGGAAAAGTTCGAGGAGTCTCTGCAGTCAGGCGACATAGTCGGTCTGTGCGAGTCCCGTAAGGAACAGGCTAAGACCGAGGAGGAGAAGGCGGACTGGCTTGTCATGGAAACCCTTACTGGCGAGAACCCGCGCAAGCGCATTGTTGAGTACCTTGGATTCAACGAGGAAGAGATCACCAACGGAGTATCAAGCAAAGAAGAGGCGAAGCCCGAGGATGTCGCGGCGGACAAGGAGGAGGAGGACACGAAGGAGGCAGAGAATTCCGACAACATTTGGGGCGAGGCCGACGGAGAAGGAGAGGAAGATTTCTTGTCGAACCTCTCTGCAACCAAGGGCGCCAAGACGGACAGTCCTTTCCACCTGCTGGCTGATACGGATACCACAGTGGAGAAGTCCATCACCAAGGCTTTGATGCTTGGAAACTTTGCAAAGGCCACTGAGATCTCTCTCAAGGAACAGCGTTGGGCAGATGCTTTCCTCATTGCCAACTGCGGTGGACAGGAGCTGGTGGACAAGGTGCAGACTGCCTACCTTGCCAGCAAGGACGGTGTCCCAAGCTATGTCCGCTTGCTCGGATCGGTCATTGCCAAGAACCTGTGGGATGTTGTTTACAACGCCGACCTCGAGAACTGGAAGGAGTCAATGGCCATCCTTTGCACGTTCTCTGACCCCAAGGAGTTCCCTGATCTCTGCGAGGCCCTTGGAGACCGGATCCTCGAGAACGGCTCCCGCAAGGATGCTTCTTTCTGTTTCCTCGTTGGGTCAAAGCTTGAGAAGGTTGTCTCCATCTGGATTACAGAGCTTGAGGAGGCCGAGCAGGCTGGCATGCAGGAGCCTAGCGACGATTCGACGTTCTCTGTGCACGCTCGATCGCTTCAGCATTTCATCGAGAAGGTGACTATCTTCCGTCAAGTCACCAAGTTCCAGGACTCTGGAAAGGAGCAGTCCGCCGACTGGAAGCTGTCAGCTTTGTACGAGAAGTACACCGAGTATGCCGAGATTATTGCCGCTCACGGTCAACTTGCGGTTGCCCAGAAATACCTGGACTTGCTGCCCAAGGAGTACCCTGAGGCGCAGCTGGCGAGGGAGCGCTTGGCACGGGCTACAGGCAAGGCGGCCGTCTCGCAGGTCGCACCGAAGGCGTCGCCTGCTGCTGGACGTCGTCCGGGACAGCCCCCTGCGCCGGTCAACCCCCGGGCCACCCCCGGCTACCAGCCCTATCAGCCCGCAGCTCCTGCCCCGACTCCTGTCGGCGCTAGCCCGTACGCGCCAACGGGACCGGCTCTTGTTGCAGCAACTGGACCGGCAGCTGCGTCCAACCCGTATGCCCCGGCTGCCCCGGCGATTGGTGGCTACACACCTGCCGGCCAGTCACCTTACGCCCCAAGCCAAGGCTACCAGCCTCCTGTCGCCCAGCCGCCCTACCAAACACCATCGGGCTATGGACCGCCTCCCTCAAACTTCGGCTCCGTGCCGCCGCCGCCGCGGAACTCCACGCCTACTACGTCCTTCCGCCCCAAGGAGAGTTGGAACGATGTGCCTTTGGTTGCCAAGGCACCTCCTCCAAGGAAGACCACTCCTAGTGTCTCTGCGATCTCTTCGCCGTTCTCTCAGCAGCCTAATCAGCCGGGTCCCCCGCCTCAGAGCCCGTACGGACGCAGTGGTTCAACGCCTCCTCCTCCTCCGCCCAAGGGCCCAGCCCCGCCTCGTGTCACGTCTCCTTTGGCCGGACCTCCCCAGACTTTCCAAGCCCCGCCTAGGCCAACATCATCGGCGTCGAACGCATACGCTCCTCCGCCCCCTCAGCCCGGCGCGATGCCTTCGTCCATGCCACCACCATCCATGCCTCGCACTGCGTCTCCATACAATCCTCCTCCATCTGGCCCTGCTCCTTCTAACCGCTACGCACCCGCTCCCTCGGCCCAGCCGCAAGTAAGCCAACCACCCATGGGGTCCTCTATGCCGCCTCCCGGAAGCCAGCCTCCCCCGAGAAACCCCTATGCGCCGCCGCCCCAATCGACGGGCACACCGCAGAACCAGTACGCGCCTTCACCGTACGGAGCCCCGCCTGCCGCAGCCTCGAGGCCGCCTACTGGTCCTCCTCCCTTCGGGGGGCCGCCGCCTGCTGCCAGAGCTCAACCGACCCCTCCCCCGAAGGCGGCTGCTCCGCCCAAGGCCAGACACCCCGCTGGTGACCGATCGCACATCCCAGCTCACGCCCAGCGACTGGTTGATGTTCTCAGCTCAGATATGCAGCGTGTAGCTTCTCGAGCGCCTTCATCCTTTGCCGCGCAAGTCAAGGATACCCAAAAGCGCCTCAATCTACTGTTTGATCACCTGAACAACGAGGAGCTGGTTAAGCCCGACACCATTGATCAACTTTGTGCCTTGGGCGAGTCCATTGAGCAGAAGAATTATGAGGTTGCGCACAAGATCCAAGTTGAGATCCAGCGGGACAAGACTGATGAATGTGGTAACTGGATGGTAAGTTCGCTGCTTTGACACTTAACTCAATACGTACTAACATCTTACTCCAGGTCGGTGTGAAGCGTTTAATCAGCATGAGCAAGGCCACTCCATGAGTGCTTTCTAGAAGTTAAGGGGATGGGATGTCATGGGGCATGAGACGTTGATGATAGCCAACTGCGCTTTTACGTATACATTAGAGCTTAAATCGAATGTTGACACTGTGATTGAATGTCTGCAATGCTGTCGTAGTATGGATGCTCAGATGATTCAGACTCGCGACAGTCAGGGAAAATGAAAGGCGACATCTCGACTCAAAGAGTGAAAGACTCTCCAATGGGACGACTTAAACGCTGAAATGACTGGGGTTTCAAATTTTGAAGCAACTAAGATTGTTCGCTGCGTAGTGAGCAACTGCGTACGATTTTCCACGTCAACAACTTTTTTGTTCGCAGAACGTTCTTCAGTGAGGTGGCTTGGCGGCTAGAGCTCCCTGAGCTGGCCCCTTCCAAGATAAGATAAGCGCGGGCGGGTTAAAGCCAACATCATCCACAAAACGTCACACCTCGACAACCTGTCACCCCACAGCCAACAAACCAAACCACCCAAGATGACGGAGTCAACGTCAGAGGATGCCGCAGCTCAGCGCGCAGCCGAACAGATCCGTCTGCGCAAGGCGAAACGCGAGGCAAAAATTCGTGCCGGCGGTACCGCGAGACTCAATAAGATTACTGGTCTTGGTGGAGGATTCCAGCGAGGTACGACAACCCAACCCTTCTCTCAAGCTTGCGCAAGTGCAGACGACGATTTTGAGCTTCACGAATGCTAATTCTCGTCTTCGTCCAGATGAGCCCGTATCGACACCTCCCTCAGCATCATCGTCCCCAGCTCCTGCCACGTCGGGTCTGCCGAAGCCCAACGTGAGCGCCGTCCATGCAGACCCCGAGGAAATCGATATTTCCCAGCACTACTACGAACCAGCCTCGACACCCCGTCCCTCTGCTGCTGGACCACCCTTCGATCCGAACTCCATGAACGAGGACCAGCTTCGACAAATGATGCTCGGCTTCGAGGGCCCTGGTGCGGGCGGAGCCCCGCCCAACCCTTTTGCGGGTCCTGGTATGGGAGGAGGCATGCCCGGCGGCGAAGACGATCCCTTGATGAAGATGCTCTCCCAGATGATGGCCGGTGGCGGCGGTCCCGGCGGAATGCCAGGCTTCCCTGGCGCCAGTGGTGCGCAGGGTGGTTTCCCTGCGGGATTCCCTGGGATGCCTGGCATGCCCGGTATGCCTGGTATGCAAACGCCCGAACAAGCCAAGGCCGCTTCGTCCGCCTACCTCTGGCGCATCGTCCACGCCGTCTTTGCAATCTCTCTTGGTCTCTACATCGCCCTCACGACGACCTTCTCCGGCAGTAAGCTCGAGCGTGAGCGCACGGCGCTGTCTTACAACTACCCCACGGGCAGCGATGAGGCGGTCGCGGACGTGAACAGTATGGAGAAGGGCCGCGAAATCTTCTTCTGGATCTTCGCGACGACCGAAGCTGTGTTGCTTACGACAAGGTTCTTCATTGAGCGTGGACGGGCGCCTCCGCCAGGCATGTTGTGGACTGTTGTGGGATTCTTGCCTGGGTCGATCAAGACTTACGCCGAGACTGCGTTGCGGTACGGACAGATCTTCTTGACGGTGAGGAGCGATATCCTCGTCTGTGTGTTCGTCTTGGGTCTTGCTTCGTTGATTCGCGGATGAAGTCACCGGTTGGGATGATCGACTGGTTGGGGGCAAGTTCTAGGTAGAGGGCACTTCAGTCAAAGTCGGGTTCGAGCAGCCTCCCGGCATATTGGTCGACACGCTACTTCTACCTGGAGTGTAATCCTTCATCTATTAAGAAAGAAATTCAGAAGTCCAAAGCGCTCTTGTGAAAAGTGATGTGTGGAAATCCCGTGTGATTGTGTTCGACCCCATACAATGTGCCAGTTACAGTTGTTTGATCCCAGCATTGCCATTCCTAGCATTGTCATTGAAGTCATATTCCACTTAGTATATTACCTGGCTAACGATATCATGCTACTAGTATGAATTTCAATACTGGTAGTTGCGGACACGGAGGCGGAGGCGGTCCCGGATAACACCAACATTGCGCCTCGCCCGGACTTTTTCAACAGATCCACAAGGCGACGAGAAAGAAGTAGTAAGGGGATAGTGTTGATTCTTGGCGCGAAGGCTATATGCCCTGGCCGCCCACTTCCTCGCACTCAAGTGCCGTGTCCGTTTGCTTGGCTACGTTACGAGATTTACAAATGTTAGTCCGCCCGGAGGCCGTCGTTAAATTCAAAATATCCCTGTTGTAGTCAGCATGGCTAGGATTGTTCCCCAGAACCGTTGCAGATCCAAAATTCTGTAGATTTTGTGATTAGAGGAGTTGTCCGAAGGCCACTGCGCAGTCGGTCATTTACAATCCGAAGACTCCAAGCGGGTGTAACATTTACCTTGCCTCCAGCGGAGTCTCTAACGGAGTCTATTTTGACGGAGAATAATGAAGATCCCGAGCAGCCTCATCTTTACCTTGGGAGAAGAGCATGCATCATATAAGATAGCTTCTTGCCTTTCCGGGAGATCTGATGTTTTTCCCTGACATGACCATATCCTCAAATCTGTGTAACTAGGGAACACTTTAACAAACGAAAAGAATATGGCAGGGCTTACAGCCATCGCCGCAGCCGTAGCGGCAGCCGCCCTCCTCCTCCGCTCCTTCTACCTATGGCTCATGCCCAAACCCATCCCAGGCCTCCCGCACAACCAGGACTCGGCGGGTCGTATCTCAGGCGACGTCCCTTACTTTGCGGAATACGACAAGGCGGCGCGCTTCCGGACTCGGTTCTTCTACGATCTGGTGGCCAAGCACAAGTCGGCCGTCGTGCAGGTTCTCCTGCCCTTCTCCAAGCCCCTCGTTATCGTCGCGGACTATCGCGAGTCGAGAGATCTCATGGCGAAGCGGAGCAAAGAGCTTAGTCGCGGGTACATGAATAATTTGGCGTGGCAGGGTTTCTTGTCGGAGCACTTTATTGCCATGGAAGATGCGCACCCTTCGTTTAAGAAGTCGAGGTTTCTTACCAAGGATTTGATGACGAATGGTTTTCTTCACTCTGTAAGATATTCCCCCTTCCTATCCCCTTCTTATCTCAATATGAATAAAAGAATACTAATGTCCTCCAGGTATCTGCCCCGGCATCTCATGTAGCAATCTCGGACTTCATCCGTCTATGGAAACGCAAGGCAGCTCTCGCACAGGGGCTGCCATTCGAGACCGTCGAGGACTTGGAGGGTCTCACCTACGACATCATGATGACTGCCGTCTTTGGAGTCGGGTACGAGGAGAGCACTACGACAAAATATTCCAAGCTCTTGGAGGACGTCAGCGAAGACAGCATCAACCTAGGCGGCTCGTCCGCACAGGTTGCCAACTTCCCGTCCCCCGAGACCCCGGCCTTGGTGAAAGCTCTCCACGTCCTCAACGTCTCCATCACGGCGGTCTTCGGCTCCGTATTCCCTAAGCTGTCCGTCTTCATCGAGAACCTGAAGCCCAAAGCACGCCAGGCTCTGAAGTTGAAGAAGGACGCAGTACAAACCCAGATCGATGCCGCTGTCAAGAGGGCCGCCAAGGGGGGTTCGTCGGAGCACAAGTCGGCGGTAGACTACGTCGTTTCCCGCGAGAAGACGGCAGCTATCGAGGAAGGTCGAGAGCCCAAGTACGATGGTATGCATCTGAACGACATGCTCTGGGGATACATCGCCGGCGGCCAGGACTCTACCCACAGCACCTTATGCTTCACGGTCAAATACCTCGGCGCACACCAGGAGGCCCAGCAAAAGCTACGAAGTGCACTACGATCCGCTTACACCGAGCCATAGGCACAGAACCGCGAACCCATCATCGAAGAGATCCTCAGGACTCAGGTGCCCTACCTGGACGCCTTTATCGAGGAAACGCTGCGCCTGTGCAGTCCTGCGGGCGCCATCACCAAGGAAACCGTCCGCGACATTAACGTCCTGAGCCACATCATCCCCAAGGGCACGACAATTATGTTCCTCCTGACCGGTCCGACCTTCGTCCAGCCAGGCGTCCCCGTCGAGGACGCAAAACGCAGCGAGACCTCGCAAAAGGCCTCGAGCGAGGGCGTCGGCGACTGGTCACACAGCGATTTCCCGGCCGAGGATTTCGCCCCTGAGCAGTGGTTGCAGCAGGCTGAGGGAGAGGGCGAGGCAGTCAAGTTCAACAACAACGCGGGACTGTTCATGAGTTTCAGTAGCGGACCTAGGGGCTGCTGGGGTAAACGGCTGGCGTACCTGGAGCTGAGGATGATTGTGACGCTTTTGGTGTGGAACCTGGAGTTTTTGAAGTTGCCCGCAGAGTTGGAGGATCCTGGGTTGACGGAAGGACTTTTCACGAAGCCCAAGTCCAGTATGATTAAGTTGAGGGTCATTTCTGACACGGAATGAGTTTGGGATTCCTTTTCGTAGAATTCGATAATGCCATACCTGCCTATCATGAGAAGGCTTGACTGTATCTCCATGGTCTCGTGCGTGGACGACCCTTTTGAATATATACAAACTCAGTCTGTTCCCACATTATCTTGTGTCGATATTTAGACAGCGAAATTTCGCTCGCCTGTAGCAATGTGCGCCAAAGCCTGATTTTCTACGGAAGGCCCATCCAGTCTGTTATCAGCGCATCACGGCAGTGCTTTGGCTGACTTGTGTAACTCACACCAGGCTGCCATTTCCTTCCGAGCCTTACTACCACACGTAGTCCGCACTTTCCACGAGATCTGGAATAGTTCTACATTCAACCATCGGATACATCATGATGATGGAGTATCATCAGGGGCAAGAACAACATCTCCTGGATTCCTATCGACAACATACAGACGAGTCCGTCCATCATGAGGATTCAGCCGACGCCGTACAACATGACCAGTCGACTTCAAATGGCATTGAAACATCAATGGATGACTCTACCCAGGCCTCTGCCCAGGCTTCTGTCCACAGAGACGACTTGCTGCGACGTTCCTTGTCCACTCCAGAGCAACGCCCATCGACCAACGATGAAGACGCCGAAGCGTCAGCAATCATCCCCGGATACCAACCTGTCGAAGCCACCCACTTCTGGTGGTACTGGGATTTTGCAGGCGCCTTAGTCGCCGTCGTTTGCATGATCCTCATCGCCGTGACTCTATCCAAAGCCAACGGAAGCCCGCTGGTCGCTTGGCCCTTGCTCGTATCCCCCAACACCATCGTCGCCGTCTTGACGACCGTTGCGAGGACGGCTCTTCTGGTGCCGCTGGGGAGCAGCATTAGCCAGCTCAAGTGGAGGCACTTACTCCTCAAGGCCCAACCCCTCGAACATCTCCAATTATTTGACAACGCGAGCCGGGGCCCGTGGGGTTCGATCTTGATGATACGGCATCTACTCGTTCAGTCGAAGCTGGCCTGCGCCCTATCTTTGGCCACCATTCTCACGCTCGGCATCTCCCCGAGCGCGCAACAGATCCTCGAATACCCTACCTTATACCAGGAACTCCCGCACCTTGATGTTGCCATCGGCAGGGCCGATGAGTACTTCTCAAAGGGCTTTCGTCAGCTACCCTTCCAGACATGTAAGTGGCATACACCGAGCGGATGAAGTGAAGCGTGAATCTGGACTGACACACACTCGGCCACAGGGCAAAAGAGAGATCCGAACGAAGATCTACCCGCGTTCCAAAGCAAAGTTCTCCAAGCCCTTGCAGGGACCTCGTCCCAGCCGCAATTTCTCTGCCCGCCGGAAGCGAGTCGCTGCAGTTGGGGCGAGTTTAGCACGCTTGCCGTGTGTCGAGACTTTCGCAATGTGACGGAGCAGACCATTCGAAACTGCGACGATCCGGGCTCGCCACTGCAGTATTGCAACTACACCATCCCGCTGGGCGATGACCGACCCCCTGAAAATGATGCCACGTACCAAATATCAATGAGATATATCGACCACGATGCGTACCTCAGTGCACTGGTCTCATCTGTGCTCAACACGACCTTCCTGCCCTCCAAGAACCAAGACGGTTGGATCGGGCAGTTCATCGTCCTCCGACACCGAGGCAAGAAGTGGGAAGACAAGGGCGAGTGGTTTCCCCCAAGCAATCCCACCACGCCAGAAGTTCTCGTCACGGACTTCAGGTGGTGTCGAAAGACTTACCGGGGCGTGAATGCCACAAACGGCGTGATCGAGATCCGCGACGAGAACGTCGCCAAGTCCTTCCTTCAGTTCCACGAGAGGATCGACACTGACAAGGACAACCCCTACGACGTTGACGTCTTCGAGACATTGGACGGGGGAGACAGATACAAGTTCACCAGGACATTGACGTCCGACTTGCCCAGTTATCTGGAGTACATCCTCAAGACCGAATACGGAGAACGCCCAGGAAATCGAGCCACCAACGAAGCGACGGCGAACTCGCCGATGCAGATGCAGCACCTCCTGTACCGGGCTGACATCGCCAATCTCACCAGGAACTTGGAGGCGGTCCTCACGGATCAAGCGCGTAGCAACGACCCCGGGGACAACCGCAACGCGACGACGTTTACGCAGGGGCAGGCGTTCGGGAGTATGACCTTTATACGAGTGCGGTGGGCGTGGTTCGCCGTTCCCGTGGCAGCAGTGGTGCTGGGACTGGGCCTGTTCTTGACGACTGTCGTCTTGAGCAGGCAGACGCCGTTGCTGAAGGATTCTCTTCTCGCTCTGTTGTTTTATCCTCTGAGGGGCTGGGAGGAAGATGAAATCCATGTGGAGGGAGCGCAGACGAGCGAGAAGCTACAGAAGCTTGCGGGAAGCCTGAATGGAAGGCTTGAGACTGATGAGGGTCGGTACAGGATTGTCAAGCATGAAAGTGTTGCCAAAGGTGAACCGAAAGGGGATTTCAGTGGTGGAGAGCAGCAGGGAGCCTGAATCTTACAAGTCGATTGAGCGCTACCATCATTCCGAGTTGAGTCGACTATTCCACGTCTGAGAAATAGCAGGTATCCTTGGGTGACAAAATGGGATGCCGCTCAACACCCTCCCTATCACTCTTTCTACTATTCTTGTTACCACTATTATTATCATTATCATTATTATATCTATATTATACTTCTTGGGATATATTCTATATAGAATATTTTAAGATAGAAAGTGATAATAATAATGATAATAGAAAAGTTAATGATAGGAAGGATAGAAATAGAGCTAGGTACTTCGTGTTAGGCGGCAATCCATTATATCACCCACTTGCTAGTCTTGCCACGTATGTAGTCCATCGATGAGGTCTAAAGGGCCATTTAGTAGAATACATACGGAAATTGCCGCGAGCCATGCCATCACGATGCTCTCAAACCTCCTTGCCCCTGAATCGCAAAAGAGAAGAACCTCAAGACGGCAAAACACATACAACACCAGGTATTCGCTGGTCGTCACCGACCCAACTACTAATCCGGCCCTCATTGGCTTATCTATGGGAGAGCGGACGGGATCCCGAGTTTTCCAATGGGTATGGTCGTATGTGAAGGTCTCATCATGTCAAGTTGTCCATAGACTCTGTGGTGGAGGGGAGATGCGGCTCAACTTTTCAAAATGGACACACCGCATTTTTTCCCTTTGACAACGCGCCATCTAAGGTAAACAGTAAACACAATGCAGACATCTTAAAAAGAGTCATTCTATATTTTCCATATTTTGGGGGCTTGATCTTGCGATGTTGATCGCTGATAGCGAACATTGGTGTTAGAGTTTCGAACAATTGGCAATATCTCGCACCTCGCATCACGCTTACCTTAGCCAGTGCATAGCAACAACAACCATGTTTCATGCCGTAAAAATCGATTAATGAACAAGTCCGATTCTCGACCGATAAAAAATGAAACAAGCTAGCATATTCCCTAACAAAATCTCAAATGTTCACAAAAACAAACGCGGCGTCGATAAACGAACCTCAACCCGTCAAAGCCACACTTCGCTAAGCAAAAGCCCAGCCCCCAAATCGGCTTTAACCAACCAGCGAAGCGCCTCAAACCACGGGTTACCTTTTCTGGACAACCCAGCAACCAAGAAAACTGCACTTCTAGACAAAGGAGATACGGAAACATAGTATGGCGCGACAGAAAGCCCATGTTTATTCCCCAAGCTTTCTCGTCAGCGGGGGAACGCGTACCCGAATGCTCTCTGTCGTCTACCTCCGTATCGTTGGTAGTGCTCCCGCCTTTTTCTTCCATCGGCTGCTCCACCTCCGTTCCCCCCCCGCCTCCGCCTCCGTCTCCTCCCTAGATATCCCCGACTTCGCCGATTAAGCCTCCGTGCTCACGACTTCCCACGCTTCATCCCGCACGTTTTTTCCCAAGCTAAAGTAGCTAGTCAAATAGTCTTATCGAGTGAGAACAGACACAAACAAACCCCCCGAACCCTTCACCGACGGGCACTAGGCAGTAGCTCGGCCAAAAAAACGCCATGGAGCTTGCGGTTCGTTGCTAGTTAGGTAGTACAAGCCCAGCCAGCCCGCCAGCCCTCGATACACGCCACACTACAGTAAGGAGACCGTGGAGAGGAAGAGCCACTCCATTTATCCAACAGACCAATTCAATCCAGCCCTGGCCAAAATGGAATTCTGTTTACTCGAATTCACCCATTCAACCCCCCAACACCATCGCTCGGTCCCCCGAACCTCGAACTTGGAGCCTCTTATCTCTGTCCATTAGAAACAACGTTCTCCCGACCCCGTCACCGCCGGCCGCTCAGATCTCCCTTCCCTCCTTTTCCTGATCCTCCTGATCACCCGTCACCCCGCGATTCTTTCCGATCAGATTCGCGCGCCCGGACAAGCGGGCGGTTTTTTTTTTTTTTGGGAGGCGCGACCTGCCAGCCAGCCGGCCAGCCTACCCCACCATCCGAGACATCCACAGAACCAAATCAAGTTCACTGGGTCGGTGAGGTGGGACAAGGGCGAACATACCCATAGACCCGTAAACTGGACAGGTGAACATTGGAGGTCCATTAGTACCAAGCATGTGGCCTTCAATCTCCGAGACAATATCGCAAAAGTGATGCAGGCACGGAGCAGAGTGAAACAATGTGTCCTCGCCAAGCGCTGTCTGGCTAAAGGTGCCAGATGCGCGAACACGCATACGATGATCGACGTCGATAAAAAAAGGAGGAACCTGCGGGGTGCATCCGCACCACGCGAGCTGAGCTTTCACATGTCAAAAAAAAAAAAAAAACCACGGCTGCCAACTCCGAGGAGCACCCAATGCCTGGACTGAGCGCTTTCCAACCCTTGCAGATTCTTGTGGTGTGTCAGTCGCCAGGGAGCAAAAAGTTGAGATGGCAGATCAGCCCAACAGAAATAGGAGGGGGATGAAGGGGAGAATCTTTGAACTGGCAATCGACAGATTTGCATGTAAGACGAAGTTTATTATATGTGGAATATATTTTGATTTAACAAACAGAATTTGGGGGAAACAACAGTGTGAAGGGTATCAACTACAAGAGCCTTCCCTGATCAAATATAATAAATCTGGGTAAATCTGGTTCCGCAAGTAAATCATCGTCGCCTCCCGTGCGCGGCCCGCATCAGGGCCGGGATACTCCCGTAAATCACGTTCATAATCGTGCCCAGCATAACCTACCTGCCTTGCTTCCTTTGGGAATCTGCCTCATGACATCGATTTCCACCTGCTGCAGGTATCCGCTCTCCTACATCATAATATAGCAAGCTACCTCGTGCTCGGGGAGACGAGCCCTGACATCCTTCGGTTCCGTTTTCCGGATTTCGGCCGGAGGAGCAGTGTAGCATTCCAATGGTAAGGCGCGCTCACTGATAGTGGTGTTGTTGGTGTTGAGCCGTGGTATCACCGTCCCACGAGGGCGCTTTACTGGGCCCTGAGCTCGTCGTTACCCTTCATTATCTCTTCGAGCCACTCAGCCGCCATGGTCAACATCGTGCTCTTACTGAAGCCGCCTCCCTTGAGTCCTGGCACAAGCTCGCAGAGATCGTCGAAGCCCTCCTTAATCAAGGTTCGGCGCTTTTGCTCGCTCTTGATATGGTTTTCTCGTTTTTGTGCATCAGTCAGGTTCTCTCGTGCTGGCTTGGCCCCAGTCCCAGATTTGCGCCTCCGGCTGGCTGTGCCGTTTTCTGCTGGCGGAGTGGCTGAGCTCGGTTCGGCCTTCGTCTTGCGTTTTCTTGCCGCCTTCGTTACAGTGCCATTTTCTTCATCCTCCTCGTCAACTTCCTCCTTCGTGCTCCGGCTCTTTCTCCTTTTTCTTGGCGGTGCATCGGCATCCTCTTCCTTTTTCAATACTTCGGAAGACTTTCGGCTGTGTCCCTTCCCTATTGCATGCTCGCCGTTCGGGCTTGGTGGGCGAGTGTTATCTGTGCTTTGGCTTGGCTCCAGGCATTCCATATATCTCAGCTGGCCTCTAGACAGAGCATCGTAGGTTTCTTTAGGGTCTGGAACAAAGGTGTTGGAGCGGTTGAAGCGAGCATCCGAGCCCCACTGCACATCGATATTGGGAACCTGGTTAGCCCGTTGAGAGGACACTCTCTCGCCAGGAGCCGGTCCAAAAAACATGTCCGCGAATGTACTCTCATGATCATCAACGAGGCTGGCCTGAGCCACGCTGCCTCGTTCAGCACGCTTGAAATCCTCCATAGGTTGGTGCCTAAGGTGGCCGACGGGCGGTCCGAGGGAGTGCGGTACATCCCTGGTGCTGCTGAACATCGGCCCAGATCCGTTTGTGTTTGTTCTTGACGAGGAACCGTTATGTAGTAGTGTGCTGGCGGCCTGGAGAACGTCGGCTGAGGCATGCTGATCGAAGGTCGGGTGGGATTGCTGATGATGATGCTGCGGTGGCGGCTGCGGCTGTTGTTGCTGTTGTGGCGGTGGGGGAGGTGGCATCAGGCTCGAGCCCATGGACATCATGTCCGCAAAGTCGTCATGGGGCATACTATGCCCAGGGGAAGCAAGAGGTGGTGGTGCTGGTGACTGGCCAAAGGAAGTCGCCGTCCCCATGAACTGGGGAGGTAGTTCCAACCAAGCATCGCTGAAGTTGAGGCCTTCGCCGAACGAAGGCAGATTATAGTGGTCGGCAGTCATGTCCTCGAAGAAGGAACTGAGTAATTTGGTTTCATTGTCGGAGAGGAGAGGTGCGCCAGGCGCAGGTTCGGGAGGGTCGAGGAAGAAGTCTTGCGAAGGATCAACGGCATCTGAGGAAAGGTTGTGAGTATTTGACTTTGGTGGGAAATGGACGAGACGGTTACTCACAGCCGAAGGGCAAATTGGGGTCTGACGGCTGCGTCGAACCCATCCTGGGACGTTGTATGGCGAGCATGGGTGCGTCTTGTGGCAAATGGACGGTAACCGTCGAATGCGCTGGTTCTGGTTCTGGTTCGGAGAGCGAGAGACGTTTGTCGTTGAGGTTTCGAAGCGTGGGAAAGAGTGAATGTAGTCAACTCGAAGGAGGGCATGCGCATTCCTATGGGCAAATCGATATCCTATGAATCATGGACGAAGGGGCGGAACGTGTCTATCAGGAGCGCAAGGCAGCGCGTCTGTACTCGGAGGCTCGTCTGGCTGGGAGAGGGCGTGCGGTAGAGTGGTCTCGAATGAGTTATCGGCCAGTCGCTCGATTGCCTTGTGATTTGGCGGGGTGGCGGAATTGTTGTTGTGGCAGCAGTGACCGCTATGGTGTCGTTTGATAGGAGTCTGGAGAGGTTGGTGGGTGTATTTGCCGTCTTTAGGTGCGCGCCGTGGCAGAGCAGGAAGAGACCGAAGTATACGCTGGCAGGTTACGTCGAGGCGGAGGTGGGGTGGTGGCTGCGCTTAGGCACCGCACCGGGCTTCTGGATCCTTAGTGCTAGAAGGAGGTTCTCTTCGTCGTCGTTTCTCGCCCGAAGAGCCGGGGGTGTGAGTGAGGAGGGGGGAAGGATGGATGGATGGCGAAGGCGAGCGTGAGGCAAAAGGCGGGACGGGTGCCGTGTAAGGTAAGGCAAGGCAAGGTGAGGTGAAGTTGAAGTCGGGGAGGGCAAGCGGAGCTGGGGGCAGCGTGCGGGATGGCGGCGGAGTGGTGTACTGGAGCACCACCTCAAGCAGTGCTACGTTCTCGATGGTGAGATGGAGAGCTCCTAGTTGAAGAGCATCCAAGGTCTACCCCGTATGGCGGACGTTAATGCGGCCCATGCAGGGCTAAGAAGAAGGAAGAGACCCTTGAGACTTGTCGAACGGCAGAAGCAGAGTCTGGGTAGACTCTAGACGGATGGTGTCGAGCCAAGAGACGGCGAGGGTACGTGTGTTTGTCCAAGATGGGATGCGAGCGCGAGGCCCATTCGAAGCATTGGAGTGCTTGTATAGGCAGATAGACTCTTGACCAAGGTGGACGAAGCTGGTGCTTTGGCTTGATGTTGAGGTTGGCTCACCCGTGTACTTGCATATCTGAGAGAAACGCCCAAACGGATAGCGAGGAATAGTAACAGGTGAGGTGAAACGCACCCCCAATCAGCTCAAGGAGGTGGCCAGACGTAAGCTAAGGCAAGTAAGACGGGTGGAAGAGGAAGCGGATGTGGTCGTGGGCGTAGGACGCGGACGTGAGGGTGACGGACACGGTACTCTCTGTACTGTACGGTGTACCGAGAACGAGGGCTCAAGGACCCCGTGATTTTTTTCAGCAGGGGAAAGTGAGTGACGAGCAGGAAATCAAGCAAGGACTCGAAAAGAATGAATGGTCTGGGGCACCAAACAGCCAAAGTGCGACCCCTGTTGTTGACCAGGGTGGTTGAGAGCTAGAAGAGACAGAGAGTCTGACTCTCTGAGTACGAATAGTGAGGACTGAGGTGGAGGAACTTAGGAAGAGGGATCAGGAAGGGCAAAGTCGCAAGTTGCAGGGAGAGGGAGGGGTGGGGGGTGTGTGGGTGGGTTGCCGGCACGGTCACCTGCATCGTGCGCTGCAAGCCTCCGCACTTACCTTAGTGGCAGCAGTCAACGGACAGTCGACAAGTTAGGCCGGCCGGCCAGCCAGCAAAAAGACAGGACAGGGCAGGGCAAGGCAAGGTCTCGAGCCGGCCTAGTTTTCCCATTGCTACCTTTGCCCAGTTTCTTACGGATAAGAATGGTCCTATCCTGCCATACCTGCCCTGCCCCAACATCTGAGCAAGGACGGAAGGCTGATTGGAGAAAGCGCCGGATCTTGGGATCGGAGCCATGCGGACATGAGACAAGCCGAGCCATATCGTTGAAACGGTGCGTTTACGCCTATGCCTTACCTAAGCACTCTACGAGTCTACCCTGAAGGCTGAGGCACCTTCTTTTTTGGCGGGTTCGGGTCACACGAATGGCGGTCAGCAGGTGGACCACGAGGATTAACCAAGTTTTGATTGGTTCGCTAAGCCCTTCTCAACCTTCTCGTTAGCTTGGTACCTGACTGCTTAAGCTGAGTGGGCCGTTGCCAGTTTTTGATACTAACGGGCTTATGTTCCTATCGGGTCGTCACATGCCAACTCGGAGCTCTCCCCCCCCCCCCCCCCTCTCTGCACCTTCTCCTCTCAATTCTCCCCCATCCCCAATCTCTTTTCCCCCTCCCGCTGTCCAGCGCTGTCAGTCATCTTCATATTCTCCCTGCCCCAGGAATTACCATTCACTATTCCGTTCTAGGCTTGGCCTCTAAATGTACATTGTACCTGTATCCGTGCACCCGTGCTCCGCATCATCAACCTTCCTAAGCTTTTCCCAGCACTTTCTCACACCTCACCTCATCTCACTTTGGGGTAGCTTTGAGGTTCCACGTTCGCAGCGCACCCATTCGACATGCTCCGAGAGTTCCTCTGCTTCTGCTTTGCTCTGCTCTGCTCTGCTTCGATATACCCTGTCTTATTCCCGTTGACTCTCAAGTCTGGCCTCATCGTTCGGCCAAACTCGTTGCTTCCACCTGTCGCCTGGAACTGCATCTGTAACACGTCTTCATCCCGTTTTGTGTCTTCTCGGTATCTCAATTAACCCTGTCACATCGACAGTTGCAGCACTGTTCTAGCCATACGGATACATCAAATCCTTTGGAATTTTGACGGCTGTCCACAAGTCCCTACTAGCGCCGACAGATCCTACTAAGGCACCTCACAGACCCTGAACGTTTCTTGACACGGCGAGACAAAGGAAACAAACACAGCCTCGGTTGATACGAAACGGCTGGCTGTCCCAGCCTGTCTGTCTGTGGTTTCCCACCAGCCAACCAGTCAACCATCAACCTCCTGTGTCTATTCTTCATCGTTCGAGAACTAGGAGCAAGCGCCGAGAATTCTTGACGGCCGGTCGATCGCACTGATCGAATCCTCCACGCCCGAAGCGTCCCGCAACTCGCAAGGACTGGAGTCTCGACTCTCGAGCAAGGCTGGCAAGGTATTCCCTGTCCAACGCCGTTTACCACTGCCGAGCCAACGCAAAACGCCGTTCCCTTCAGGTTTTCCTCCAGACAGACTCCAGACTTTGATAGAAGTCTCTTCTTCTTCAGCACCGTCGCACTCGCATGGGTTGCCGCGCCTAAGCCCCATCTGGCTTGGCTGAACATGTTCACTCTCGTTTCTCCCTGGCCGCCAGCGTGAACCTCTCAGTCCTCAACTCAGCGTGACAGACCAGTTGATCGAAACAGTTATTTCTGCAACCAATCACATTCGCCAATCTTGCCAGCTGTGGCGGTAATCTGCGCTTCGGTCACGTTTGCCAGATCCGACCTCCTATGCGTACTCCGTACCTTTCTCCGTACTCTTCGACCGTGTCGAGGAACCCAATTGTCACATTTCCTTCGGCCTCACCATTGACTTGCCCCTGGCCTCCATCTGCACCTACTGCACAACCTACGTCGCTCATCCTACCCCAGGCCCTCCATCACGTCGTGGGTCGCACCATTACCCCACAATTTCTTATTTCATTCCCGTCCCCTTCGTCTCTTAACACGCAAGGTACGCGATACTTTCGCCATTGAGCACAGCTCCAGCCCTGCCCTAGGCGCTGCGGGTTGGCTGTAGACTCTGGAGGGACCGCCATCACGAGCCTTCAGAAGAGCAGGTTAATCAATACCCCCTGGTAAGACGCGCCCACTAGTTCGCGATCTTCATTACGCGTTTTCCTGTTGTTCTTCAGAGGTCTACCTACATGCCTAGACTGTTTTCCTGCAGCATGTTTAATTGGCATCCGAGGTATATGGCCAGCTTCTAGTGAAGATGGACCGGTCAATCCCGAACCTTATTCCTCATAACCAAACACCTGTCATCATCTGGTTGGCCTTTCAGTTCTCGACATGATTCATACTCTCTAGGCGGTGCGGATAGCCAGTCCGCTTGCCGCTTCACTCCCCTATTACCTAACCTATCTCATGCCTTATCACGGTTCAGCTGTCGTTACGCCCTCCTAGAGCAACAACCCATGTCTCCTCCGGCCACATCCTTCCTTTCCCAAATCCCCTCTGTTGAACTCAGTTTGACGAGCAGCCTACCCATTCAAACCTCACGCAATTGTACGGTTACATCATAGCATATCCGAATGTGCACAGACACATCGCTTCCGGCTCTTATGCGGATCGCTGATTTTCTGCTCAGGAACCGTTTCCAGTTCAACTACCGGCACTGACGCCGAAGCCTCGTGGCTGCCGTCACACCTACGCTCTCCGCAATGCTACCTCGGAGTCAGCTGCAAATTCGCCGGAATGGCCTGGTCGAGCTACATGGAATTCCGCCAATCCTACGGCCCCTCCTTCGGGCCTACCTCCTGGGCTATGCTTCCGCTGTTGCTCCGAGAGTCCTTACGTTGCTGATGCAATACCTTACCAAAAAACGCCGTCAAATCGCAAAGGAGAACGGGTGCATCGGGTTTGTGGCGCAACTGAGGCGGATTGTCCTCGCCGGTCTAGACCCGCAACGGTTTCCAACCTTCTGTGCCTTGCTTGTTGGCGGCAGTACACTTTTAGAGGTATGTACGTTTCTTTCAGTAGGACGTATACAACACTCGTAATGCCTAGGACTTGAGCTGCACTTGCTTCACTTGGGTTCAAGTACTGTCATCTGGGTGCCCAGTACACATGGTGATGGAAATCTCAGAGTTGCACTGGCTTCTCTCCTAGCTGTACATAAGCTATTGTTCCCTGCATTGGTTCCGTATAAGCAACGTTTGCAGGTTCATCAAGGCGACCTGGAGTTCCAGTTACAGCAAGTACAACAACTTGCTCAGTAGACCTAACACGTTCTTATAGGAGCCACTTCGACGTCTATTTGAACGCAATGCCAAAGGTCTCACAGAGGTGATACGAACTAGGTGAGCGGGATTCGATCCTCCATCCTCACATTGTTCACAGCCATCTAATACTAATACACATCTAGACTTGCAAGATGGAGCGCCACATTCATCGCTGCTTGGTTCAGTTTGCAGCTTTTGCAGTCCAAGAAGAGCTCGGCCTTTACAGGCACTGCCCCTGAGAAATCCGATAGCCCTCCCGCAGCTCAGCTCAAGGAGACTCGATATGGAGGACGAACTCTCGACTTGACGTTATTCACATTAACCAGAGCTTTGGATGTTCTTGTTGGAGAAGTTTGGGCGCGAAGGCGAGCGCGCCGTGTAGCTGAAGGTAGTTGGACCAAGGTATGCACCAAGCACTCATCTTCTCATCACACATTATCAACGTCACTAACTTCGTACAGGCTGAGTGGATTGTCGGAAGGTTCACCGACCCTTGCTTGTTCGTCACTTCGTGTGCTTTCATCATGTGGGCATGGTTCTACCATCCCGAAAGGCTTCCCAGCGGCTACAACAAGTGGATCAGCTCGGCGGCAAACGTCGACATGCGGCTGATTGAGGCCCTCCAGAAGCTCCGTGCCAATGAGATGTCGTACGGTAAAAGCGGACAAGGAGAATTGCTGCAAGGCATGTGTGAGAAATACGGATGGCCGACCGAATGGGGTGACCCGTCAAAGTCCATCCCCATCCCGTGCGAGATGGTGCACATGGGCTGCGGCCCCTCGTGTGAACTTCACGCCATCAGCCGCTTCTATCGGTCGTGGAAGTGGTCCATGGCCATGTACTTGCCCCTGAGCGTGGCGCTTCTCCTGCGGGGACCTATCAACAAGAAGACTCTTGTGCGGACTTTGCTGTCATCATCGAGGTCGGCGGCGTTCTTAGGCGCGTATATCACTTTGTTCTACTATGGCGTATGTCTCGCTCGTACCAGAATCGGGCCTCACATAATCGGCAAGGACCTGGCCGCGAGGCAAAAGATGGACGCGGGAATCTGTGTCCGCACGGGATGCTGCCTTTGCGGCTGGAGCGTTCTCGTCGAGTCCGCCAGTCGTCGCAAGGACATGGCGCTTTTCGTCACCCCGCGGGCCATGGCGACGCTGCTGCCTCGGCGGTACGGCATGGACAAGCAGTGGAGGGAGGCGCTCGTCTTCGCCGCCAGCACGGCTGTTGTTTTTACTTGTATTCACGAGAACCAGGCCCGTGTACGTGGCGTGCTGGGCGGTGTTTTGGGAATGGTATTGCGCAATTAGAAGAGAGTTTGTGTTTTACTGGGCAGTACACGCAAATTAGCGTCGGATAGGCGGTTCTAACACGGCAAAACAAAAACGAGTGATTTGAATAGAGACACTGGAGATGGGTTAGAATATGGGTACACTTTCATATCTGTACCCTTCCTGTTACAATACTGAGGCCAGGTAGAGCCCGATTGGGGTCTGGTGTAGTAGAACAAGAAACGCGGAGAGATATCGTGGTATACTTTCTGCTTCTCAGTACTGGCTGATACTCTCCATCGATGTGAAATTACCAAGGCGGATGAAGCATGGGATACCTCTATCGGACAGTAGGAAGCGTAATCGAGACGCTTTAGTGCTATTACCCGGTGACGCCGGCTATGAAGAGAATGGGACAAATGTCGGCCGCGACGTTCAATTATTTCTTGCTCTTAGGGAAAAGCCAATATGGGAAATGGCCGAGCCGGTTCATTAGACTGTAATTGCTCGGTGATTTCGTAAAGATCCGGGACCAACCAAAAGCATACCGAAGACCATCCGTCTTCGGCCCGGAGTTGAGTTTCGGGGATACCTGCCTGGAGCGGGGCAATCCGGCAACCGACCCCGGTGGCCCCGGGGTTTCGTCGCCCCACCTGTCATTTACTCCAGTCCGATCCTTCGACTTGGCTTTTCCTTATCCCTTGACAATTCGACGACATTGTTTCCTCGCACGGCTACAGAGGTGTCAAACTCTCGTCCTTTAGGGTCGTATTCCACCCGTACCCTTTTTTGTTTGACCAGGATCCCACTATCCGCAGAACGAGGCCGGGCCGACGACTTGCGGCGAGACTCCGATGGTCACTTCTGCCGAAGGACTTCTGAAAGTAACCATATCCCGATTCTTTGCGGTATGGAATTTCTCACCGCAACAGATCCATCAACAAAGAACCAATGAGCGTTGCCAACCGATATTAAACAGGAAAAGCTTGGCAGATAACACCATAGAGTAAACTCGGAGGCTCCTCCGCCGCAAATGATACCCCCTTTCAACGACATTACCCTTTTTTGCAGTTGGGCCAACCATTTACCCTGCTTACGGGGTTACCCTCAAGGCTTGGCTTCTTTGTCCAAGGAGCCAGACAATCAACAACTACCAATGGCGTCCAACCAGGATCAGACTTTGATATTAAAGAAAGAGAAAAAGCAAACAAGGGGCAATAGAACCAACCAGAGATGATTCAAAACTTGCTCTAATATGCTCAGCCTTCCTTCCAATACAGTCAATTTCCCACTTGAGCCAACAACTTGTCAAACCGCACAAAGCCATCTTCTTCTTTCGTACAGACTACTGAGGAAACCGTGTATATCGTTCCCAGTCCAGTTCAAGATGAACGTTGCGTCTGTCTATATTGCCAGATTCCCCTTGCGTGGATCACGCCCCGCCCGCGCCGTTCCTTCGGGATCGGAATGCTTCCCAGCCAACCCTAGGCCATCTCGTGGTTCGGCAATATGGTAGTTGGGCGTTGGTGGCTTGGGTCATTTGGCTGCGTTTCGTGTCACCCTCGGGATATTCGTGATCAAGACCATGGATCATGGTGGGATATATATGTATATACAGCCCCTCCTCCGGAATACTGGTTCTTGTTCTATCAATCAACGAGTTTTGCTTGTTGCTGGGTAACATTCTCGTACTTTCCATTCACTCTTTCAATCTTTCACATTTCTCTCCCTTTGTGTTTCTTCATAGAGAACTCTCAAGTCTCGACTTCATCCTTCACTCATCTCCTTCCTCCAACATCAACAGCAGAGCTAAGCCGCGCAACTCAAACCACGGCTCTCACAATGCGCCTCTCCCTCCTCGCCATCGCGGCCTCAGCCGTCGCCCTCGTCATAGGAACCCCCTTCCAGAGCACCCTTCACAGCACCCTCACCACCCGCGACACCATAACCACAAACACAACAACCCTCCCCGTAACCTTCGGCGCTATCCTCTTCCGCGCAATGGACATGCTAGACCTCTTCGGCTCCCTCGACGCCCTCCAACTAGCATCCTTCAACCGCCACATGTCCCTCCACCTCATCGCCGCCACCCTCGACCCCGTCACAACCGCACCGCAGTCCCCCGGCATGAACGCCTACAACTCGTCCTGGTGGCCGACGATCCAGCCGACAAACACCTTTGACGACGAGCTGGATCTCGATGTACTGATCGTGCCTGGCGGACCGGGCGTGAGGGCACCCGGGTTGGAGCCGATTGTGGAGTATGTGAAGAAGTATGCGCCTAGGGTCAAGTATCTCGTTACGATTTGTACGGGGGCTAGTCTTGCTGCTAGGGCGGGGGCGTTGGATGGGAAGAGGGTTACTACCAATAAAGCTGCGTGGGAGTTGATTACTGCGCAGGCGCCGCGGGCTAAGTGGGTTTCGCCGGCGAGGTATGTTGTTGATGGGAATGTCTGGACTTCTTCTGGTGTAAGTGCTTTTGAAGCTTCTGTCTGATCCTGATGAGAATTAATCTGGAATGGGAGCAAGAGAAGACTAACTGATGTCCGGGTTAGGTTACCTCTGGTTTGGATTTGACTCTGGAGTTCATCAAGCAGGTGTACGGCGAGGAGTTGGCGACCAAGGTTGCTAGAATCATGGAGTTTGTTCCCCATGCTGCTGATTGGGATCCCTTTGCAGACATCAACGGCGTTGAGCCGACGTACAATTGATGATATTGCCGCAAGACGAACTAGAGAGAAGGATAGAGGCAGCGACTCGGGCACGCTCTGGTTTGAGATTGAGTGTGATAGAGCGCATGACAGAGCGGTGCAACCTGGCTCCATTCTCAGTACAAAGTTAGCAATGATAAACAGCTTGCTTCCATTTAATTCAACCCAATGGGTCCGTTTTCAACCCAATCCAACCTCGACTTAGATGATGCCTTGCTCATATAGCCCACTTGATGCCCAGCTGACACGAAGGCCAAGATACGCCAACGCTCTCTTCTTCTTGACTACCCTCGGTGAGATGATGACGCTAAGTGAATCAAGGAAGCTCTGAAACGGTCATGAACGAAAAGGGCATCGTGGATAGTATCATTCTAGATAGTTTGGGGTCGGTGAGCGTCATAGCATGGGAGTCTGGAAAGAGTCCACTTCATCAGCTCGACCGCCATGGAAAGCCAGGATGAAGTTCTCCCACAAGAATGTATGGTTCGCCTAGTGATCCGCCTCAGTAACAGGAATCTGAACCAGAAGACGAGAAAAAGAAAGTCAAATGAAGCTTCGCTGTAGGGAGCCTTATAACTGGCTGTCCCCTGTTCGTCGACTCGTCAGTAATCATCAAGTGGGTGAGACAATATTTTGCCGCTTAATGCCTTACCTCTTGATCTTATTTCTATTTCTCTTATTCCTCTATTACTGCTACTGCTACTATGACCATTTTAACTTGTGATATACTCATATAATAAGCTCTAGAGAGCATAGTATAAAAATGGTCAGAATAACAGAGATAATAAGAAGTGCTACGACAAATTGGTATCCTTTTCGACGGCACCAACGCACTATCAGATCGCGACGACAGCATGGTGGCGTCAGATAAATTAGAAATCACTCCATGCGGATCCAGACGGACTACTTCCTACTCCATCAGAGGATACCAGCATTGGCCCAGCCAAAAGCGGCTAGTTGTGCGTTGACCATCATTATATCTTGTCATCCAACTTGTTGGGTAAGGAAGCCTGGGCAGTATACACCGTGCCCCTGAAAAAGTAGGCTTGATGAGAGGCTCACAGAAAGCTCAAAATGAGTGGCTGCGTAACATGAGGGGGGGCTGAACGTTGGCATGTCCACGAAGAAGATCGATCTTCGTGATGAACTACTGTTGTAATTTGTCTGGTCCCCCTGAAGTACAGATGGGTTTGACTGAATCCCTGGCTGACTCACGGTAGGTTGATGTTTGCAGCTACAGGAGAGTTTTCAGTACTTATGTGGTGGTTTTTTTTCCAGCTTTACAGGCGCAAAAGATCAACCTCAACGGGATCAGCTTTCAAGGGAAATCACACAATACGGTACGTAATTTAATTATATAATACGCGTAATGTACCCCAAGCACGCGCTTAACTCAATATAGTGATTTCAATCTAAAAGACACAATGCAATACGGGTGGGTAGGTTGCCGACGACAGGCTGAGCGACATACTCGTTTTCAGTACTTATATACTTCACTTTCTTGCAGTCAAGTTCCGTTGTAGGCCGATACCAGAAGTAAGAAAACCGGAGCGGCGGACGGATGGGATGTTTGCATTCTTCTCTGATGAGACAAACTCTTGTACTCAAAGCTTCAAGAAAATGAGTTCAGGTCGCCGGGGAGCCTGCTGAGCTGAGGCACACTCGACTACGGCGGTTCTACGATGAAGTCGGCGCGTCGATCACTAACACCAGAAATGGGCCCATCAAGGTTGCGTCCGTGGTATTTGACGACAAGCATGCTTGCACTCGCAAACATGTTTTTTAAAGCACCCGAAAACATGCCATGGCAAGTATTCAAGTAAAAAATGATTCGGAGAGAAGAAAACGAGCGAGATCGTCGCCTCTGGTCCTGTCGATGCACTCATAGTTGAGCCATCTGAGGAATGAAGGCCGTCCACGACCGTCCAAGGATTCGTGGGGGCGCGTGGAGGGGGGGGGACTTTCTCTGCATAAACCCAGACGACAATCATGATGGGAAATCAAGGGAGTTCTGCACAAACGGCATAAGTCAAATGCGCGGCATTAATCAAGCACCAGCCCACTGTGCCGAGCTTGGGCCATCTTTATGCTAAGTGCACGTTGAGGTCAGCAAACCCTGCACAATTGCCGGTGGGGTTGATATCTCGGTGTAAGTCACCGGCCACCGAGACAAAGGAAAGCTCACCGAGGATGGATTTCTCGAGGAGACGTAACCGAAGAATGCCGCCTGGTCGTTCAAGTCATCTTATAGACAAGACAACCAGTCCCATAGTTTGAGCCGATATCCAGTGACCGTACGGGACAAGCACGTAAGCCACATCCCGGGTCTTGCCCGCCAGACAAGGATGAATACTCTGCCGGCAACTCGAGCTTCAAGTTCACGATATCTCACGAATGCCATCATCCGGAACATTTTCATAGACAGTAGGCTCGGGTACGTTAGGCGCCACAGGAGAATCCACAGATTATGCAAGGCCAGGCGTCTATGGCGAATCATCTTGACTGAGCTACGCCAAATATTTCCGACTGCCCGACTTAAACGCGCCCGCCTCGTACAAACGGGCTGCCAAGTAGTACCCCACTAGGCGTAGATACGAACCCCTGGACTGCTTGAATAATCTCTGGAGAGGCTAAAGTCGCTGCTAGATGAGACGAGGTTCCAGATCCCCAGGCACGAGGTGCTGTACCCCGGCTCGGCAAAGTGTAGCTTAATGTACGGCATCGGGGCAAGCAATCGGGAGGAACCGGAGCGGAAATCTGGGGTAGCTTCGGGTCGAACCTCGACGAAGGGACGCATCATTCCGGGGCGGCTGGCGGCAAACGGGGCCTGTAGGAAAGCCACCACTTGCTGCCGTGGTCCATGTAAGTCTCGTGTACCCAGTCAAAGGTGGACTTGGGAAGGGAGGGAACGGGAACGACCAGTACGTAGTCGTGATGATGTGGGCTTGTGGATGGGACGAGCGTCAACGACATCGTCCTAGCCACAAGGCTGATGACACGGCTGTCATCCTGTCAATCTGTAAGGTGGAGGCGAGACCTCAGGCACAGCAGTCCCATGATCTGACAATATCTGGTCGTCAGATTTTAGGAACCCCTTATCAGACGGAAATGAGATGTGCTGAATAATTTGGCCGAGAGATAGCTCGTCCATGTTGGTTTTGACCGTAGTACGGCCAGAAGCTCATCCAGGGGGTTCGTGTCGTACGGTGCTAGGTAGTAGTGGTTGAGTGACGGTAGAGTCATATCATGCTAGGTCGATCGATGTTCGGACCATACAAAATGATCCAACTGCCAACCTGGGCCCTGTCGGGCGTCTGACGATACGATACGGCCGTGCAGACCTCCGTAGCCAGCAGTAAACACATAGGCCGCGGCATTGACGTTTGCGGGTATCCTCGGTAGGGGATATCGTCATTCCCGATGTCATCGGAAGTTGTGAGTTGTTATAGGCGAAGCCAGGAGCGTTTGGGGCCGACGAAGCCGTGATGCTCCGGCGTGTCGGGCCAGCCGGGCTCGCTTGGTAGCTCATTGGGTTGGGTGAGTCGAGAGGCAGATCTCGGGCCCCACCCAGCACCGGAACGCACCAGCCCTGTTTTGATGGACCGACTTTGCATTGGAAGCGGCCGGCCAAGACTGTGAGTGGCAGAATTGGGTGGCGTGCACATTTCGCATCAGTCATGGGTGGAACGCGGTGGATGGCATTCGTAGGCGAGGAGGTATCTGTACAAGTTCTCCAATTGAATTCGAAGGGTTTGGACGAGCATGGATGGATGCCTTTTCTTTGCACGCAATCTGTTTTGTTAGACTCCAACACGGACGACGGAGCCAAATATGGTGCGGTCCATCTGGGGGTGACCGAGAACGGAGTCGTAAACGGGCCTTCTCGATCATCATATCTCTCTAAGCTAAAATCGGTCGAGTCGAGGCTGGAAGTGCCTCATGCACCAGGCAACGTGTTTCATTAGCTGGGCTCAGTCGAGCTTGGCGGGTTTAGCGATGGAGCATTGAGTGATTTATAGACCTGGGGTCTTTTTTTTTTTTTTTTTGTTCGATATCTCGAGGTAAGCTGAGCTAGACCTTTGAGTAAGAGAGTGCGGTGGGAGCGAGCGAGCGAGCGGACCATACGGTAAGGTACCTACCTACCTTACTTCAGGGTAGGGTGGAGGGGAGGCGGAGGAGGGGGGGCCGTGGGAGCTTTGGCGCGGGATGAATGGTGAGGGTGTGCGAATGAGCTGTTTGAACCTTGTGGCATGTCGTGTCTTGAATCCATTTGAGGATGTTGATAATAACAAAAAATCCACCAAAATAAACCGGACCGGTGAGAAGATGACATGAAAAAAGGCGCCAGAAGTTTGGCGTGGACCACGGTGCCACGGTGGTTGTTGCATGGAGGTGGCAGTGGCAGTGTGAGAGAGGTGTGAGAGCGAGCAAAGCGTGTAAAGGCAAGCCGCAAAAGGTGAGTCGACGGGGGTATCGGACCTGATGCTGCTGCTGGACCGGGGGGGGGGGGGGGGGGTAGCTGCGAGAGTGATGTAACGAGGGGCAGGGGCCAGGGATAAGGTGCCGTAGCTGACTTTTTTTTCTTCTCGCTGGAAACCAAGGGAAAAAGCTGCCCCTCCATGCCCCTCCATACCTGACAATTCCTGACCCTTGATAATGCCTGCTCTACTTGAGTCGTTGATCGGTCCGGTCTTGTCTGCTGGAAAGTGACACCACCAGCCAAGACCCGCTGAAAAAATGGATATGGATGAGGTGAGAGTGTTGCTGGAATTGAGAGAAACAAGTTATTGATGAGTAGTTCATCATGAGATGTCCAAGATACGGCCAAGATGATGGAGGTTGGAGCACAGACAAAGTTGAGGTGTCAAAAAAAGTAGTGAGAAGGAAGGGAAGGGACATCGAACGCCACGGCAGACCCGTCAGACAATGCAGCCTGCATCCCATCCGAGCTTGAGGTCTTGGGTCTTGGGATGGCAAGCCGCGAGACGGACTTGTCCCAAGCAGCACCGGCATCAGCATCAGCAACTACCTACCTTAGACAATGTTAGGTAGATTGGATTGGTAAAACAACAACGCATCCCACCTTGATTGTGTCTTCCAATCCCATGATATCAATTGGTCCAGAAAACCATCAAAGTACCCGGAGGGTATCATACTAACGCCACAAGCGGTAGCAGCGCCTTCCCGCTGGATGCCCCGCCATGTCCGTAAAAAGACGCACCTGCTTTGACTGAGTGGGTGAGAGGCAACGAGAGAGACTCAGTACCTACTCAGGAGTCAAGACTCAGAACGAGGAGAAAGGATAATTATTGGAGAGACATGGAGAGAGGTACGAGAGGTACGAGACACGCGTTACGGGGGGAGCTCTTGGCCTGGTCAAGCACAAGGTATCTCCTACCTCCTACCTGAGCAGAAAAAGTGTGTGTCACTCACCATTTCACCTCACCACCTGGCGTCGACCGGGCAATCACCACCATTCACCACCCTCAATCGCCAAGTCACCTCACCGTTCTCGGGGCGTCTGGACCCCCCATTGCCCCCCCCTGCGGAGTGGCCGTACCTGGTACCTCCCTAACTTGCGTCAAGTCCGCCTTGGACCTACCACTCCCACTTCCTGCCTGCTTCCTGCCTGCTCTTGCCATGGCCGCCGGCCTTGCGTTGGATCGACCAGCAGGAGAAGGACCACCCCACCATCTTCCCTCAACCGAATTTACTATATGTCGCACGCCCTTCCACCACCTCCCATCTCTTTCGTCCCTCCCTCCCTCCTTCTTCTGCCATTGAAAATTCTCTCCTACACATCAACCCATCTCTGACCTCGTCGAACAACCCGACGTGATCCATATTCAAGGTAAGAACTAGCTCTCGATAGCTCCCTCAAGCTCTACATACCTCACCTCTTCATCACCCCACCCCGCTACCACGATAAATACCCCGCCTACCTTACACACTTCGGAAACGCCCGTCCTTCACCAACACCTGAGAAAACTCAACTGACTCTCCCAACCGCCAGACACATCCTAAATACACAATCACATCAGACAACATGGCTCCCATCAAGGTCGGCATCAACGGCTTCGGTCGTATCGGACGTATCGTCTTCCGCAACGCCGTCGAGCACCCCGAGGTCGAGATTGTTGCCGTCAACGACCCTTTCATTGAGACCAAGTACGCTGTGAGTATCACCCCACTTTACCCCTCCATGATGATATCACGTCTGCCACGATAACACCACCCTAATCGGTAACCACGGGAAAGAGCCAGAGCTGCTAGCACTCTCGACTCTTTTTTCCCAAGGTTTCGATTTGGCTCGTTGCAATGGCACGACGTGACGAGATCATGTAGAAACACCCAAGACAAAATTTGCTGACAGACAATCATCACAGGCCTACATGCTCAAGTACGACTCCACCCACGGAATCTTCAACGGCGACATCCAGCAGGATGGCAACGACCTTGTCATCAACGGCAAGAAGGTCAAGTTCTACACCGAGCGTGACCCCACTGCCATCCCCTGGAAGGACACCGGCGCCGACTACGTCGTCGAGTCCACTGGTGTCTTCACCACCATCGACAAGGCGAAGGCCCATCTTCAGGGCGGTGCCAAGAAGGTCGTCATCTCTGCTCCCTCTGCCGATGCCCCCATGTACGTGATGGGTGTCAACGAGAAGTCCTACGACGGCAGCGCCGACGTTATCTCCAACGCTTCTTGCACCACCAATTGCTTGGCCCCCCTCGCCAAGGTCATCAACGACAAGTTCACCATCATTGAGGGTCTCATGACCACCGTCCACTCCTACACTGCCACCCAGAAGACCGTTGACGGTCCCTCCGCCAAGGACTGGCGTGGTGGCCGCACCGCTGCTCAGAACATCATTCCCAGCAGCACTGGTGCCGCCAAGGCTGTCGGCAAGGTCATCCCTGAGCTCAACGGCAAGCTCACTGGCATGTCCATGCGTGTGCCCACCGCCAACGTCTCCGTTGTTGACTTGACTGTCCGCATCGAGAAGGGTGCCAGCTACGACGAGATCAAGGCCGCCATCAAGGAGGCTGCTGAGGGTCCCCTCAAGGGTAAGCTACCAACATGACCTATGAGTGTCTTTTGAACATGAGCTAACTATCTTTAGGTGTCTTGGCCTACACTGAGGACGACGTCGTCTCCACCGACATGATCGGCAACCCCAACTCTTCCATCTTCGATGCCAAGGCCGGTATCTCCCTCAACGACAACTTCGTCAAGCTCGTCTCCTGGTACGACAACGAGTGGGGATACTCCCGCCGTGTCCTCGACCTCTTGGCCCACGTTGCCAAGGTTGACGCCTCCAAATAAATGTGCGGTACACATGAGGCTGTCGCGGAGGGGAAACATGACCGAAAGTGTCCATTAATGAGATGATAAACCAACGACCAAACAAAAGCAGTAAAATGAAGATGGGCAAGTCTTTCAGGAGGGAGGGCCGCAAAGGCCAGGGAGGATCATGGTTGTTTCTTTCCTACAAACAAACGCTCCCAGAATACATGTCCGTATGACGTCTATGAAATAGATTATGCCTACCCATCACAGTCCACGCCAATGCAGAGTGACCAGCGTGTAACTCGAATCTTTGATGATTCTTGAATCAGATCATGTCGTGAACAGGCGCAGTTGACGCAGCGATTGTTCGTGTCAGATCATTGATGAGGTTTAGCTATGCTAGCTACCTAGTTTTGTATGAGACGTGACAATCTTTGAGCTGTGAGGGGTTGCCAGTGCGGGGTCGCTCCACGTCCGCGTCTGATATCTTATCCTTCCCCTCTCCTTGCGCGTCGTCGCCTTGACCAGGGTCGATCGATAATCTCAAAGAGTGTTCCCCAACCTAGTTACCTTACTTCATCTCCTTATCATGTCACAGCATCGGAGAGCTTTTGCTTGAATTGGTATTGATTCCTCTTTTGCATTGACCTTCGTTCAAAATCAGAATCCTCAACTCCCACCAGGTACAACATCCCATTGAGTTTAGAGGCCGTGTACGACAGAAACTTTGCCCTTCCCACCGTTCCACAAAGCTCAAGCCCGAGATGCGCAAGGGGGGCCGGCCGAGGGATATCCTTTTTTATATGTACACACGCATTTAGAGTCCGTAGACACACAGAGTCCTGATTTGTCCCCCTTGAACGCCAAGCTGAATTGAGAAAGAGAGAAAAGAAAAAGCCGTAGAGTGAGTTGGTCGGGTGGTTGATATCAGACAAAGTAAAGGAAATTGTGCGTGCTCGCTTGAAGAGACTCAGGGTGACTGTGTGTGTGTGTGTGTGTGTGTGTGTGTGTGTGTGTGTGTGTGTGTGTTTTTCATACATGATGGGCTACCGCCCATACTTCTCAACCAAAACGCCATTCTCGCCACAACCAGCCCCCGACCCCCGTTAAGGACGATAGTGAGTTGGCTCATAATACATGTCATTAGGAGGGCCCTAATGCCCGTATCCTTCTGTCTGTGGGTGTACCGAATCGTTCGCGACGCTCTCGTCACGCGGAGGCGGTGAGCTCCCCGCCGTGGTAAAGGAAGAATCGACCAGAGTCGATGCCTCGCACTCGTCGACATCCTATGACAACGTTCCGTTGGCGGCTGATACCGTGACCTCGGCGCGCCACGAGACACCCTCCTCCTGCGCCCAGCGCCGCATAATCTTGAGAGCCGACGATACAGCTTCCTCCACACTCGTCCACGGGCCCATGTTCGTACGCATCGCCGAGGCTTCGACGCGCTCCGCCGAGTCGAATGCCGACTTCCATACATTTGATCGACCTCTTTCTGCACCAATAATGTGTAATGCGTGTGTCGCCGGATCGAGCGACCAGTAGCACTTGATGAGCTCCTCATAGATCACGCCTTGCATCTGCCAAAACAGTGCCTCCAACGGCTTGCTCTTTCGTACATCGTTGCGCATAACATTCAGAAGCGGCAGAATGCTACTCCACTGCTTAGGATCCTGTGCCTTGTTTTCGATCCGCCGTGACTCAAACAGCGCTCTGAAGCTGACCATGAACGCCATCGCCGTTTCCAGTCCGAGCATCATGCTGAGTTTGATGTCAGAGTCCGAGACGGGAGCGCCGCGGTCGCCGTGCTTTCGCTCTAGCAATACGTCGCGCTCATGCTTTAGCTTGGTGCCGAGTCTGCTAAACCGGCTCCAGCGATCACGGAGCGCCTGGATCCTGTTAGGATTCGCCGCCTCTCTGCTGTCATCTCTGGTCTGCGGCCGGTCTCGGTCCGATGATGGCGGCGCGGGAGTCAGGCTGTGGCCGTCTCCAGGAGTGTTGACCGAGTTGCTTGACGCCACCCTCGACATCGACGTGGCCCCCCCTTTCGATGGTGTCGAGGGCGCGTTCAGCTTGGAGGAGCTCGTGATTTCCGACGTCCGAGGTCGCTTCACCGCTATCGAATCGCCAACATTCTCGGTGCTGGTAATCGGTCGCTTCCGTGCCTGCGGCGGCGGAGGCTCTATACTCACTGACCGCTCCTTCTTGATGTCTTTCCTTGGGGGTCCCAGGGCAAGTAACCTCTGCACCGACTTGGTGTACTTTTTGCTGTACTTCAGCGTCACCATAAACCTGCGAGGTTTCTCCTTCAGCCTCTCCTTCTCCCTGATCTCTTTTCGGTCGTCTTCTTCCTCCTTCACTACCACATGTGGTCTCTTGCCGTTTGTGGGTGAATCGGGGGGTTGTAATTTTTGGCTTGGGTCGGAGCCTTTCGTCGGTGTGTTCTTCATCCGGGCCAGTTCCTCCTCGAGCAATGGGGGAAGTGTCGGCGAGAGGAGTGTCGGAAGCTTCAAGGGAGATTTCGGTCTCTTGATAGGCGGGGGTGGTTCTGCTCGTGAGGATTTCTGCGGCCGGTTGTGCTCGGGAGGATCGTCTCGTCTCTTATCTTTCGATCGAGAATCGGATTCGTTCGGTAGGTGTAATGGAGATAGTAACGGCGGAACTGCTGACCTCGAAGACGCCGTATCAGCTCTTGCCCGACCGCTCGAAGAGGGGCTGGGTTTGTTGCCATTGATAGAGTCCCCTCGCGCACGGGAGATGGGGGACTTGTTCGCGCCTGAGCCAAAGGCTGTCTTTAGAGCAGACCGCCCGTTGGGCAATGAAGATGAGCTTGTGCCCAATTTCCCGTCCTTCTGCGGCGTCCTGTCTTGTGATGAGTGTGTCTCTTTCCTTCTCGGCGTATCGTCTCGAGGTGTCCGCGATCGCTCGTCGAGCGGCGTGCTCGCTTCGGGTTTGACTCGTTTCTGAGGTCGCAATTCGCCGTCCACATCCGCGATTCTCTTCCTCTTGTCTGGGGTATCATTGCTTTCTTGTGCTGCCCGGGATTTTGCATCGGGTTTGCTCGTTCTAGAATGGGTCAGTCAGCCTCTAAATGCGGAGCACAGCGGGAGAGATAGGTCCAAGGTTTTACCTTTCATCGTGGGCGCCATCGCGCGCCTTATGCGCCTTGACGTCCCTTGATACATCCGGCCTCTTAGGCTCACGATCAATCCGACTTTCTACCACGTTCCTTTCCTTTCGCGAAACGTCGGTTCTGGGCGTCGATCCGGAATCGGGAGGAGAATCCGACACCTTCTTCTGTTTGTTCTTGTAATCACTCAGTGACAGCTTAGTCACGTTCTTCCTTTCCATCTTCGCGTTCGAGTCTTTGACGGCTGGTGGGATCGCAGGTTCTTCGCGCATATCATGGTACGCGCGGGTGAGCAGCATTCCGCGATCCGCGTCGGATAACAGCGTCATGTACTGCAGGGCGGGATACTTGAACTCCTCAAAGGTCTTGCTGTGATCGGGAGGAACTCGAAAGCGCTGGTCGGGGTTCATGGAAAGAGAATGCGGTCGATCAGGCAGGATGCGCTGGGCCAGCAGTTGGACCTTTTTCGCCGCTGCTTCCATGGTTTAGTGGTGTTTGCATGCCGTGGGGGTATGTAGATACAAGGATCGCAAAATGCGCGGTCGGGAGCGCAAGACACGAGGGCGGGGTGGCGCGGTGCGATGGGGGTGGATGACTTGTGGTTGGATAGCGAGTGTCGGGATTGAGGTTAAACAACAAAGACCCGCGATGGTTGGCAGGCGATGCGAGATCGACGGGGTGACGCAGGGGGTGGAATGGGCGCCGGAGTAGAGCACAAAGCTCTCTCCGCAGCCCACGAATGTGTTGATTCGAGCCGGCGGCAATGGGCGCCGACAATTAGGCAAGGTGGTGTTGTTGGCCTGGTTTGGGCGCCGATGAGGATATGTCGTGATAGCGTGACGTGAGTGTGCGATACCGCCCTTATCTGGGCTACCTGGGTTGATGAGGCAGTCGGTGTAGGGGTGGATTTTTTGCGAGGAATCGAAATACACGCGAGCAGATGGTGTCAATGAAGCTCTGGGCGATGGATGCGTCGTTGGTATGATGCGACGATGGCGACCGCGACGTGGGCTAGGTGTCGAGCAAGATTGCTGTTGTGCTGCTCGGAGAGTTGGTGCGGTAGTGGTGGTGGTGGCAGTCGGGGTCGTGACCGTGGTCGTAGTCGTGGCAGTGGTGTATGCAGTTGCAGCGTCCGAACATCAACCCTTGCAGCAGCTGGAGCGGGAGGTCAGAGAAGCCGCAGCGCATTTCCCGACGTGGCGTGCTGCTGGGGGGGGTGATTTGATGGGTTGGGATGCGATGCGAAGCGAAAGGAAGCGAAGCCAAGCCAAGCTCACTCGTAGCGACGCGGCGCTCAAAGGTGCAGATGCGTCAATCGACGACGCGAGTTGAGGTGAGGTTCGGGTCGGTGCGAAGAAGTGTAAGAGCGTCTTCCCCAGTAGAGGGAGCACCTGCTGCGTACCTACACAGTAAGGTGAGGTAAGGTAAGGTAAGGTAAGCAAGCGGTAGGTAGGCAGTTGCAACTTGCGCCGGATCCAGACGGGGTTGAGGACGGGACGACGTGCCGCAGGTCGACGATACGGGGTGGAACAAGGGTCAAGGTAGGAGGTGTGGTATTGGAAAGGACCGAGGTCGCGGGTCTTTTGGAGAGACGGTGGACGGGACCTCGCGAGTAGTGTGGATTTTGGACGTGGATGGGAGGTCCAGGACATTGCCCACTCAGTGCTCACTGCCCAAGTGTGTACTAAGAGTACGGGCGGGTACCTTAGGTGTGGTAGGTACCTTTGGCGTGGAGTCTCGTACCGTGGCAGGCACCTCAGTGCTCTTAGCTTACACTGAATCTTGTATGGACGGGGAGTGGCACACCTTAGGTACTGGACTGCCCAAGTGGATGGTGCAAAGGGGAGGGGAGGAAAAGGTGGATGCCGAGCCTGACCTAGTACTCCCGCTGGTACCTCAAGGTAGGTAGGTACCTTAGCGTAGCCCAGTGAGATGGATGAAAGCCTTCACCTTAGGTACTTTACCTCACATTCACCGTGTGGTGTACATCTGTACGACAGACAACCTTACATGGAAGGCACTCACAAGTGGGATGGAGGTCAGAATCACGGCAATTCACTTCAGGTCAAGACACAATCTTGGAGGGAAGGAAACAGGCAGGATTGGCAAGGCCAGCGCAGCGCAACTACGTTATGGATGGAGGGCAAGCAAGGCAAAGACACGCGCTATCTCGCGGCGAATTCAGACCAATCAGACACCCAGATGGCAACCACTGGACGCAGATGATGCGAGACGGCAGCTGGAGGTGTGATGGGAGGTGGTGTCCAGTGCGCCAACCAGGACAGGAATTGAAAGTGCGACGTCCTGGCAATCTGGTTACCTTGCCTTACCTTACCTTACCTTACCTAGGTGAATGCCCACCCAGAGAATTGGGTGCGGCGCGTGCGTGCTCATAGCTTGCTCAATGCCCGTTTCCTGAGCCTGGAATCCAAACTTGAGCCAACATCCGCACCCAGTTGCGCGGGAATAAGGTACAGAGAAGTAACACCCTAATAATGGGCGCCCGATCTGGAAAGATCTGGCCAGGTACCCGTGCCAGTCGCCTTCCACATTGCTTACGTTATCACCCCAAGTGCAAGCAGGGACAATGGACGCCGCCTGCCTGCCCTGTGGCCCGCCTCTCATCTCAGACCGCTTGCTGGCGGGCTGCTTAGCTGTGGCCCAGCGGCGGGAATCACTGACCATGCCGGGACCATGGGGGGCCACGGGAACTTTACGAATTCAACCTAAGCCTAAGGTAACTTACCCAAGTTGCCTGTGTAGCTCGGAGGAGCCGCGCTGATCCAACGTGCAGCCATCATTCATGGCAGGATGGGGGGTTAAGAGAGGATGGGCTGTAGAAAATGTCCGATAAAGTCCCGTGACTCAACTTTGAACCGACCCCAGCTTGTCACGATTTGGGGCACGCATTGTCTTATCAACTTGTTTGTTTCGCTGTTTAAACAACCTGCAGGTACGGAGACTGCATTTGTAGAATGTACCTTGTTTACCGCGCAGACAATGTGCTTCATTGTGGCTTGCCCGAATCATGTCACACTTCAGAGCACACGCATTCTAAATCTAGGCGCTTCAGAATCCCTCAACAAAGACAACTTAGCGTCGTCACACATAACGGGTTTCTCTGAAGAGGCGTTTACGCCAGTGACAAATGTTATTGTATCAACACAGCGGATAACATGAAAACTCAAGTCGTTGCAAAATAGGCGTCTGCCATTGGCGCAGTCTCTATCTAATCTAGAGCTATGTCTGTAGGCAAGTTACCACCGTATGGTAGCCTAAGGCGTGTTTGACCACTGCCTATGAGAATATGCTCTCTTCTTTTCATGAGAAGGGTACAACTTGGTATCATAACAGGATCCATTTGCGCCGTCTTCCCTGGTATCATGCTGAACTCAAATGCCCGATGCATCAACTCCCTTTCTTCACCTTCAATGCCTGCCATTTGTCAATGCTACCGAGCTCAGTCTGCGCTTCTTATTCGCAGGCTCGTCGTTCAACTTCAACTGTCTCTCCAAGAAGTGCAGTCTCTGCTCATATGTTGTTACCTGCCTAGCCATTTGATCCACCTTGGGTCCAACTGCCGCTTCCGTAGGGTGGTATCTGTCAATGTGGTGCAGAATGGCCTGGTAGAGGCTCTCCGTTGTCAAGTTGTTGATTTGCGCGTCCACATTCATGATGTTGTGTTGCATAAAGTCCATCTTGGCCTCGGAGGCCTGCACCTTTTCTTCCGTAGTCGCAAATCTTTTCTCGATGCCGTCCAAGCGCCGGTGATCCGCCCGGGTTTCGTATGCCTGGCTTTCTAGTGCCTGGATTCGTTGAGAGTCCGCAGCCTGGCTTTCGCTTGTTAACTTGGCTGACTCGGAAATTGCCTTGATGCTTTGATCGATCATCGACAACTGCTCCTTCAATGCTTCAATCGTAAGCTTGATTGAAGCCGATTCATCAGACGCGCGCCTCTTGGCTGGTACATCTGCAGTCTTGGTTGGCTCTGAAGCATCGTGTTCCACACGACGTGGACTCTGCCTCGAGACAGCCTCAAGCACCTTGATCCGTGTATCGTAGTCCTTCAACTTCCCTTCGTAAAGGTCGACCTTCAAGTCATTAGATGGAGTCGACAGCCGGCTGTTCTCCGCACTTCGACTCGACTTCTGGTCTGATCCTTTCTCGAGCGTCTTTACTTGAGTCCAAGCAACCGCGTCCGTCGTGCGAAGCGGTGGCATTTGGCGCTCTACGATGTCGATTCGCTTCTTTACGTCCTCGATCCAATTACTGAATGTCTTGAAAACGGTGGCGTTCATGGTTGTGAAGGTTCTGACCGCCAAGAACTTGTCGCCATTGGGTGGACGTGGTATTTCCGAAGCAAGTTTCTCTATGCTCGACTGGAGCTGCGTCATTTCGGTCCTTAGTTGCTGAGCCTCTGTCTTGATTTGTTCAATGACAGATTCGAATTTCTCAACATTTTTTTTTACGTAGTCAGTGTCGGATCTGAGCTGCTGGGCTTCTGTCTTCAGGTGCTCAGTGTCAGACTTGATTTCGAGAGCGTCCTTCCTAACGGACTCTGTTTCCGACTTCAGTTGGGCTCTGATGCACTCTGCTCCGGACCTTAGTTGGGCAGTCTCGGATTCGAGCTGCTGAGCGTCTGCCTGGATCTTGTCGATATCAGAACGTTGCTGTTGAACATCTCGTTCAATGTCAGAACGTAATTGCTTGACACTGGATCGAATGACCTCTGTATCCAATCCGAGCATCCTGTGTTTGGTCTGGAGTGTAGTCACGTCGTCGGCAGCCTTCTTGCCATTTTGTTCTAGTCTTGGCAGCGTTGTCGCAATGGCACCACAACTGTCGCTGATGAGGTCGATATCCATCTCACCGAGCTTGTTGTCGTGCTCGCAAACTTGATTCTTTAGCATGGCTATTACGCTTTCGTGCTGGTCCAGAAGCGTCTTGACTTCCTTCAGTTCCTCGGCTGTTATGCCATTCTGTTTTGGTGGTGCTCGAGGTGGCACAACATCTGGCTTTGGCTCTTGCAGCCGCTTGATGGATGCACCTTGATCATCGGCTTTGGAGGTCAGAGACTGGTAATGACCCTGCAGCTCTTGAACCTTCTTTTTCAGCGTCTCATTCTCGACACCGAGAGCTTTACGCTTGGCACTCTCAACCGAGAGGGTTTTGCGGAGTTCCTCCATCTGTTTCTGCTGCTCCGCAGCTGCTTCTTTATGTTGGTTCTCGAGCGTCTCGAGGCGTGAATTGAGCCGTGTCTCGAGTCCGTCCGCAGGGCTAGGAGCAATCGAGCGGCGATCTTTGTCTTTCTGCTGCAGCTCGGTAAAAGCTTGGAGCAGAGTAGCAGCAAAAGCTTCTGCCGAAGCCTGCCACTGTTGGTCCGCATCCTTCATCTCCTTCCCCAAATTACCTAGGTCATCGGTATCCTTCTTCTCAAGCTTCCGATGGTAGTCTCTCAAGGAGGGAAATTCGGCATATTTAGGGTGCGATTGGGCATGCTCTTTCTCCCGAGCTTTTGCACGCGCCTCAACTACATCTTTCCGCAACCGAATTGCACCTTGTTCGTTACTTCGCTGAGTGAGTTGTCGTAGAGATGCGGTGATCTTGATCGTTGATGTCGTACCGTTTGCGAATCGAGGGGTCGGTGGTGCCGAAGATGCTGGTGTCGTCGAAAGCGCTGGGGGTTTCCATGGTGCTGACACAACGGTTAGTATCGGCGTCCTAAGAGAACGGCATTCTATGCTTACATTGCTCCGACCCGCGGTCGAGACGGGTGTCTATTGATATACCCGACTTGCTGTGGACTGGCGAAGAAAACGTTCTTGTCGGCGGTCCACGAGGAGGGATGGCAAGTCGTGGTCCGCTTGGCGGCACCAGCTTGGACAAGTCCGTTTGTGTTCTCGACTGGTCACGATCAAGATCCTTCATCCTGTCTCTGTCCCTGTCCCTGCCTCTTTTTCTCTCTCTGATCCGCCTGTCTGGCGAACTTGAGCGGGATGGTGAAGAACGGGATAGTGATATAGATCGTGACCGAGACCGAGATCGCGGACGGGATGGTGATCGTGAGCGACGGTTATATCGAGAGTCGCGACCACTTGGGCGGTCTCTTTCGCCACCTCTGCGATCGCTGTAGTCGTAGCCACTGTAACGACCGATGTCGTCTGAACGCCTAAAAAATGACGACGACGACATGGTTTTGAAGGGAGAAGTATGGACTCTCAATCGAAGGTCGGTCTGTGTTTGTCGTCTCCTTTCAACGTGAGATCATGTCCAGGCCGCATACTCGACAAGTAAGGCACGTTGCGGGGGGTGCGCGTAGGTCGGTAGCAAAAACGTGTTTGCGTGTACGCAGGTGGCAGGCAGGTGAGGTCAGGCAAGGTAAGGTCTTTTGTTTGCAAGATGCAAGGTGGGGTGAAATGCGTGGATGCCCATATACTTAAGAGGAAACCCCTATTGCGGGAAGGAGCGCGTCAATGTCGATTACGTCGGCTCACCTAGGGGTCTTTTTGGTGATCGTAAAGCTCCGAGGTCGAGGCTCAAAGGAAAGGAAAGTAGGGAGTACAGACAGTGACCGGAGTTGCCACTATCTGTTTTGAGGGCAGGTCCTTTTTTCACAAGTGATTTTCTCTTTCTCCTACTCCGTAGTTTTATATCTAAATCCCTGTTCTCAGGCACCTCCTGAAGTTGGGCGGTCAGTGCCGTCGCGTGCTGGAATCGCGCCCCACGCAGATCGCGCTTGCTCGGATTAGGTCGGGTCTAGCTTAATTGCATTGGCCCTGGGTGCCTGGCAACCTGGGAAGTGCAGCATTTGGGGAGCCGAGGTGGGTTGGGGGAACTTGGGATGGAAGTAATGTTCCTTGTACGGAGTACTCCGTACGGATAAGTAGGCACATATGCAAGGCTTATCAGAACGTCTCTCCAGTTACCTCACATATTCTACCACTGCCTCCGGGATGAACTTCATGTATCGTTGGTGGAACTAAGCTACTGCGACTATTCAATGCTGGCATCAGGACATAGGTGGAGACTAGAGAGCAGAAAGGAATGGATGTGGTGGAATGATATCGAAGAACGCGCAGGGGTACAACTCAGAGGAAAAAGCAAACACCAAGCGACTGTTCCATGCGTCGGACGTTATGCACCTCAGCGTATGCAGTTGCAGTGACCAGCTTAGGTACAGAGCACTTCATTCCAAGTCTAGCCCCGTAGATCTCCCACAATCTTACCTCAATTGACGCTGAAAAGGCCTCGCTGGCACAGGCTCACACGCTCGCTGTAAAAAGTGTTGCACCTTTAATTGGAGGGCCAAGACGTTCATGGTTTCGGGCTGGGGTGCATCTGCCAGTGAGGAACAATTCATGGCCGCTGTCATGTCCGATAGCGTGGGTGCGGATACCTGTAGTCCTGCTGATGCTAATTTCAACAAGTCTGGGCCACGTAGAGTTGCTTTCAAAAGTAAGAGAACATTCCATTACGTCTGCTCATCGGAACACTTCGTTCAAACCACGACTGACCCAGACGATACATCGCCTTTTCTAAGTCGGCTTTCGCGGGTTGTGATAATGCCGCGCATATCAACATGTAAGTACGGAGTACTCGGTACCTACACTAAAGATTGCTCAGATGAAAGGGACGAAGGTGTGGCGGGTGGGGTGAAGTTGTTTGCCGGCAGGACTCCGAACTAGGTAGGCACGGTAGGTAGGATGGCACCCATGCTTGCTTTTTCCGGGGTCATACAAAAACTGAACCATCACAGATTCACAGCAACTTACGGAGTACAAGGGGCCAACTTGAGTGAGGTGGGGGAGGGCGCATCCAAAAAAAGCAAACATTGCTGCTATTGTAGGTATTAGCGCTATTTCTCCCCCTCAAGTGGGACTTGACCTCGTACGTCCCTTGCTATTTTCCACCATCGCATCGGCGATGCAATTCTATTCTGCACTCGGGTACCATCGCCCCTCTTGAGCACTATCAGAAGGTCACGATCAAAAAATTATGAGGAAAGCGACCGGCGCCAAACGCGCATGGCTGGGAAAGCAATATGTACAACTTACAAGATATCACTGTTCCAAGCCAGGATCACCGCCCACCTTCAGTGTTACACGATCGAGGCCTGTTTCCCAGATAACAAATGATTTTTTGGCCTGCTTCTGGAAGCAAGCTACTCACCTGTAAGACAAGATTGTGCAGCTGTATCGTCTCGACGTCAACCAAGCTTTGCTTGCCCACGACAACAATCAACTGCATTCAGAGGTTGAACTTTTGCTCGGACACATAGCTCATGCTAATGAACAATGATCGCAACTTGCCCTGGGCTAACTGGCCACAACGGGCGAAGCTGGAGCTGCCCTGCCCAGCAACTTGCTTCAGACATCATACGAAAGTAATTCGCGGTTCAACACAAGTAGATCATCGTGGTAGTAAAGTTAAGTCAGGTGGACTTTACTCTGAACCTGATAATGTTTAAGCGCTGGCGTCGAGCCTAAAGTGAGCCTAAAGTGAGGTGGTACGGATACAGTGCCTGAATTCTGGGCAGACTTTCTAACGTCCTGGCTTACCTACACGGGCCTGTGCCTGTGGCGCCGAAGCGCTAGCCGCGCCACGCTCAGCCCGTGCAAACTGAGGTAAGCGCGTTCCCAAATTTCTGAACGCGCAAGGCCCAGCTCTTTCAGCCTTGAACGACCATTGACGAACTGCTTTTTGCGCCTCATCCACGAACATCACCTCAAGCCCGTCTACTCCCATTCGCATCCCTCAATTGCCGAAACCCAAAACCTGCGACAAGCTCCCCGAAGTTATTGGTAAACCAATCTCAAGATGGCTGCGGTATGCGCTCCTTCCCGTCTACACACACCTACGCACTAGTAGCTAACAGCGTCCCTAGCCCGTCATGACCGTCTCCGAGAGCAAGGAGCTCAAGGGCCTCAACCTCATTGCGGCCCACTCCCACATTCGCGGCCTGGGTGTTGATGGCACAACACTGGAGCCCAGAGCGGCATCTCAGGGTCTGGTTGGACAGGAGAAGGCCAGGAAAGCTGCTGCCGTAATCCTGCAGATGATCAAGGAGAGCAAGATTGCTGGAAGAGCTGTGTTGATCGCCGGCCCCCCAAGGTAAGCCTCCTCCGCATGTCTCCTTTGAAGACTGTACAATTGACTTTGCATCTCCTCAGCACCGGCAAGACCGCCATCGCCATGGGAATGGCTCAGTCCCTCGGCCCCGATGTCCCCTTCACTTCCCTCGCCTCATCCGAAATTTTCTCCCTCGAAATGTCAAAGACCGAAGCTCTCACACAAGCATTCCGCAAGTCGATTGGTGTTCGCATCAAAGAGGAGAGCGAGATTATGGAGGGCGAGGTCGTCGAGATCCAAATCGACCGAAGCGTCACAGGCGGTGCCAAGCAGGGAAAGCTGACGATTAAGACAACCGACATGGAGGCTGTCTATGATATGGGCGCCAAGATGATTGATGCCATGACCAAGGAGCGCGTCATGGCCGGTGACATCATTTCCATCGACAAGTCTTCAGGCAAGATCACGAAGCTTGGCCGGTCATATGCTCGCTCGCGCGACTACGATGCCATGGGCGTCGACACCAAGTTCCTGCAGTGCCCAGACGGCGAGCTGCAGAAGCGCAAGGAGGTTGTACACACCGTCACTCTCCACGAGATTGATGTTATCAACTCAAGAACACAGGGCTTCTTGGCCCTGTTCTCCGGAGACACTGGTGAAATCCGCAGCGAGATCAGGGACCAAATCAACACCAAAGTTGGCGAGTGGAAGGAAGAGGGCAAGGCCGAGATTGTTCCCGGTGTGTTGTTCATCGACGAGGTTCACATGCTCGACATTGAGTGCTTCTCATACATCAACCGTGCCCTGGAAGACGATCTCGCACCCATCGTCATCATGGCCAGCAACAGGGGCAACTCCCGCATCCGTGGAACCGACTACCGCAGCCCCCACGGTCTGCCCCTCGACTTCCTGGACCGTGTCGTCATCATCCACACAAGCACCTACAGCCCCGAGGAGATCAAGCAGATCATCACCATCAGAGCTCAAGAAGAGGAGGTTGACGTCTCAGCCGACGCTCTGGCGCTGCTCACAAAGATCGGTCAGGAGGCAGGCCTGCGTTACGCCAGCAACCTCATCACCACTTCTCAGTTGATCTGCGCCAAGCGCAGAGCGAAGCAGGTCGAGATTGCCGACGTCCAGAGGAGCTTCTCGCTCTTCTACGACCCGTCTCGCAGCGTCAAGTTTGTGTCCGAGTCGGAGAAGCGCCTAATCGGCAACGACGGTGCCGTCGACTTTACTGTCACTAATGGCCATGGCGATGCGATGGAGTTGAGTTAAGCGTGTTAAAGGGTCTTCCGTGTTGGGCGTTTTTGGGCAGTAAAATAGGTGGCCACCCCCTGGGACGTATGATAGATTATGTACCATAAATGTTTGAATGGTAGCATCGTGACGATGCCAGGAATGCAAGGCTTTTTTATTCATTTCATCCGTCTTTGTGACGTGGTATTACTTTTTTCGAAATGTGCTCCACTCGGCAGAACGATTATACAAACGTCGCAACCCTAGTCCAGGCGTCATCACCAACCGGCCGGAATTCAACGCCCTCACCAAAGTACCCGGCATCCTGCCATGCCTTCATCGTGGGTCCATCGTACGGCCCTTGTTTATCCGCATTGTCACGCCCATCCGTCCACCGGAACTCCCACATCCTCGAGGACAAATCCTCATCGGCGCCGTCCTTTGCCGGCTCAACCCACTGCTCGCCCGTCTCCCGCTGCCACTCGCGCACGAGCATCTCCCTCTCCTCGTCATAAATCTCGGCGCGGTCTCGACTCAGGAGCTTGTCCGCCGCGTCGGTGATGGCCTCGATGGCCTCTTTCCTCTTCTGCTGCTCAGGGCTAAGCTGGTCCTTTTCCTTGTCGACGTCCATGGCCTCCTCGCCGCCGCCGGCCTTGTTCTGCTTCTTGAGCTTCCATTTGGGTATCTTTTTGGTTTTGGGCTGCCCCTTGCCCAGCCTCGCCAGGGCCTCGAGGGATGTCTCGCCCCTTTCTAACCTCACGATGAGCGCCTTGAGTAGGTCCGTCGTCAAGATATCGTCATTCTCCATCCGTAACCTCCGCGCCTCGGCTTCTCGTTTTTCATGTGCATCCGCCGCCTTCTTCAGGTCCTTCTTACTCAACCCGTCAAGCCACTTGTCGTGCACGGCGTTCGGGTCCACAGCTTTCCTGATAAAGTTGCCATCCTCGTCGAAGCGGCCCTCCTCTTGCTCGTCCTTCATGTTAAACGCCTCGACCTTGGGCGCATTACGCTTCAGGCCGCCAAGCCCAACCTCCTCGTCAATACCCTCCTCCTGCATCGCCAGCTCTTTCTCTTCTTCATCGTCGCTGCTCTCCTCGTCGTCTAGGCGGATCTGCCCTCCGCTTTTACTGTGTAGTTCTTGGCCCTGAATCTGTGCGTCGTCAAGGAAGCGCACAGCCTTGTCCTTCCCTGCCGCCTTCGTCCCTTCCTGCGCCGTCTTGCCCTCCTTCTCTTCGTCATCGTCGTCCGCAGCAAACATATCGTCGTCCTCATCGTCATCCTCATTAACCTTGCCCCCCTTGCCGTCCGCACCGCTACTCTTGGCGTCGTAGCTATCCAGTTGGCCAAAGAAATCCGCATCGCCATCTTTCCTGCCCTTATGCTTTTCGTTCGCGCGCGACTTGAAGTTGCGCTCGTTGTCCGAGTCGCTGTCGTACCCGTCTAGGTTCACGGCGCCGCGCTTCGTCGCTCCCCCGCCGCCGCCAATGACGTCGGCGTCGAGGATGGCGTCCTCTTCTGGCGCATCGGGGGCTAGGGCGGAGGGGTTGCGGACGTCAAACTTTAGTTTCTTGGAGTCGTGACCGTCGTCTGCTTCGGCGTCGTGGTGGTGCGTTCGCGCAAAGGTTTCGCCTGCCCTTTTTGGGCGCGCTGCTGAGTGTCTGGAGGCCATCTTCGGGCTGGCTATGCGTGAGGATGTGGTGTAGGTTGTGACAGATGAGGATGCAAAGCGTGGCAAGGCTGGCTGGGCTTTGTCTTGAAAGAGCTTCTTTCTAGGTTGGCTGGATGCAGCAGCTCTAAACGTCCCGTTCTAAGTTTCCAGTAATGCATCTGAGAGCTGAGAGCGGATACCTCGAATTCCCTACAAAGTTGCATGGGCATTAAAGTATCGACCAGGGTGTCGGGCATGTCATTTTTTGGTGGAGCCCAGCCGACCTTCCAGCGGGTTTCGTCATTCATCAGTTGCCTTTGCGGCCCCACGTAGACCGCGGGTCCTCCTTCATCACACCCAAAGGCCAAAGCTACCTTCTTTCACCACCTGCGGCAGCCACAACTGCTCTGATTCAAAGAACGCTGCCCAAGTTAGCTTCCCGCACTCGAACAACAGATCGGGATTCACATTTCTCATTTTGATTTACCTCTCTCTGCTGCCAAAAAGATACTTTACTCACCAAATCGCCCACTCAGATGGTAAGGTAGCTGTCCAACTCATTAAATCGCCCCAGCTAATTCTGAGCTCCCCAGTATCGCTTCGACCCCAACGAAGCAGACATGTATAACTTCGCACGCGGTGGCCGCCGGCCGATCGTCCAGCGCTTCGACGAGTACTACCGATGCTACCCCATGGTGATGGCACCTGGACCCGAGCGACCCGACCTCAACTACGGTTCCAAGATCTTCCTGCCGCCCTCCGCCCTCGACAAGGTCTCGAAGCTCCACGTGCAATGGCCGTTGCTTATGGAGATTATAAATGGCGAGAAGGGAAAGCACTCTCACGCCGGTGTGTTGGAGTTCGTCGCGGAGGAGGGCAGAGCATACCTTCCCCACTGGGTTCGTGGTCCTATCCTCTCCATGGCCCGCGCTGGGCTGGCCGTAGCGGAGGTGGCGTTGCTAACGTGTGAGACCAGATGATGCAAACTCTCTCACTGGATGTTGGCGACATGATCCAGATCAAGACGACTTCCCTCGAGCTTGCCAAGCTGGTTAAGCTGCAGCCCCAATCGACCAACTTCCTCGATATCAGCGATCCCAAGGCCGTGCTGGAGAAGGCATTTAGGAACTTCGCCGCTCTCACCAAGGGTGACGTCTTCAACTTCGAGTACAATGACGAGATCTACAATGTGGCGGTCCTCGAGGTCAAGCCGGAGACGGACAAGATGGGAGTGTGCCTGATCGAGACCGATGTCGAGGTCGACTTTGCGCCACCAGTCGGCTACGTCGAGCCAGAGAGACAACAGAGAGGCAGCGGTACCAGCACACCCAGAAGCGGACGCGGTGGCCTCCCGGCCGGCGGTCTGCTACACAGCCAAGGATCCATGGCCCAGTCTATCAACTACGGCGCCATCGCCCCCGGTTCGGCGACGACCAACACTAAATTCTACGGCGAGGGCCAGAAGCTCAGCAAGAAGGGAAGCAAGGCGTCGACGCCCAAGCCCGCGACTCCCATCGCTGGAGCCTCAGCCAACCCGCCCGCTTTGCCCATCCCGCGCCGGAACAACAACGGTCCCATGCCTCTCCGCCTCCCGCCTAACAAGCTCTTCTTCGGCTATGAGATCAAGCCGGTCAAGACCGACGACGACAAGAAGCGTGAGCTGGAGGAGCAGAAGCGTCCGCACTTTGCGGGCCAGGGCCAGACACTTCGAGCTAAGCGCAAGGGTGAGGCTGAGGAGAAGGAGAAGGCCCCGGAGAAGAAGGGACCCGCAGAGGGGCGCAGAGTGGATAGCCGCGGCCCCAAGCCTCGAGGCATCGAGTAGGATAGCGATGTGCGGGCGAGAACATACTTGTGATTTGGGATGGATCGACTGGCGTTCGGGGGTGGGATGGGTAATCATTCTGGGCGCATGGTTTTAATTACCAGGGCAGCATCGTCTGGGACAGTCAAACGGTGATTAGATTCCCGAAAATGAAATGATTGAGATTACTTACGATTGCCGTGTCTGAGACGAAGTTCGTCAAGGAAGTGATGGCCGAAGTCAATGAGGCCGAGGGCACATGACATCAACGTGAGCAGTACTCTGACACTCATCTTGTCATCACCGCCCACGATGGCATTGTCGTAGGAATCAGAATCATTTAGCAAAAGGTCTTCACTCGTACAGCAATCGGTGTACTCAAGTTTAGCAGATTATGACTTCCATTTCTGACTAGAAAGAAAAGCTAGCAAAAGAGCAAGCTTGCTTCTATACGAGCCGATTCTGAAATCCTCCGCAAGCAATAGTCAAAGGGGCGGTAATCTCAGCCATACCCCGTCAAATCAGTCCTTTGAAACGTTCTCTCTCTGCCAGAAATCCCTTGTAATCGATGAGCCATCTGGCCCCTTCCGGCGGAAAAAACGAAACCCAAAAGCCTTTTCCCTTCCAGTTTCCGTCCATCCCAGCCTTCATTATCCGAGTATCCCCGTGGTCTCCATTCTCTCCTCCATTGCCACTCCAGATCCAATCAACCCAATGGCGGTGGTCTTTTGTTTTGGTTTTGCGAAGAAGAAAAGGCGTCCATGAGAAAAAAAGATGAAGAAAGCCGAGAAACGAACGAAAAAGCTGGTGAGAGAAGAGGAAAAGCGAAAAAAAACCGTTCCCGATGCCGAAAATATGCCAGTTTCAGTCGGACCACCTTGCCGTCAATCCCAGTAGCAAGCATGAAGAAAAAAGAGACGGTGAACGAAAACCCTTCTTTCCCAAAATCTCCCCGCCCATCATTGAAGTCATGAGAGCAGGGAAACCAAAGAGAAATGAGTTTCATCGCATACCAATCCTCATCCTCAATTAATCCAAGTCCATCGCAGTCGCGTTTGCAGCAGCCTGAGCAGCCGCCTCAGCAGCCTTCTCCTCGGCTGCCTTGCGAGCCTTCTCCTTGTCGGCTGCCTTTTTCGCGTTGATCTCCTGGAGCTGCTTGCGACCTGCCTCACAGGCGGCCAAGACATCCTTCTCGATTTTCACCTAGACAGGATTTCTGGTCAAGGTACGAGGGATGACCTTGGGGGACTGGGGAATGATGCCCATGACTTCGAAGTACTCCTCGTTGGTCGGGATGGGGTTGAGGGTCATGCTGTGGAATTTCCGAGTTAGGTCCATTTTTGAAAGTGTTGGGTGCTTGAAGAGGAAGTTGTGTATGATGTAGATGTTGAATTGTGGAAATTGAAAGCTGAAGTGTGGTTGGAACTTGGATTGTAGAAATTTGTGGGTGGAAGAGGGAAGTTTGGAGAGACGGAAGGTAGTGATGGAGGGTAGGAGGTAGAGGTGTCGAGTTTGAGGAGAAGGGTAAAGAGATAGACAGCTCGTAGTAGACGGAAGGAGGAGGCCAGGGAGAAGCGATTTCTTCCTGGTGAAGCTGGGAGAGCCACAAAAACGCCAATAAAAGCTCGGGGCCTGAAGTGTTGGGATGACAAGAATGGGTCTAGCTGAAGGTATAGAACGTGAAACAGGAATCCGTAATAACATACCTGCGAGCACGGGCACGATGACTGAAGGAGGCATTGAGGAAACGGATCTCGACCTCATGCTTGATCTCGACCTGGTCATCGGCGAGGTCAATCGGCTGTCCGTTCTCACCAGCGGCAGGAGCAGTGTTCTCGATGTTGACGCCAGTATCGTCGCCGGTAAGATCAATCTGCTGGCCATTAAGACCAGCATCAAGACCAGCAGAAGCACTGCCGTGAGTGAACTTCACGCGCTTCTTGGAGTCCTCCATGTCGGGCTCAGCATCATCACCGCCGTTGTCAGCCGAAAGAGCAAGCGAAGCCATCTCGTTGGCGGCCTGGGCCGGGCCAGAGCCACCGGCAGCGGAGGTTCTAGTCGCCCTGGTGCCGGAACCGGGGGCAGCACGTTTGCGAGAAGGAGTAGAAGCCGGAGTGATGGGCACGTCGGCGGCCGCGTTGACACGATCATTGTAAGGCTTAGCCAAAGACTTGCCGTAGCGCTGACTGTGAACGGTACTGTGGTTAGTTCTGCTAGAGACGGTATGACGAGATGGCAACTCACGCGAGGGCCGCAGAGGTAAAGTTATAACCGAGGCGGTTCATGCGGCGAGTGACGGCAGCCCACTCAGGCTTCGTACCAGCACCGGCGTTGGCAGTGGTGGCAATGGAGAGCAAGAGAGCCTTCTCGGCCTCGGCGGTCCAAGAGTTACCAGCCATTGTTGCTGATGTTGCGATGTGGAGTGCTAAGAAGGTCAGTCTCAATACGCCAGGTCTTCGATTGAGAATCGAGCAGAGATAATGAGATTCCAAGAGAGAAAGACGAGCCAGCGACGAAGGCAAGAATGATGTTTGAGAGAAGGTATGATAAGTTAGGGTGGAAGAGAGTCGTGAAGTAAAGGGGAGTGAGGAAAGCAGGTTGAGAGAGCTGATGTTGATCGCTAGGCGGTATGAACTGAAATGAGAAGCGCGCTGTATGTGTGAGGGAAAAACAAATACAGAAGCGCGTAGGATCTCGATGATGTGATGGGGAAAAAGGGTAGAGGGTGAAATATTTTGCGTCGGTCATAGTGAAAATGGATTCGAGGTGAGTTGAGACTCGAAATGCGAGATACATAACATGAGTTAGAAATAACGTACCTGGTATGCCGTATATAGCAAAGCGTAATAATGCTGATATTCTACGGTCGAAGATCTCGCTCTCTAGTCGAGGGGCTGTGAGAGGTGAGGTAGGTTGAAGAGGAAGAGGGTTGGTCAGTGGAGGGGGGAAGGGGGGGATTATATATCCTGTGTGAGAGTCAAGATCTTGAGATGCTAGAGAGGTCAAGAAGGAAAGAACTTTGAGAATCTGAGAGCTGGCATTCGCCTCAACTATGGGACGGCACTCGCCTTAACTATGGGTCGGCGGGCACTCGCCTCAAGTATTGGACGGCACTCGCCTCAAGGGATAAAGGGGTAGCACTCGCCTCGAGTTGGGACAGCACTCGCCTCAGTTTGCGATGGCACTCGCCTCGAGGGGAAACAGGATGGCACTCGCCTCAAACGATTGTGAAATAGCACTCGCCTTCACAGGTGAACAGATGGCACTCGCCTCAAAGAGTTGTGAGATGACATTGGTCTCAAGAAGGCACTCGTCTCGAGAAGTTGAGTGATGTCACTCGCCCTCAAGGTGAACACATAGAACTCGTCCAAGTTGTGAGATAGCATCTACCTCGAAGAGTTCTGGGACAGTTCTCGCCTCAAAGACTTACAAGATAGCACTCGCCTTATGTCTTTGAGAGATAATACTTACCTAAAGTGGTTTTCAGAGCACTCGCCTTGAGAAGTTTCTTAGAGATAGCACTCGCCTCGATAGGGGGAGACTCGTCACCCGACTGGAAGGTTTGAGACAAGAAGGAGAGCTGTGATATCAGATCTACACCCTCTTGACGGGTGTGATGCGGTAGTGGGAGGCTCCTATCAAATGAGGGGGGGCATGGACTTGCGCTCACATTATGATGCAGGAGAGTGAAAGGCTCAAGTAGATGACTGGGAAGCTTAGACTTTGACAAAGATTATGATAAAAGGGGTTGTAACTTGAAACAAATGGGCGAAGAAGTTGTGAACTTGGAGCAAGTTTAAGAGATAGGAGTCTAAAGCTTTTTCAAGACGAATGGAAAACATGTAGTTGGGCACATAATACAATAAGGAAGGTGAACTCTAACCAGATGAGCGGGAGCGGTGGTGGGCAGGTCTCACTCATTGCGATGGAAGAAAGTTCCGACGAGAAGGGTGCAGAGGATGAGCTGGAGATCGGACTTAAAGAAGCTGTGATGAGAAAGGTGAAAGGGATGGGCTTATGCTCTACCTTTTGTTGATGTCATTAAATCAAGTTCTGACGAAAACGGTGAAGGTCATGGGCTTCTTGTTCCTTTGTGGTACGATGAGGAAAGTAAAGAGGATGAGCTTGAGTTTGAACAGCCAGTAATCCGACTTTGTGAAGTTCTGACGAAAAGAGGGGGATAGATTAGACTTATTTTTGCTTCGTAATGAGACGAGATGACCCTCCGATGGAAGATACTAACCAGAGAAAGCATACTGGAGGGCATGTCCTGTTCCCAGACTCTGGTCAATGGGAGGTGGTGGTGATGTCGCTCGTCTGGAACTGAGAGATCAGGTACCTACTACCTGCCATGGGCTCCTTTCGTTTGGCAAATGCATACGTAAGAGAGATGGAAATTTCTTGTCGGAAAGCCATGGCGACTGCTTGTCAACTACACTGCCAACATACAGGCAAGACACTGAGTGATATGAATATAGGAAATCAGGGGGTGGGGGTGGGTGCGCGGAAGTCATGGGAGATTCCCAGGAATTCAAGAGGTGCGAGAGTATGGACTTGCGGGAAGTAGTTTGAGAAAGCAAATGATCTTCTCAATTCTCAATGTAGCTTTTCCGAATTCTCAGGTATCTCATAACCTGTGTCAAAATGCTTTGTGCAGTAAGGTGAATAGCTTCCAGACCTGAGCCAATCCCAATGATCTTCAAAATTGCCAACCCCTCGTATCACTCATCCAAGCCTGCCATATCAAACTCCAGAAAAGCCAGTAAACCGTCCCAGAAATGCCATGTTGCTGTGGTCGAATCGATGTGTTGGGGGGTCGAAAGATGCATCTAGATGTCGTTGTTGACGGGGACGAACTTGGTGCTGGTGGCCTTGGTGTCCTCGTGGACTTCATCCTTCATGCTTTTCCGTCCATGTGATTAGTGAAATGGAATTAATGCCATCGGATTTTGGTTCGGCTTACCTGGGGCGCGCAGGGGTGCGCGGCTTCTTGGGGGGAGGAGCCTCCTGCTCCTCCTCCTCATCCGCCTCATCCTCCGAGTCCTCCGAGTTGACCTTGGCCTTAGACTTCTGGGGAGTCTTACGCTTCTTTGGGGTGGCGGCCTTCTTTGGGGTGGCGGCCTTCTTGGGAGTGGCGGCCTTCTTCTGAGGAGTCGCAGAGCTAGACGCCTCGCCGTCGCCACCGTCGCCAGCGGTGAGCTCCTTGCGATGGAGCTTCTGTATGTGCTGCCTGAAGAAACTTGTTAGCATCTAGAATAAATCCGAAATTTTCGAGAAGAAGAACGTAGTAAAAATTTGGACAGAAAACGGGGAGACGAGGTAAGGGAGATATTGAAAGTGGGCGGAAAGTACAAGACAGCGTTGGAGTTGTAGACATAGCCCTTGGCATGGACTATAGGAAGAACGCGATCCCAGTCCTCCTTGGAGGGCTTGATGACCGACAGAAGCGCGACCAGAAGGTCAGATCGGGCCTCATCGTTCCACACGGTGACTGGAGCCATCCTGATTGGTAGTGGTATGAAAGTTGTAGTGTAAGATGGGCGATAATGAAATAGGCGGGCAGGAGTGATTGATGTTGAGAGGGGGAAGGAAGAAGAAAACTGAAAGGCGCTTGGTCTGGGGATATATATGGAGCGTGGCAGGAAGGAGAGTGCTGGATAGGCAGAAGTGGGAAAGACCAAAACAAAAAGCATGGGAAGGCGCACTTCAAGGCAGAAACGGTCATCGTATGACCGACTGAGTGAAGCTCGCCGATGATGAGTGAGTACTGATCAGCGGATGGAACCATCGTCTTGACCATAGCGACCAAGATCTGCTGGTCAATCTCAGCTGTCCACCGCATCATTGGGCGAGACATATTCCGAAGGGATGTAGAAGAAATGAATGTGACTTGACGTGATGAAAGTTGGTAAGAGGGTAAACAGTTGATGTGATTTGATATGAATCGGAGTGAATATGAGTCGGGTTGATTATGAGAGGTGGAAGAAGGAAGAGATACAGGAGGCCGAGAGGTGAGAAATAAGCAAGAAGCGCAGGGTGAGGGAAGAGGTAATCGCCAGAGCGGAAGAGAGGGCAGGAGGTCTCGGTCTGAGCAACCAGCAAAAGGGAAGATACACACCGAACAGCCTCCCAGGTGATATCCGTGAAGCCATAGGCATGGATCTTCAGGATGACGGAGTCCTTAGCTTCCTTCGTAAGGCCTTCGCCCTTGGCAATGCTATGGAAGCCCATGGCAAGAGCCTCAAGGAGGGCCGGATTGGCCCACTTGCCGCCGGGAGCAGACTTCTCAGACATTGTGATTGCGTTCGTGTAGTGTTTGGCTGGTAGATGGAGAAAAATCCGTGGAATGTGGAAAAAGGGTTGTGTCAAGGAAAGATGGTGGAGCTGACAAGATGGGTGTGTAAAGAAGGGGATGAGAATGGTATCTTGAGGCACCTGGATCAGGCAGCGAAAGCGACAGACGGGCTCCCGGGTTGACAGAAAAAAACCGCCAGGAGGGGCAGGTAGCAAAAGCGCGCCATAACAGAAACCATACGAAATGAAACAGCAAAAAAAATAAAAATAAAAATTTGATTGTATACATACCGGATACCATCCCAGGTAGTGTCCTCGAAGCCATCGCGATGGAGCTTCGCCTCAACACGGTCCTTGGCCTCCTGCGGGAGACCGCCATGCTTCAGCTCGCCGTAGAGTCCAAGGACGAGGCTTTTGAGGAAGGCCGGGTTGGCCCACTTTCCGGTCGGCTTGTTGTCAGACATTGTTGCGATGTTGTTCTTGATTGTTGATGATGATGAGGTTGCTGTTGATGATAGCAAGACTAAATAGCCCTAGGAAATGCTGTTCTGAAACTGTTTTTTGGGTGAGGAGATCACGAAGATTTTGTGATGGTTGAGGAGGAGAATCTTGTAAGGTGTAAAGAAGAAAAAGAAATATTGCTCTCCAGGTCGTATCTTAAGGGGATTATATAGAGAGTCAAGAAGGCCGGTTCCTCTCGCCGGTTGGTACACAAGCCGGCATTAAGAACCCAAAGGGCGAGAGCCATCTGACTGCTTACTACACGGACGAGAGCAGTACAGATAGAGCCTCACTCGTCTGAACACTACCTCGTCTGGATGTATGAACCGTCTCAAAGTAATCAATCGTTCGAACATGAGACGAGAAACCCAAAGAGAAGGCACATTCTTGCTGCTTGCTTAAGAGAGTCCAAAGGGCGAGAGTATCCTGAGTAAACAGGACTTAAAGGGCGAGAGCCTTCTGACTACTCAACTACATAGCCTAGAGTAGCATCAAAACTCACTCGTCTGGAAACATCCTCTTCTGAAAGTTTGAACCGTCTCAAAGTAACCAATCGTCCGAACGCGAGACGAGAGACGAGAGATTCAAAGGGCAAGAGCATCCTCAGTCGACAGAACTAAAAGGGAGGGAGGAGCCTTCTGACTACCTGCCAAGAGTCCTAGATCAATGAAGATTCTCACTCCCGCCGTCTGATCACAACCTCGTCTGAATGTGTAAGCTGCCTCAAAGCAGTCGTCTGAATGCCAGACGAGAAAACCCAAAGAGCAGGAGCATCCCTACCGCTTGGTACACATTACTTGAATGGCGAGAGCCTTCTTGCTGCTTGAGGGAAGCCAAAGGGCGGGAAAATCCTCTCCGCTTGGTAGATAGAGCCTAAAGGTCGAGTGCCATCTTACTACCAAGCAAACAAGTTGTTGCGGGGGGCCCATAGGCCGAGAGCCTTCTCGCTTCATAATGAAGAGAACTCGGGGGTGGCAGGAGTCTCTTGGTGAACAAGCTGGCATGAGGAACCCAGAGGGCGAGAGCCTGTTGGCCCCTTGAGAAATTAGTTGGCGCTAGAATTCTAAAGGGCGAGAGCCTTGTTGCTTCGTGCTGAACAGAGCCCAGAGGGCGGGCGCCTTCTCACCTCTTTGTGAACAAGTTGATATGTGGAACTCAGAAGGTGAGAGCATTCTAGATGTCTTCGCCTTCAAGCATGCACCTACCTTGGTTGTTACTCAGCCCAGGTATAGGTCAGCAGAGTGAGTCGACCTGCCTCTGCGTGTGGACATGGTGTGTCTCAGTGCATCAGTTGAAGTCTCAGTTGTTCCAGAAGGCAGTAGAGGTTTGTCAAAGGAAAGGATGAACGGCACTCGCTCTCGAGTCTGGGCTGCAAGCATCTCAATGAAACAGATGACAGGTAGAAAGAGCCGGCAGGTTCTGGCAAGTTTATTCTTCGTAAGACCTAGTACTCTCGATAGAAACACCCGGTCAACGCCAGTCTGGCATATGTCCTTTATAAGTCGAAGGATCAAAGACAATGGAAACACCCAATCAGTCCAAACTCCAAGCACCTCGTCGTGTTCATAATCTCGCTCCTGATGCCGCTACCGCTTTGATGCATAACGCCTTGGCCTAACAAAACTGATGGGGTGGAGGAATGTTGACTAGCTCGGATTCACAGGTTTGAAGCCTAGTCTAAATCAACGAATTCGCCGAATTCGAATGTCATCGCTGCTTCTGACGCCGCCCTTGCCGCATAAGCTTTCAAGCGGGCCGAGTGCTGTTCCTATGTCTCGGGACCATAAAAGGAAGTGTGCGGGTCTTCTGAACCGGTCAAGCCGGCTGTGGGATACTCGGAAGTGTAGCCATCAGAAGGGGCTTCGCTGTGCGCAGCCAGAGCTAATACAGCTTCGTCATCGACAAGAGAATGGTCATGAGCAGGGTTGTCGAGCTTGATTCTCTTGGCATTAGGGCCGTCTTGTTCGTCATCGTTGTCGTCCTTGAGAGACAGGTCGAGAGTGTCGTCTTTTAAGGGAATATCGAGAGACTCCGATATGTCAAGACCGTCGGTCATCATGGACGTTTCCAATTGCGTCTGGTCATCTTGTAAAGGATCCTCGTGACTGGGCTGGTGCTCGGGCTGGTGCTCGGGCTGGTGGTTGTGCTGAAGATCGGGCTGAATAGTGGACTGAAGATCGGACTGAAGGTGAGGTTGAAGGTCGGACTGAAGTTCAGGTTGAAGATCGGTGGTGATATCAGTCTGAAGGTCGGGTTGTATGACTGGTTGAGGTTGGCCAGCTTGACCAGCTTGAAGATCTTGAAGTTCTTGATCGGGTTCAAGTTGATCGGGTTCAAGTTGATCGGGTTCAAGTTGATCGGGTTCAAGTTGATCGAGTTGACCTGGCTGACTAGGCTCGCCGGACTGATTAGCCAAGGAGGCGATGGCAAGCTGCGCAGTTTGCTGAGGTTGCTTCTTGGGCCTCCCACGACCTGGGCCTGGGCGGCGAGTGATTGGATTCGTTGTTGGATCGACCTTGCGAGGGTTGTCAGGGCTACCTCCATTCGTCTCAGACTTGTGCTGGGCACGACGAAGGCCCTGGAAGTGTTGTCTGCGTTGTGTTAGTTACTGTAAGCAGAACTAACCAAGGAGGCGTGTTCAATATGAGAAAATGAGAAACTTCTGGTGAAGCGAACTCGATGGTCAAGCCATCCCAGCTACAGAAGCGCATCTAATTGCCTGCAGTGAAACCTTGAAAGGAAGCTGAAATGACGTGATAATTTCGATGTCCTACGGAAAGTGCGAAAGGACTCTCGGAGGCAGTCCTCGCCTTGATCCTTGATTTCCACAATAGATCATACAGGTACACTCGGGGGGCAGGAGGGAAACAGAGAAGAATGAGCACTAAGAAGACTAAGAGAGGATACAGAGCGGGGAAGTGCAGATGGCAAAAAAATGGTCGGCGCAGAAGTGAAGGCGCGTAGGTACGCGCAATTTCTCTGAAAATAACGAATCGCAATGACGACGCCTTCATGTGCTGCGGATGAAGTTGCGAGTAGGTCGGAAGGATGGACGTGAAAGAGAGGCGCGCCAAACTCACCTACAGCCTTCATTGGTGAAGCCGTAACCCAGTGTGCGCATGTGGTTGCCGATGGTGGTCCATTCCGAACCGCTGATGACGCCAATGTTCTTCACAGACAGGATGGTAAAGAACAGATCCTTGTCGGCCCTGTCATTCCAATTTTTATTCATGGCGAATGCGACGGATAATGTCGGCGATTCGCGTGGATGATACGGTTAGTCGTGACTTATACGATTGAAAGTGGATGTGAGTTGGTAGCTATCTTTTGCTGTCGAGGATGAGAAATTGGTAGTGTGCTAAGCTCGAGAGAACGATGGGTCGAAGGTGGTTGGGGGGCGCGAGACAGCAAAGTCAAGGCGCTGGGTTTTGAGTGGCTCCCTGGCGCGGTTTAACGTTTCGCCGGGCAAGAGCTCGACTTGCATGCACCTTTGCAAAACCTCAAGACCCGACAGGAAACTACAAAACTCTGGGGATAGATTCCGGAACAGTTTCTCAGAGGAAGTGTTTCTTTTCAGCTGATTATGAACATGTTTGGGGAGGCTATCATCGAAGAGATATCGCGGCCAAAGACGCCTACAAGACCGCGAGCGGATCTTCCGAAGGACTCCCATGTGCAGAATCCCCGGCGTTTAGCCGTTCATCAAGCGAGCTGCGGCACCCTGCAGGTAGGTTAGCGGCAAATGACGGCGCCCTCCCCAGTGTCGTAGTGTCCCGTCGCAGTTGGGCAGACGATTAACGGCTTCCATTCTCTATTCTCTCACTGTCCTGCCCAGGCTTCGTCTGCTCTTCCAACCAGTTGTCTTGTGAATATCACACGTTCCATACCAAAGACCTGAGCGATTGCGCCTTGCTTCATACGATTCGGCATGTTATTTTCTGCACGGAAATCGTTTTCATGAGCTGCCTGGTCAGTCGTGCAGTGACGGCTGTGCGTTCAGTATTACATGGGTTCGTGAGACACGTCGATTCTGGCCCGCTGCCCGCCTGCAGCTGACTCGATTGGCAATGATAGCGTATCTGTCAAATGCCTGATTGCAAGACATGGCCGGCCGGTGTGAGGTAGGTAGCCTCCCGAATACCTAGTTACTCGTAGTTCAAGGGAGGTCAACCGTCAAGCTCGGGGACCAATGGTGCAATCTGTCTCGCATGCGCCTTAAGCCGCACACTGGACAGATGACTGAAGAGGCAACTTCAATTGTGACTACTGAGTTGCGTGAGGCGATCATATTGTATGGTCTCTCTGTGAAAACGCGCAATTTGCTCCAATGAGGATGAGAATCAAGGCAGCTTGCCTCTGTGAAGCTTCTCCCAAACAGCCGCGGGAGGCCCCTTCATCCAGGTTCCCTGTCGCAATCGCCGCTTTACTCTCCCCTCACCATCTCAGGCCGGTTGTGGTAGGTGTGGAGAACGGGCGCTGACAGACCTCAGGCAGCAACTGCAGGTGGATCCGTGGGCGATGCGCAAAGTGGGTCTGGATGACACATCACGTGGTTTCGTGGGAATATTGCGAGGACACAGTGCCCCCTCGGAATCGCGAGGCGCGTCTCCAGACCACTTCACCCGATCCCACCAACTTCATCGCGTGCCGTCTACGACACCAAACAGGTCTTTGGACGACATTTTCATACATTTCATGGCTTCAATATGCGCCCTGACATTTTGTCGCAATTTTTTCTCGTCTCCAAAGTGCTTTTGCTCGTTGGACGAGTAATCCGATCTTCAATTGCCAAACTGGACGGTCATCTCGATTGACCCCTCCCCTCGCCGGCTCGCATCACCAGCACCCGACGGATGTCCCAGCCAGACACGAAATTGAGATTACGACAGTATGATTGACTGGAGCACGAATCCAGGGGGCACTAAACCGGGCCAAGAGGCTCAAACTCTGTTTGCCATTATTCGCCGTATCCCGCATCACAGAACTCCGTCGCTGCAAGCTTCGCCAACCTTGTGGTTACTAGCAGGTTTACCCCTACCTTAGGTGCGCAAACTAAACCCGGGTGTTCGCAAGCCAAGTATACGTATCAGAAGGCATCATGCTGCGTCGTCACAGGTATTCTGTCGACCGCCTGCTGCGTAAGTTTGTTTGACGACTCAGTGTGGGAAGGCCGCCAATGAATAGTGCGCGAACTGGGAGCTGCAACATGGACATAGCCAATCGCCCCAACCCCCTCCATTTCCGAAGCTACCTTGAACTAAAGTACTCGAAGAGTGAGTCACACATCCATACCGCATACCTGTCTCATGCCATTAAGATCCCTGTTCCGTTTCCAAGTGGTCCGCTGGGCGTTCCTGGATCTTGCATCGGGATGGGGGGCCCATTCGACCGACGAAAAAAAGTTCCCCCTGCAAGACACAAAAAAAAAAAACGACCCAAAAACTGCGTGTCAATTGACGAGTCAATTCTGCCTGCAAGTGCAAAAGGGTTGATATCAATTAGTGCTTGCATGTCGGTGGACACGCTAGGCGACACACCTTGCAATTCCTGGCCTTCCGCTCAAACCTTCATTCGTCGGAGAGAGTCAAGTCGACTCCATCACGTCGGATAAGTAAGTGCAGGGGAGGGATCTGCGGACACCGAAAGGCAAAAAAAAATAAAAAAAATTTGAGAGAGAAAGACGGGCAAAAAAAAAAGCTAGGGAATTCAAACCACTTTACGCGCAAATGACACGGCCCCGCGCCGCGACACACCTCGACCCTCTCTCTTAGCTCCCCTCCACCATTTTCATCAGCGCTCGAGTGAGCAGGGCAGCCATCAAAAACTCCAAGCCATTGGATCCCAAACCATCCCATCCCGCCCATGGATGCCATGCACTTGCGTCTGCGCCTCACCACACCTCACCTACCACACCACATCATCTCTCCACACCCTCCACAAACGTCACACCCCCCTCTTCCTCTCACTCAAGGACATGCGTCCCCGTCAAAGCCTGCCGCCGTAACTCCAGGCAACAAGGGACTATTTTGATTCCTTGTGTCTCAACCAAGGGGTTTGCCACTTTTACACCTCAATAAAATGTCGGCCCAAGCGCAGCGGCGTCTTCCCTGAAAGCATCTTCGTTCGACTTTCTTTTTACTCATACTGTACAGATGCCAGCGCCAGCTCCAGCTCCAAATCCACAACTACTTACCCCATCGAGGTTCGGTACCAGCATCAAGCCGACTTGCATGCCCATTCCCTTTAGTTCCATGGTCCATGGGCACTCTCCAAAGCACCTATAACTACCGTTGATGTCCCGGGGGTTGTCTGGCTGCCTTCTGACGAATCCTCCTTGTCTGCCTCTTTTGTCCGCCTCACCTTCATTGACCACCCACACCAACCGGTGACTGGCCTCGTCTTCAGTGGTTGCACCATTTCCAGATCACAACCTGCTGACTTGGATGCCATATATCTGGGCTTCGCCTTGCCTCACCAATCTTCACAGTGACTCATTTCCACTACTTCAACTCCACACTTGCCTGTCGTGTGCTGGTTGACTGGGTTGAGCCAAAGCTTCAGCTTCTATCGCTGTGCACTTCAAATTACTCCCCTTTCCTCCAGCTCACTGGCCTCAATATCGACCTCACCTCCATTCCATAGCCTGGTCAGCTCTAGGCGAGACAACCCCTCAACACTCTCAACATGTCCTCCAATACAGACAACCAGATGACGAGGTTTCTCTTCGCCATCTTGAAACAGAAGAACCTCAAGGATGTAAGTGCTCTCTACTATCATTTCACCACCTCGACTGGTAACTTACTCAACCTCCAGATCGACTGGAATGCTGTGGCCCATGATCCGATACTGTCACAACCCATCACTAATGGCCACGCTGCACGGATGAGATATTCCCGTTTCCGCTCGGCGATGTTGGGCCTCGAGCCTCAAAAACGTAACAGAGCCGCCGCAAACAAGAACCGGGTCACGAAGAACAAGAAGGAGCAAAAGCCACCGAAAAAGGAAGAGGAAGACGACGAGAAGAGGGTCAAGCCGGAACCAGGGACTCTCGAGGCTCTTCATCAAGCCGAAGCTCGTGCTAGGTCTCCAGTCAAGGTGAAGCACGAACATAGCCAACCTCCCTACCGACAGCAGTTCACACCAACATCCATGGCGTCTCCCACAGCCACGGAATGCCAGACCTTCCAACCCAGGATGCTCACCCCGTGTAGCGACGACATGTTCTCCGCACCTCACAACCTGCAGTTCAGCCCGTCAGCGAGCCTCATGGGCGCTCACCCGACCTTCGATCTCCCATCGGCGATGGCCTGCGCACACGAGCCAGAACAGCACCACCACGAGCACGACCACAACTCCTGGGCACCGAGTCCAATCTACTCAGCCTTCGACGCCGCGTACGATATCAATGGCTTTGGCGTTGGCTCCTTGTGCGATCACCAAGCTGGCCAGGGGCACACCGACGACATGCACGGATCTCCCGCACTTGGGTCCCTCATGCCTGAGCACATGAACATCAAGAATGAACACTGGGATACCCATTTCCACCCATAATATCCGAACCTGAAAATGGTCAAGCGAATTTGGTGTGGAAGGATATTGAGGGTGTCATCTTATACGTTTGGGTTCCGGGCTTGTGGTTGGCTGTTTCTGTTCCTCTCTGTCTCTTGTCTGTTGTCTCTTTTGTGCTGGTCACTCCCCTACTCGCATCGATTTGGACTACCAGATGTACTAATGAATTTACGCACACTCTGAAACGGCGTACCGGTCTGGCCTAGAATGTATGCTTCCCGGAAGAAAGCAGGGGGGCCTTTAGAATTTTTTTACACACATACAATTATGATTTCTATGATGAGTTCTTGCTTCTCCGTTTTGCATGCTCCTGTATTGATACAGCGGTCTCGGGCGCATTCTGTTCATCCCTTTCTTGTTTCTCTAGGACCTTGGTCAGACAGAGTTGTGGCGTTGTGTTGTTTCTTGCCATGAGCCGGCGAGAAAGGGGGTTCACCACGGTAGATCCCTTCTCCCTTCGAAGACACAGTGTCATACCTGCTCATCACCAGTCTTGATACTCTGCCGCCATTTCAAGCCTGGTCCTCATGTTCCTATGTGTTCCTCTCTACCCTCTCCTCATCCCACTCATTTCTTTCTCCGTCGGCACCAGGTCACCCAGTATCCTGGTCCTTCAGCCTATTCAACTTCTTACACACCTATGTACACAATATCCACTAATACCAACATCAGAAGGAATTCCAGTCGACTTTGGAACAAGGAAGGGTAAAGTTCGAAAAGAATCGACGAGAAAGTCCATCTCTAACCTGAGACCTCCAAAAAGTGAGTCTGCCCGCTATGATCTTGATATAGGTACGCATACCACGCGGCCGTTGCGACAGCGGGCACTGCTTCCTTGGAGGAATAGTCGCACCTCTGGCCTCTGTCAGGCTTTCGACTCTGTCCGCCGGGTTCCTTCATTCGGTATATCTGACCGCGTATCCTCGCGTTGCTGCCGGTTCCGTCCACCTGCCAAAGAATGGCTTTGCTAACATTCCCGAGATATGGCTTCTATTTCGAAGATCGCTTTACTACTTCTTGCACGTCTCGAAGAATGTCGATGCGAAGCCGGCAAGGTTCTCCAGGCACATTTTCTCGTCCCCTGATCAAAGTAGACTTCTATCGTCAGGCACATGAACGTCGGAAAAGATAGGTGTGGTACTTACTTCCCAGAGGGTGACTACGACGCGCTTGGTGTCGATGATAACCGCGAAAGAGCCATCCATCTCACGAGAAAGCCGCGATTGTCACAAAATACCTACCAGATGAAGCGTCCGCGTCTTTCTTTTGGACCTCAGGTGGCGTCAGATCAAGGAGAGCCTTGCGGACTGTGTATTGAGGCAGTCGATCGGCGTCTGTTATATTGGAGATACCACCTAAGCCTAGGGACGACCTGCCTTTATCGGAAAAGCTCGATAACCTTACTGGTTTTCCCATTCTGGTGAAGAAGACGCGCGGAATATCTCGGGCCATCCTGTGACTGGCGGGTAGATGAATACTGACGCCGTTCGGCGTGAGTGCTGCTGCCGACTCTTTAGAAGGGCACGATGCCCGCAACGGCGGCTTTATGAGGGCGTAGTGTGGACTGAACCACTGGATATCCACGTCTGCGTTGGGGTTTTGCACTTTTCGGTTTCTTCTCTTCTCTATCGCTCCATATTGGTGCCCGTGACGTTCTACTCTCCGGAAGACGCATCGTGAATGGTCACTGAAGATGAAGTTGGAAGACGTCAAGGGCTGTTGGATTCAAGTAAATTACTCATCTCAATGCATGCAAACCCTGGTTTTTCCTCATGTACCTGCAGACGGGAGCGGCATGGTACCGCGCAAAGGTGTATGGGGCTGAAGTGTGACTGCACCTTCGACCCTGCTGTGAGGACTCTGGAGAAAGACCTCAAGAACCTCAGAAAGCTCGATAGCTCCGTACTCGCTGCTTCCGCAAAGTCTTTCCAGCGGATTTTATATGACATAAATGCCAGACGGGTATTCAGGCTAGATCCTCTGTTTGAGGCCCTAACCCACGACGATTCAGGTGCAGCACCCTTCTCCGGGAAGCGGTATTAAAAATTATACGGCGACGAAGCAAGTGACAAAGGGAATGACTTGGGGTGCATCGCAGTATCACGAACGCTGGAGAGGATCCATGTGCGGTCTTCAATGTCCTGCAGATAGCCAATCCTCTTATAGTTCCAAACATGTCTCGTCAAGCTGATACCCGACGATGCTACCATGAGTACCGACCCCGATGCATACTCACGCCACTTTCAGCGTACGGACGACGGTCCATCCATCTGCAATTTGAGCTAAGAGCAATGGTATAGATGTATTCTTCCTGGTTAACTTGATCGATTTCGCCGCACGGGTGTTGCACGAAGATCTGCCTGGAGACGGTGCCCAGGGCCTGCGAAGCCATTCGCGTCTTCTACGCGCCTGGAGGCGAGGCAATTAACATCTTGATATGTTGATCGGTTCTCTGCCTTCGACCCCCGGGTGACACGCTTTGCTTACGGGGTGCAGGCAATGTCTCCACGAAAGAAGAACCGACTTTAACAAGCCGAAGTCAAACACGACGCTGAGTTGGTTCCTGAATCCTTCCCCTGTCACAAAATGGGGATCCTTCCGCAAACACTATGAATGAAGTCAATCATCCACGTACCGAGTGCCTCAAACATGGCCTCAACTAAGGTAGCTGGTTGGTCAGGTGCAATGATCCTGAAGTTAACCAAAGGATTTGAGGCAATGATATAGTAAGCGACAAAGACTACAAAAAGTAGCTGTCCGTCTGTCTTACAATAAAATTCCGGAAAATCGGGCTCTTCGATGAACCAGGTTGTAATTGGGAGTACCATCACGTTCTTCTCGATGATTCTGCCAACAAGATCAGGAAAAATGGGCCAAAGAGCTTGATTGGATCCACCCGCCAGCTCTAATGCAGATACCGATGCCGAAGGATAAATGAGAGCCGTGTCCGTCTAAGGTTCGTAGCAGTGTTTTGCTGAATTGATAATAAATCATACATCATTAGCCTCGGATAGTATTCTCTGGGCCACGAAGGGCCAAGATCCGAACCGGATGCTGCATCAATGACCGGAACGAAAGAAAGGAGGCAAGACGTGGCACAGTTAACTCCAAGCAACCAAGGAATTATGACGCTTATAGGCGACGACACTAAAAGGGAAAATGCTATCCCGATATCGCATACTCTTTCAAAGCTACGTGGGCGGCTGGGATTCGTCTCTCTCATTCTCAAATCTTTGACCAAATTGACATTGATATATTCCCAAACGAGGACTCGCTACTGATACCTGCGAAAAGTCTAGAACCCGAGGCCAGATATCACAGATCTCACAGCGGATTAGGTCGAACAAGTTGGCTTCCTTTGACTTTGACGAGGATTTACGTCGGAGATCCTCGTACCGACGCCTGTTCTGACTCGAGATTTGACCTGGAGCAAGCGAGTCCAAGAAGTACGGGGAGGAATGTGAGTTAATATCAGATTACCTCCAGAGCTTTTTACCTCAACTCCCAGGCTGTCACATAAGTGATCCTCCTCCGGATGCCCGTGATACGATTACCTCTGAAACACTCAAAAGCTCTGAAAGGGCTGGGAGAAACGGTTGCCAAACAAACAAGACGTTCCCACAACAATTTGTCCATCACCACCATCTAGCAAATACAAACCAGTGCCCCATTCCCCCGCCTGTCGTCAAATTAAGCCCAAAGCCGTTTGAAATGGTGGTGAGCGGGGGCTGTCTAAGACCCGCCCCGGGCCCCGCTTACCCCCGGGTGGAGATCACTGTGGAGACTCGGCAGTCGGCGCAACGGGCCGGGACACAAGCTTGCGTACGGTACCGGCATTGATATGAGAGCGGTTGGTTTTATGCACCTACCACCTGCATAAGAAGATCTGGATCAATTGAAGGGAATCTGAAAGAGTCTGGTACTGTCAAGGGCAAACAATCAAGACAACACCAGTATCAAAAGTCTACCAACATGGACCCCGGTTAAATTTAGTTTAGTGGGTAGATCCAAGGGAGAGAAGACGCATCTCAACACATGGCAACCGATCAATCGATCAACTTAACTACATTGCGTAGCAAGCTAATTGACCGACTGTGAATACGAGAAACAAAATGCACATCACAGCACAGCACGGCACAGCACGGCACTGCAATATCGAACACACTATCCTGCTTCGCTGGCTCTGCATACGCGCGCTGCACCTAAGGTGACTACACTACAACCTCACCGACATCGCAGACCGTCCCTCTCAATCCCACCTCACCCTCAAAGGAAACGTTCCCCCCTCTCATGGAAATGCTTCCAGAAACGCAGAGTGAGACATTAGATACCACGTCAACGTACACTAGGTCCGCCGCTCTCGGAAAAGTCAAGTCCCAGCCAGCTAAGACAAAAAAAAAACCCCACGACCGCTTCTACCAAGACATAGGTATTCTGCCCACGCCTAGCCCAGCCCCCCCCACGATATACTCCTGCATCAACCAAGGCACAGAAACCACGTGCTCGACAACGGCATCCCACGAAAACGATAGACCACCAAAAAAAGCAATAAGCAATTAAAGATCTCCCCCCATCGTGGCACAAATCATCGCACACGGAGAATCCTCTCGCTACCTTACTCTTTTGCCTCCCCCCCCCAACCGCCCGGCGAACAAAAGGTCCCTTCCCTTCCCCTCGTCGTATGTTGCACGAGGGCACATGACCGCGCAACATGCATCAGCTTCGCTTACAACGCTCACCGCCGCCGTTCGCTGCTCAGATGCTCGGGGCGTAGCTCAGCGCTTGCTCGCCCAGCAGCGAGGCGGTGGTCCTCTCAGCTTTCTCGTTATTTGACTCCATCGTAGATCTACAGGTCCACCGTCCACGAGTTTTTCTCGCCTCGAACAACCAGCCCTATCCTTCCCCCCCCCCCCCCGCCCCCCAGCCACCTGATTTTCTTGTTTGTACCTGACCTTACCTTACCTTACCGCCGGTAAAAAAACTCAACAAAGGCACGTAACCGCAACCGCTTCAGGGAAAGCCCTAGAATGATTCCGCCGAGACAAGCATGCCTTAGAAAATACGAGCAGGAAGAAAATCGAGTGAACCGGACTCTCACAAGTGTGTAAGTCAAAGAAGCTCTCCCAACGCCACCACCAACAGCCGCCAGCCAAATGCTTTCGGGTATCCATCACATCGATAGTAGGAAGACCACGGGCACCTCGTCCCCCATGGGTCATGGGCCATGGCCCATCCCCCCGGTCCGCATCCCGCCACACACCACAACTCTCCATCGTTACACCTCTTCAACCAACCCGTGCATCCCTTCTGCGTCGCCCCGCGCGTGCGAGTGCTAGCTAGCCTAGCGTGCCCGTGATCTGCGGACGTTTGCTTCATGGCTCTTGCCGGCCGTAAACGGCGGGAAGGGGAGGACGATGAGGGACGGACGGGGGTGGACCAACGGGGCCACCATGTCGAATCACAGATAGCGCCGTCCGAATCACACGCGCCTAGGCCGCATGCGGTTTGTAGGGCGGCACGGCGGTTGGGTCCAGGGGTCCAACAGCTCTTTTTCTCTCATTAGAGAAAATGGGATTTCTCGCAGACTGCCAAACTGGCAGTCAGTGCACGGCCGGTCATGCCGGGTTACCCTTCATCCTTTTGACGTGCTGTAGGTAATTGACTTCCAGATGTCAAGATGGAGCGCACGCCATCAGATCTTAGACCATTGTCGGTCACTGGTGGCGGCGAGGTGGACGAGGTGAGTAAGGCGTGGGTTGCGAACAGATGTGACGGGACAAGGATATTCTCGGCGGTGATGATCTCTGCAGATGTGAGTGCTGCAGTACTCCGTAGAGGTGATCGGATGGTTGACTGGGGAGATGCCGGGATTTCTTTCATGTCTATGCCCCCCCCTGCCAATTGCCCAAAAAATGCTGTTCGTGCTTGATAAGATACTGCGAATCTGCCTCTTTTCGCATTCTTGGGCGGTTGAAAGAGTCAGTTCACCTGGTTTCTCCGCCCGCCCAGAGGGATGACAGGACAGGGGTAAGCGAGCTCTTTCACGGCGCAGTTTCCGTGATGCCACGAGGTGGTGTGTTACTCATCTGCTCAGACATGTCAAATTCTCCAATGGAAACTCGAATATGAGCTTCTCAACTTCTCTTGGTGATAGTCGAATAGGCAACCCTCATCATTTCTGAGAGCAGAGACCCAATCCTCGGCCGCATCGACTCATCGTCACGGGACGCGGAACTCCCGAAAGATTCGAATTGGCGACCTGCCTTAGATACAGGTCGGGAAGGTGTCGTTGGCCTAATGCTTTGGGAGGTTTAATCCCGCATGGCCTCCCCTCAGTGGAGAGATATATGAATGGAGGATTCGCAGGTCGAAAAAGGCGTTTTGGGAGCCAGTTATCGACGATTCTGTACCCGTCATGCCGTATGCGAGGGACAGCTGACTGCCAATAAGGACGTCAAAGTGGCACAGCAGCCTCCCATTCGTTGCACAGCACGTTGTGGTCCCCCGGCCTGTAAGTAAAGCTGAGGATAGACTGCGGCTTGCGCGGCGTGGCTAAAACTTCCATCGTTATGGATCCTGCTGTGATCCCGTGAAGCGCGGTGTCTAAGTGTTTAATGTCGTGAGATTCGAAAGCATCTGAGAATGACGTCTTCTCATAGTTGCCGTTGCCGCTGCCGCTAGGGTGACGGCTACTCGCTTTCAGGCCGCTCAAGTCGGCCATGCATTTGCGCATCTTGCGCCGGGCAAGCACAAGAGATGCAAACGCTGTGATTCTACCACGAAACTATTGGAAGAGTAGTGGAAGTCGATCGCAATAGTATTGAAATGTTATACGGCATAGGTAGGCCCGGCCAGCTCGGCTCGTCCTCAATGCCACTTGGCCGCTTCCTGGCGTGTGAGATCCTGACGTTGATCTGAGCGATCGAATGTAAGATGGAGCAGCAATGCGTGGGGCGACAGTTGCCAAGCATCCAGGGCCCCCCAGCAGCAACCTCGAAATCATTGTACTGTGGATGGTCAACGTGATCCGTCACGAAATGAGATGTGATGAGAGTTTCGAGTCAGTCGAGTCCGTCTGACAACATGGGATGCCATGGCAGTATTTGATATAGACATCCTTCATCGGCTGTAAAAACTGAACACAAATGTTAGCACGTTCTCCAGGCTGACCAGGCCTTCCGTGGCTCTCCGAGCATGAATATCACTGTTGCATCGAAACTGCGAAGTAATCCAGCCGCACAATCCCAGCTTCAGCACAATTAAGTGATCGGACCTTATAAACAGGGCCAGGAGCCACTGTGCCGTGAGGCTCGGTCTCGTGTGATGGATGTCGATCATTGATTATTAGTTGGTTCTGCCATTCAAGGGTTGGCCAGATAACGTCTGCAAGAACGATTTTCGTGCAGCGAATGATCCTCAGCCCGTGCTCGATTATTTGCTTGATGACTACCGGAAGGATTCATCATCCTCGCCCGGATGTCAGATGGCTAGTACACTTGGTATCAAAGCGGAAACTCGACCGGGAAGATAACGTTCTTGACGGCTAGAGAGGCTAGTTCAACGGCAAAGCAAACACATGACCCCTGCATTGAAGTCAAGACGATGTACGACATGGCAGGGGTGGAGGAGCTCTGCCCATCATCCACCAAGTGTGTATCTTCCAAGGCGGAGGAAAGCTCACCAACGCTCATGCATTGCCTAGTTATCGTCGAGACCAATCCGAGAGTCGAGTTATGATCTCAGCGAGGTCCAGTTGGGTTGCAAGTCAGGCTCGACTACTGCTCGACAAGGTTGCCACAATACATGCGAATATTCCCGTGGTGGCGTACTGCGTAATATACAGATTCCAGGGGTCCTGGCCATTCGGTGGAAAAGCGTTGCCATTTGATATTGATGTCTCTCAGCCCCCTCAACGGCGAATATCTTGCAAGGTTTGACTGGCGCCACAAGAAGCTGATTTGACAAGTCGGACCGGCCGCCCTATTTCACGCTTCCACCGGCTGCACTTCGAGCACCCGAATTCAAGAGCAACATGGTGGCTCGTTTGCATCTTCTCAAGGACTGTCGAGACCAATTGGATTTTCGTTCGATACCTTGGGAGGTAGCACGAATGCAAACGAGGTGTCAGACAGCACACATGCCAAAATGGTCGAAAATCTGTCATGTAGGTGCCTGACGACCCGGAAAACGAGCTTACCCAACAGGCAACTAGCCGGCAAGATAGTTGAGGCACGGCGAACATGGTGGTTGCGGCGGGGGAATTGACCACCCGTTCCGGGGTAGCATCGTGATGGTGAGGAAGAGAGTGGAGGGCACGTTACGTACCTGAAGCTTGTGCATCAGCTTGAAAAATTGCTCTAAGCGACGCTCAATGAATGAGGCGGCCGTGGGTTGAACCATGCTCTCAGTATGCAGCCATACCTTAATCCGTACTTCAGTCATGCACGGGGAAGCGGCCGGTGAGGTTGCATGGTGGACGAGTGTGAACCTGATTAGCGGCCGATGAAGGTGCAATAGCAAGGCTGTCCCGTCTGCCCGTGTCATTGGGCTGCCATCGGATGGGTTTTCCCAGGGGCATTGACGAGGAACTGATATCTGGGGTCCAGAAGGTAGGCCAGACCGGGATGGGTAAGTCCAACGGGTGTGGCAAAGGAGCGAATTGAAGTGACAGGCCCGATGAATAGGTCGATATGTGCAGCAACGTCCGTTCCTTCGGCCCTGAGTGAGACATGTAACGAATGTCCCGAATGGCATTGAACGTTGGTGATGTAATAGAGTGCGTCTCGTCGTAGCGACGGGATATTGCGATGGGCCTCCGACCTCGTTGTTGGCCAATTCCCCACAATGGTAGATACGTTGAACAGAGAAAGGCCAGCATTGATGAGCTACTCCATAGGCGACGCCAATTGAAGTGGTTTGAGTTGGGTGCTGGGATTCGGAAGCTCTATCTGACACGGGTCAGGTCGACGGGGGGTCTGTGTTGTGCATAGTGTTCAAGGTAGCAGTGATCGTCTCGCAAGCACAAAGAACCAAAGGCGGGCAGATGCAGCAATGGTGCAGCCTCAATCCTTGAGAGAGCTGGTCTGTGTGGACGGACTGGGAGTCCTAGGCAGTACTCCGTCAAGGCTAGAGCTGCGGATGTGAAGGTGGATGGTTCGGAGTGAAGCATTGCACGTTGCCAGGCCGTTGAGTTGCTCCATCAGTGTGCAGAGTGCAGACAGGGCGAGAGGGCGAGAGGGAACACAACGTTCCGAGCTTCAAGCGCAAGTGGGGATTGGCGATGGATGGTGGATGGTGGCCGCTTGTATGCCGGCCAGCGGGATGTGATTCCAGACCCGTACCGGCAGAGGCGATGGCGAATTCGCGATGGATGCAGAGTAGTGGCGTTCGTTCGTTCGAGTCCAGCCCCTGGAACTAAGGGGCCGATCGAGTTCGTAAGTTGTAGATGTAACGGGAGTGATGGGTTTGACGTTGTCGATGAGAATTGGTGATGTTCCTGAAACTGGAGGGAAGAGGTCGGATGGTGTGTCACTGGTCAAACAGGACACACACAGAATGCCATTGACGATTGATGGAGGGTGGATTGGGATCAAACGGGAGGAAGAGGTTAGGTACGTATCCCCAGAGGGACAATGGAACAGCGTGAATGGATGATGGCTGAGGGATTCCGACTTGTGCATCAGAAGAAGGAGCGGTCCACTGAGATATGCCGTACCTTAGATACCTACCTACCTGCCGTAAGGTACTCTGTAGTTGACAGGAGGAAGGAAAGAAGCAACAAAGTATTGACTCCGTACTCCGTTGAGGAAGGCACAATTGATAGAGGTCCATGAGGTGAGGTTGGAAAGGTGGCACAGACGGGGAAACCGGCGAGAGGTAGCGGCTACCTCCCACATTGCCGCCATCCATGACAAAAACAACAGGCGCCAACCGTACCGATTACTTCCAAGTGGGCCCGAGTGGATCAGTCCAACGGGAGGTTAAAAGCGACGAACCAGTCAGACGCACGTCCATGGGCATCCCTGCAATGCATCTGCTGAACAGCAGGCACATGCGGCTCCGGATTGGCCCCATGCATGTTCCTTAGGCGCCATCACCCTTTCCTCGGCGCGTAGACTGTTCAACCCCGGCTCCCTGTCGTCCCTTCCCCCTTCCCCCTTCCCCCTTCCCCCTTCCCCTCATCCCCGTCCTCTCTCTTGATTCTCTCTCCCAGTCACTGCCACTCCAGTTCGCCGTGCTTCAAACACAAGCTCCCTCTTCTCCCCCAACCATGCTCTTTTCCTCACTTCCCGCCGCTCTGTCTATGTCGGTCGTTCTATGCTGCGCTGCCTTCCGACCCTTCGATAGGCTCTCAAGCCTGTTCAAGAGTCCGTCCTAGCAACTAGTCATCCATGGCCACCGAGGCGAATCAAGCCTGTTTGTGCCAGGATGCACGACCGTGACCACCGCCGAGAAGAGGGGAGTCATGCCACTGGTCCCCCGTCTTCAGATTTTGATACCCACCTTACGGAGTACACACGACGTCCCTCTCTCTGTGTACATACCGCGCATTTGGCATTCCACAGCAGTCCTGTAAGGTACCTTTGCCGCCCCCAACGAGGCATCTGCTGTCTTCACTGCCTCACTGTCAACCATTACTCGATACAGCAATGAAAAGTCAAATCATCAGGGGGAAAGCGGAGCTGGATATCCAAAGCGAGACACGCTTGTTGGAGAACAGCCGCCGATGGGACGTCACTGCGAGTCAAAGACCAGACGATTTTTCGGTTTGATTCTTCATCTGCTCCTTCATTGTCCTTCCTTTGTCTCGCTATCCGTAGTCTGGATATTGTCTTGAGACAAGAATGATGAGATGGTGGCCCGGCCGTCACAACCACGAGACGGAGAATTCAAGCTGGGCTAAGGGCAGCCAGTGCCGCCTCAGCTCAACTTGATAGGTTGATATTCCTGTCGACCGCGCGCTCGCGCACATACGCACATACGCACGCAGGTCAAGCAAGCATCGCAAGCAGCAAGTAGCGGCAGCGTGCCAGCAGTAGCAAGCAGGATCTCGCAAAGAAAAAAAGAAAAAAAAAAAGAAGAGACTGGCTGGCACTGGACTGGCTAGCACCGCGCGAGAAGAGGACCGGAGACCTAATTATGGCAAAATATTGATGTACTGCCCTGTTCAGACACACTCTGCTTGCCTCGATATTCGTCAACTCGCCCAACCACGCCGCTCATCGCATTCGACCATCTCCACCATGCCATGACCCCCGTCGTCTTGCTGCAGATTCCCCAATTCTGTCCCCCTCGGCACGCGGTGGCTTGCACCTTGCACACCTTGAGTGGTCCCCTTCCACTGGCTTGACAGGGTCCCTCGACGACAAGCACCCCGGTCTATGCAGCGTCTTGGCTCATCCAGATGAGCCGGACCGTATCCGCTCCCAGATACCTCGACCGTTCACTGAACAGCTCTAATTTTATGGTCAAGACTGATCGTCCAGTGACAAGTCAGCTCCAAACACTTAGGCGCCATGCTCCATGTTGCTTGACTTTCTTCCTATTTGGCTCCATCACACCCCGTCCACACCCCCCTTCAAGCAGTAGTCTCTCTTATTTTCCATCGTCTTTTCGATTTCCTTCCCTTTTCTTTTTCCTTTCCGTCTTCTGTCCGTAAGCAAGAAAACCCTCTCTCTCCTGCTTGTGTGTGTGTCTGTAAAAAACCGAGTTGCACACTTGACAGATTCTTCCTGCAACACAAGCGCCGGCACACCCCCTCGACTAAGGCTTATCCAGTGAGGTCTCTCTCTACGTCCAACAACGTCAACTTCAACAGAGACAACCTCATCGCTTCACACCCTCCATCTGCGTCTATAGCGTCTCCCCCCCCCCTTCTCAACACGTCCCGACAGACTGTAACCGTCTTTAACACGCCGGCTCCCAGACTTTCTTCTCTTTCTTCTCCTGTCCTACCTTTATCCGGTAACTCACTGGTAACGAAGAGAAAAAAAGGAGAGAGAGCACCAGCCCCGCGCCGTAAAAGAGAGACATTAGAGTGCAACGGCACAACCAGCAACCGTAACACGACAGCAGGCAGACGATACGATACCGCTACTCTAGGACGCCTACGAAGAGCTTTCCGCCAGTCTCTAGAACCTTGAAACGTGGAAGGACAGCCGGCCCGGGAACGGACATTGAACAGTGCTTCATGTGATGGTTGGATTGGAAGAGCTGTAGCTTCCTCCCGACTGCCTTTGGTTCGCCACGAAGCAGCCGGACGGTGCTGTGATCGTCGCGGATTGGTGAGTAGACCTGTCTCACAAGAGTCACCCACCTGTTTCTCGGCTTAAGAGGGCTCAAAGATTTCTGGCCTGGCGAGCACGGACCTGCAGCCGTTGCCCTGCCTTGAAGTTGTCCTCCCCAAATGCAGCTTGCCGACTAACATCGCACCGGGTCCCAGATCAAAATCCGAAAAAGGATATAGTGCCATCATGTCCGCCTCCGCGAGAAACCGAACCGCTACCGTCAGCTCCGGGCAGTCGTCACAAAGAGGTCGAAGCAATGAGATGCAGGATTTCAACATGTCGCAGCCCAACATCATGCGGTACTTCGAGCCATGCGCCGCCACGGCGTCCATGTTCTTGTATGCCCAGGGCTCTTCCATCGTATGTTGCCACCACGATACTCTCACAATAGAGAGAAGATTTTCGAGGCATTCGGACGAAGTGCAGTTGCTCGCGGTTGATACGCAAAGCGAGATTGGAGCCGGAAGGCTGGTAGTCAGTTACGACGCCGGACAGACAGCCATTGTCTGGGATATTATGACGGGCGACGAAGTAGCCCGATTTGCTTCATACGAGCACTTGACAACTGCCGCCTGGATGCGCAACGGCAATGTCGCATTTGGTATGATAATGTCTTAGCAAACTCACATGGTATTCACTAACAAACTGCTCTAGGTAATACGCAGGGTAACATCATTCTGTTCGAGCCCACAACATCAGAGCATATCTCTTCGAGGACGATTGACCAGATTGCTGTAACGGCGCTTGCACCAGCGGCAGACTGTAGGACATTCGCGATTGGGTAAGCTCGAAGAATCCCAAACGGCATTGCAAAGTGGCTAACCCTTCGTAGATATCAAAATGGCTCGCTGTTAGTCGCAACTCTTCAGCCGCGGTTCACCATCCTCCATAACCTAGGCACATCGAGAGCACCTTCGCCCATCGTCACGCTCAACTGGCATGCCTCGTCGTCTCGGCAAAAGTCGGACATGCTGGCATCACAGACCCATGATGGTGACCTCCGAGTTTGGAGTGTGTCCAAGTCGTACAGCAGCGATGACCCCGCCAAGGTTGTGAGAATCCTTAAGCGCACCGATAACTACCAGACCGGCCCCAACTGGATGGGTTGGTCGAAGAACGGCCGCATTATCCAACATTCTGACTCGTACGTCATTCTTTGCCACTTGAGGCTTACGCGCGCGCTTAGAACTTGCACTGACTTTTTATCACACTAGGGAAACACTATCGTGGGATGTCCGTACTAAGCATGTTACTTGGGATAGTATCCCGACGCTCGAGCATGTCAGAGGCCTGGCCGTGTACGGCCCTGGCGCCAGCCTCTTCACTCTGGGAGCCAACAACACCGTCCAACAATTCGACCTCAACACTCCATCCATCATAGTTGCTAATGTACAGCACCCGGCCAACCTGTTGCCGCCATCACCACCTGTCTCGATAGAGGAACAGCAGGGACAAAAGACATCAACAAGCATCGTTACTGACTCGGATGCCACTTCTGGTTCAATCGAGCTTGGTATCTCGGAGAGTGACGAAGATCACTTGTCTCCCTTTGACCGTATAGTTAGCCGGAAGGACACGGGCACACCCAAAGCGCTCGACCCTTACGATGCCGACACCGCAAGCGCGGCTTCTAGCCGCAGCGGACTGTCTTCCATCTCGCAATCCTCCGGAGGATCTCGGACGCCCGGCCGGTACCCGTCGTCGGCCGTCTCTCGAGGCATGACTGAAAACACCTACATCTCTGCTGGTTCGTCTCTCAGATCTTCTGCTGCACCTTACCAAGAGCGAGACATGTATTCCATGAGCGGCACCTCAATGATGAGCGGCACCTCCATGTCCTCATACCGGTCTCGTCGCTCTAGGCCATCCCGCCTACGAAATGAGGTCTTACCGAGCCCTGTCGACAGCAAGGTTCAGGATCTCTTCAAGTACACCAGAAGCCGGCTGAGCGACATTCCTTACAAGCACCCGATTGGGGGTGATCACAGCCGACTCACGAATGACGATCTCCGCAAGCAGATGCTTAGCACCATTTTTGGATGGAACAAGGAGATTGACGACTTGGTTAGGGAGGAATTGAGTCGACACAATGCTGCTTCACCAGCTCGCATTCTACTGATGAGATGGTTGGGCGACATTGACGCAGATGTCATGGCAGCGAGCTCGGCCTCAATGACTTCCTCTGACTGGATGTTGTTGGCCCTCAGCGGTATTGGAGGCCAAGCCTCGCAGCACAAGCTGGGGCGCGCCTACGTTCAAAGATTACTGGAGCATGGCGATCTCCATGCCGCTGTCACCATTCTAATTGGCATGGGTGACCACAATGATGCCATCGAGATCTATGTTTCCCACAAGAAGTACATGGAGGCGCTTATCCTGACTTGTCTCTTCTATCCCGCCGTCTGGGAACGACAGGCAGCTATCATCAAGAAATGGGGCGAATGGGCTGTCATGCACGGGCAACAGCAGCTTGCCGTGAGATGGTATGTTTCCTCTACTAGGTGAAAATGATGGGACCTTGCGCTAACAGATTTTCCAGCTTCGCCTGCACTGGCGCCGAGTCTGATGAACCATGGACATCTCCTTCTGCTGCCCAGGTGACCTTCCAGAGCATCAACCAGAACATCAACGAGAGCATCCCGGAAATCTTGTCACCTCCCCTCTCGCCTCCTGGCATTAATCGTGGACCTCAACGAAGCATCGCCAAGACGTCCGCTCTGAAGCTCATCACTTCATTCGGTGAGCAGCAAGGGAAGTCAAAGTTCTTTTCTCAAGGAGACGGCGGGCAGACTCCTATCGCTGCCGGCCCAACACCCATCGCCGATTCTGCAGTCTCCCCCGGCGGATACGATGTTACCACTGCCTTCATCCGCCCACCAAACCGCAGTCAGTTCAACACCCCGAACTCGGCGAGGTCTGGAGCATCTGCCTTCAGTCGCAAGCGTCTTCCTTCCATCGGCGAGATTCCGGGAGACTTGTCACGCGAACAGCTTCAAGTCGACGTTGAGGAATCTCGACGTGCCATGCAAATGCGCATGTCCTCTGCCGAACAAGACAACCTCGCTGCTGGTTTGTCTCTGCAGCGGGCTGCCACGGCAAGCCCGATGATGATGCGTGACCAGTACAAGAAGATCACCACACGGACAAGAGAAATGCCTCCCCCCTCTCCTGATGCTAGAATGATTATCAAGATGGAAGGCAGCATGGCTCAGCGCAATGGTTCCCGAGACCGCAAGCCGAAGGGCCTCCATCTCGAACTTGCGGGTCTGAACAACATGGCCAATGAGATTACCTCTCCCGAGCAATCTGTGGCATCTTCCACCCGCTTCCACTGGCCTTCCCGGCGTAGGGGACCCGGCTCTGTCACGGGCTCCGTCACGTCTCAATCCACTACCGGCAAAAGCATCCGCAGCAACACTACGGGTGGACGACAGGACTACATTCACAGCCTCGACACTGCCCAGCGCCTGCAACAACGTAAGCAGCGAAGCCGACATGCCAGTCGAGAGGGCAAGCGAGAGGGCTCCCGTGGCCGCGACCGTGACCACAGCCGCACTCGCAAGACATCTTCTCGCGAGGCTTCCGCTGAGCGTGGTCGTGCCTCTAGCCGTAACTGGCCCAAGGCAAAGCGCTCGCCGACTTCGCCCATCCCCATGTCACCTGAGGATCTCATCAACTTGAGTACGCCCAAGTTCTTGCCCGATGGTGGGGACCCCGTCACAGTGAGGAAGTCTAGCAAGAGCAGGAACGGTGCCAGTCGCGCATCCAGCCGGGGTAGCCAAGGCCGCAACAGAAGCCCCGAAGGCAGACATCGCCCTCCTGCGCTTGAGCTCCGCGGTCGAAGTGCGGACCGGACTGGCTCCCACGCCAGGTCACCTTCATCTCCGCTACCACTGTCGGCCAACCTTGTTCACTACCAGGGGTCTGAAGACGAGGAGGACTACGTTAAGGCTGTCGTTGCCCAAGAGAACTTCAGGAACAGACATAACAGAAGCACCAGCCAGCATGGATCCCGCAAGGCGCTCTCACCTGAGCTCACCAGAGAATTCCCCCGACGAGACCGATCCGAGAGTCGCCGCCGTCACGCTGGTGAGAACCTCGACCAGTCTCGCGATGTTGCGCCTCCCCAATCCAAATCGCGTGCCGCTTCTACAGAGCACGCGGGAGACTTGAAGGCTATGAAGGACGAGAGGCAGCGTAAGAAGGAGGAAGCCGCGCGCGAACTCGAAGAACGTCGCAAGTCTCTCGCACAACGTCCCTCGGCGCCCCCGATTCCTCATCCCAACCATATCCGAATCGGTATTGAATCATCGCCCAGCGCCGTTGAGCTCCCACCTCGCAGCCACACTGCCGACCCAACCGTCAGGAGCATGTATGCCCGCAGCACCTCAAATGTACACATTGGGCTTCCCGCAACACCCAAGGCCATGCGTCTAATCATCGAGTCTGACAAAGACAAGAACAGCATTCCGGTGCCCCCGATCCCGGCTACATTTGCTCAGAGACACTCCCCCGTGACCTCTCCTCAGCAGCAGTCTCCTGAGAAAGAGCAGGCTCCCGAGACCCTCACTCTGCTTCCTCAGACAACTTATCAGCTTCCCTCCACGGTCTACCAACCTCCCAACCGCGGAATGATTCCTCGCAGCATGTCGGCTCCACCCATTCCACCTGATGCGCCCTCCCCTAGAGGTCCTAGCGCCAGCAGCAAGGGGCTTTCTCGCGGCCCTTCCACGAGAAGAGGTCACTCGGGGGAGATCCGCACTGTCGACGACATGATCCGAGCCAGACGTGCCTCCCAGGAAAGCAACAACTACGGAAGCATCCCGCCGCCGCCGCCGCCTCCTCCTCCTGCTCCACCAATGTTGAAGGAGCTGCAGCACCTTGCGATGCCTCCTCCCCCACCCCCGGCGCCTCTCCCATACACGGCCCACATCAATCCCGTTACCATGGGTTCCGGTATGATTGAGATTGTCATGGACGATGATGACATTATCCAAACGACTATCGCTGCTCCCATGGACACAACAGTCCCGGTTCTTCCACCACCTGCCCCGCCTGTGTCCAAGGGCGGTCACAGCAGAGGACGCAGCTTCTCTGAACGCGACAACAGCATCGCCGGCCGATTTTCCAAGGCGACCGACCGCTTCAGGTCTGGCAGCCGCAACCGCAAGGAGCCCTCGGCGCGGCCTCGCGGTCAGGAGGAGTACGAATACGCTCCTTACGAGAGCGTCCCCATGTCAATGAACTATGGTCGCGAGTCGATGCGATCACCCCCCGCCATGGCGCAGAAGAGCTTGCCTACTGGCCTGCACCACAGCGAGATGATCTGATTTGATCTTCTTGCTGAAAAACTGCAAAATCACCCCCCACCCCCAACCCCTTAATTATCTTTACACGTCACGTTTCGATTCGTTGCATGGCGACAGGCGTTTTTCGATGAATCTCGATACCATTACTTTTTTCTACGAAAGACGAACACGAACACACTTTGCAGCGCGGCAACTCTCTGGCCGCCAGAAGCACAACAACAGCAGTTAGAAGCCGCCTTTTGTATACTTCGAGTCTATCCTTGACGACGAATATTTGAACGCGGAGCGAACATCATTCTCTCTCCAAAAATTTTCTTCTACTTTTTTTTTCATTACATTTCTTGTTTGCATTCTTAACTTCTCAAATGATGACTGATGATGGCTGGATCTTGGGATTTCGGGGCAGAGCCGCGAGGCAATACACATGAACACACGATACCTGTAGTGGGAAGGCGGCCATGTACGTGATGGAATGGACGGACGCCGCCGGGGGAACACAAAAACAGAAAAAGCTGGATGGTTTTCAAGATGACACCGTCTTGCGCCAACGAGTATTATGAGAGAAAGAGAAGAGAAGGAGGGGTTGGGTGAAAAGGGACCGAAAAGTGCTGGAAACGCGTGTCTTACAATGTTGCCTCACGGCATCTTTGTTCATCTAGTTGAAGGGGTGCGGGAATTTTCTTTCCCCGCCTCTTTTCATTTCCTCAAACTTTTTCCTTTTCACAGTCTGTTTTCCAAGTCGTTGACAGGACTGCAACTGATGTTTGGTTTTTCCTTTTTGAGCTGGTGGTGATAGCTATGTAGCTTGCTCGTCGAGATGGCCATGTACAGGCTGAAATATTGAGAAGAATGCAATCTAATTCAAAGACTTACCGACATCAGTAATGTGAAACGAGAGCATCAAGATAGTGCTTTCAGCAATTGAATTGGGTTTGGCCCATGGAGTAATGCGCAAAAACGAAAAAAGGTTTCTGTCGTCGACTGGAGTTGAACCATGTGCGAGAAGAACTGTGCCCAAAAAGGTACTTCCAAACACCACAAAATGCATCACCAACAGCACATACAGCGACCGTTCATCTCGATGGCCAACGAAATCAATCAGACGGTCGGTCGGTCGGTCGCCAAGACGATCGATGATGATGCATTCATTCCGTTATTCTAAAATCAATCAGCACAATTGTCAAAAAAATGCCAAAAAAAATTGGAGTCGATATTTCTATCTTCATCTACTACCCCAAGCCCCCAGCGATCGTAATCCAGCACGCCATGCGACGGTGAAGATGCCTCTGCAGAGTGAAACCTCCCTCAAGTATCATCTTCATTGCTTAGGGCCACACGCAGCGATCGCAGGTTACCCGTGCGAGTGGGTGGCCACCACAGCATTCGCACTGGGCGCCGCTGAGGGGTTCCAATGTGGATGGGGTAGCGGAAGAAGAGTAATGAAAGCCTTCAACCATTTGACCATTACAGCCGGTAGTTTCGAACAAAATTGTGACTCAAGTAGGGTCAGCGGCTGGCGGGGGGACGTGCGTGGTAGGAGTGGTGGGATTGATGAGGTAAGCAGCCAGATTCTAGCTGCGCGCCCGTGGGAACATGCACACCACTCAACGCGCTGGCGAGGATCTCCACCGAGCACCGATTTAAGCTCCCGTCACCCCAGCTTGCAATCCCAGTCGGAGTTGACGTCGCGATTGCGCCCAGGAGTTCTGGCTCTGCGAAGCTCTCACCAACCCCCAACCCACCCCCCCCGAGCGAACCTACAAACTTTTTCGAACCAGCGCAACCTCAATGGCACCATAGCAGCTCCTGCCGTCCTCTTTTTTCGAGCTTCTGCTTTCCCCAGCACCATCCACACAACCAAAATCTCACGATGCTCACAACGACCCCCCGCCTCCACGTCCGGCGCCCCTCGCCAACGACAGCCGAGTTCACAGTAACAACCCGCCCGCCACCAACCCTCACAGTCCGCGTTCTCTCAGGCCTCCTCTTCACCCTCCGCATCCTACTCTTTTTCTCCTCGATCCTACTCCTCCAAGCCGCCTTGTCAGAGTCACCCTACGCCGGGACCCTCCTCTCCGCATCACCGACAAGAGCGAAGCCCACCACACGCGACGGCCCAGACGCCCTTTTCTCGAGCGCAACACTCTGGCAGATCCTCCTCTTCATACGCACCTCGCCACCAGGCCGCCTAGCGCATGCCGTCGCTGCCTCTCACGCGATACCGCTGCCCGTCCTGGTGCCCGGGTGCTTACTTGCAGCGTACGCGACGTTGAAGCGCACGCATACCACTGAGAGCCTGCTCGTGTTGCGCGGGCTGGGGATACAGACTAGTTCGACAAGCGGGAGTTACTTGTCGGCTGCTGCGACACGGTTCATACCTACGGAGAAGATTCAGGATGTGCTTGTGAACGAGGCGTTCAGGGGCTTCGAGGTGCGGTACTACTTGATTGTTATAGTCGAGGGGGAGGAGGATATCGTTGTGGTGTTTCCGAGGATATTACCAAAGAAGAAGATTGTCGAGACGGTGTGGAGGGGCGTCAGGGGGTGTCTTTGGGAGGCCGATGGTGGGAGCAGTAATAGGAAGATGGACGATAGATGGCAGAACGGGGTATGAAACCTCCCTAGTAGCCTTGACGAATTCATGATCTTCTCAAAGCCTTTTTACTTTTATTTATATTCAATGGTGAGGAGCATATACCCTCAGCCTCTACTCATTCATCCCCATCCACCGCCGCAGCAGCCTGCTTAGCATCCTTGATAACCTTCCGCCAATTCTTCGACTCCCTCATCGCATCAGAGTTCTTGAACCCCTTCCGCTGCGCCCACCGGTCATTAATCTCCGCCGGCGACGGCGTCAGCTGCTTCTTCGCAATCGGCACGTACCCGCCCGCCAACTTCCCTTCGTGCCCGCCCTGGAACACCCTCTTGCCCTTGGCTTTCGCCTCCGTCCCCTGCACCTGTCTCGAGACGAGGTCCAGCAGGCGGTTCGCGAGCAGCTCGTCCATCTTCTTCTCGCGGTAGTGCGACCATAGGTTCTCGACGACGTCGGCGTCGCCGTAGACCCAGCGGAGGGCATTGGCCGCGTCGTTGGAGGTGCGGCTCTCGTCGTCGCCTGGGAAGACGCAGTTCCATAGCACCAGCGGCGTCTCGTGCGCGAGGTCGTAGTTTGGTTTCCGCGGGCAGTTCTCCACGTCAAGTAACCGCGTAACGAGGTCGGGCGTCTCAAGGCGCTGGCCGATGAGGAAGAGGATCGTAACCATATGCCGGATCTGATGCCACAGGAACGCCGTCCCGCGGATATTAAACGAGTACACCTTGGGAAGCTGGCTGCCATCAGCGGCGCTGGCGCCCAAGTACGGCAGCGCGGTACCCACGTCCTTGACTTCCTCGACTCCCGCTTCAAACATGCGCCGCTCAAAGTTTGTAATCTGCTTACTCCCGTCCACCTTGCAAAAGTTGCGGAAATCATGCGTGCCGATAAAATTCTGCGCCGCCTGATTCATGGCGTCGATGTCGAGGTAGCCCTCCTTCATGCCGTCCGCCTTGCCCGTGCCGTCGACGGCGGTCGCCGTGGGCGTGAAGGCGGGCTGGGTGAAGAAGTAGCGGTACTGGCGCTCCTCGCAGGAGAACCGCGCCGAGAAGTCTGGTGGTGGGGAGGGGCACCAGGCGATGATGCGGATGTCGTCGGGCAGTAGGCGGTTGAGGACTTTGACGTATTGGATCTCGTCGTTGATCTCGTCCCATACCTTCTCTGGCTTCCTTTCTTTCTCTTCCTCTGCTTCGACCTTTTCCGTGCCCTCCATGGGGGTATCTCCCTCCGTCTCAGCGGCTGGTGCAGGATCTTCTTGCTTCTTGGGCACCGGCCTATTACTCCGCACCCTTAACCCGATGACCTGCCCAAAGGCACTCACGCCGCGATCCGTCCTCCCGCACTTTGAGTACTCGCAGCAGTCAAAGTTGACAACATCCTGATCCTCAGGGAAGATGAGACACGACTTCGTGAGAGCGTTCCAAAGCTCGCCCTCGATAGTCGGCAGACTCGCCGAGGTGGCGTACTCGAATCCTCCGTACCGCTTACCCAGGTACGCCAGCTTCAGCGCGATGAAGCGGGTGGAATACCGCGACGAGTCGATCCGCTTGGCCTCCTTCTTCCTCTTCTTCACCGGCGGGGCCCCGTCCGTTGCTGCTGCTGCCACTACGGCAGCGGCGCCGTTCTTGTTGTTGCTGTTGGGGGTCCCGGAACCGGACCCGGCTCCGGAGGCCTTTGATGCCGCATCCCGCTTGTCGAGTTCATGCTCGAGCTGTCTTATGCGGGAGATGAGACGCGCCTGGTCCCATGACTCGTACCGACCGCTCACATCGGCCATCTTTGCGACGCAAGCGGTGCTGAAGCGCCTAGCCGCGGTTGTGGAGGATGGTTGGTAAGGATGAGTGAGACGTTGCTGAGTAGTGAAACGACGCAGATGGTGGTGGTGTCGTCGATGGGCGAGGACGGGCAAACCGTTTAAGCAGCCGTGTAATAGGCCTCCAGCGTGCCTCGATAGGTTCAGACTCGGGCTTGGCGGGCAATGCAGACAGAGACCCCAAAACAGTTCATGTAAGGGCTTCATATGCCCTCTCTTTCTCCTCTCATGTGAGTTTCTGGGAAATTTTGGAGGGGTCGGGTGCGGTTTAGACGTGGACCGGCATCATGCGGGTACCTTTGGGCCTCTAAAGAGTCACTTTGGAGGGGCCGGCGCATGCAAGTTGAGTGACAACCAATTTTTATTTTTTTACTACCATCAACTTTTTCTGTCCTGCCCTGTAGAAAACAAGATGTGGCTTGTGCTGTGGCTGGGAATTGACTCCGCAGTCTCCTCATCCCTCATGGAGAAAGCCGAACCGTTGCGACGGAACCAGTGGGTGCGAAATGGGCACTGTGTTGCTGTGCTGGAGTCTTGGCTGAGTCCGCGCCAGGCCTGGCCCTGCGCCATTTGTTCCCCAGACATCCGTATCTAGACGTCCATCGGAAGTCGTCCGAAGCACCTAGCTGCCCTTCAAAGTTTAGGATTCTACAATCATGGAAGAAGAAGCAGTCAAGATACTGTTAGTTGGTGATGAGAAATGTGGAAAGACGTCGTTTCTCTCGTCCGTATGCCCTTTATCGAGATCATGCCATGGGCCTCACACATGCTAATGAGATGTGCCCCTGAGTAGACGACTGAGCGCCGGCGAAGGCACCGGCCCCATCAGATTGCTCAGAGATATTGACCAACCCTTTATTTTCGAGATCAAGTTTTCTGGAAAACCGTACCGTCTAGAGTTTTATGATACAAATAGCCCCGAGAACTGGAAGCTTCTCGAGCCGGACATCGTCATACTGTGTTACGACATAAGCCAGCGACTGAGTCTCATCAACATGAGGAGACATGTATGTTCCCCTGAATGACTCTCTTCTCTTTCTGTATCCCGTCTGACATCCGATACAGTGGCTACCAGAGGTCAAAATGTCCTTCCGTAGGCCTGACCGCCTGCCCATTCTCATGCTGGGTCTCAAGAGAGACCTACGATCCGAAGACGACCCAAACGGGATCATCTATCCCCAAGAAGCATACCAGCAGGCGCAGGAGATTCGCATAGACAAGTACATGGAATGCTCCGCCGTAACGGGCGAACTGCTTAAGCTGGCGTTTGAAGAGATTGGTAAAACCGCAATCATGACGCGAAAGGCCGAGGGAGGACAGAGCGAGGGCGGTTGTGTCGCCATGTGAGATTCGTTGCCTTGTCAGGGCGACTCTGTTATTCCACTCCAGGAAGAAGAGGACAAGTTAGGTAACTCAGTGCCGTTCAAAGTAGAGGATACGTCAGAGGAATCGGCGCCGTCCAGAGTGAGTTGCGAAGTGTGATGCGGCAAGGCTTTCTAAGCAGCGCCGTTCGCAGCCTCCTCGGCGCCTTGTTCCACCTCTGCCTCCTGGGGGAATGAGCCAAGCACTTCGGCAATGATGTTGACCATCTCCTCCTGCTGGTTCTCATCGAAGCGCTCAGGCATCTCTTCGATGACGGTGTTTAGAGCGGCGACGGATGCTGGGCGGAGATTCAGGATCATGATGACCTCACCCTTGGCCAAGTCATAGGGCTGAAGCTTCTCCAGGAGCTGGGTAATACAGTCCGGGTGATAAGTAATGGGGTCCTGACTGAGCGGGTTTGGTGCTGTCCGCAGATATTGGAGGAGCTACATATGTGTCAGCCATGAGTTCATTACAGAGGAGCAGATGCCTAATTTTCATTGCATATATGACTTGAATGTAGTCAAACTCACTTCTCTTGCCAGTGCCTCTAGGTTGCCGGGGCCACGACGCTCTCCACGCTCCCGCTTCTTCTGACCAAGCTTACGCTCATTCAGGTGTTGATAGACCTCATAGTTGGTCAGAACTGCCGACTGAGCCTCAAGGATCTTCATCTTGATTGCGTGCTTGGCGCGGGGGGAGGACTAGGTTGCGATTTCCGGGTAGAAGAGAAGGTGTGATGCAAACCGTTTGATACCAGGTGTGTGTGTACTGGCATGTCTTGACTAACTAGCCCTGTGGGCAGAAATTCTACAAATATTGTGTGGATATGGCACAGCCACATGTGGCTGTGCTATGGCCAGCACGGAGGCTGCGCATCATCGCGCTAAAATCAAAGGCAAAAACTTTTATTGGAAATCAGATGCAGACTTGTTGAAAGTTGAAAGAAAGAAACGTCCCCCATATCCATATCCGCCCCGTGCAATCCCGAATCAGGTCTCCATATACCCGGCCGCATCGTATCCTCGATGCGCATCGCATCATTGCCTTGATGTGTATCTCTAAGCGATAGTGACATCCAGCCCGAACTTTTCCATATCTCCAAGTATCCAGCTGATCGGGGTAATGTACGTCACGTCTATGCCACTGCTGCCTTCATCATCTGCACCCAACCCGCCGACAAGCATCCCAGCAACTCGACCTGTGGCGTCCCAGACACAAGCTCCAGAATCCCCTACACGGCTGAAAGCCGTGTGCTCTTTAGCACCGACCACGCAAATCTCGCTGACGAGATGCTCTGATGCGTTGGATGCTTGATCTGCCAATGTGATTCGCCTGATGACTGATTTGACGGTGTTTATAACGCCCCAAGTGTGCCCGCTGGTGCGTCCCACCTTGCCGACTATCAAGGAACCGGCTTCCGATTGGAGGATCTCTGACAGAGGCACTACTCCATCCAAAGTCAAGGTGCCTTGGTTAAGAGGGGGATGCACGAAGCCTCCCGGCGTGTTGCGTAGCTCGTCGCTCAGCTCGGCGTTAGTACCCACGTACAACTGATTTCGCAGCCGATGCATATCCTTTGGATGTTTGGTCCCATCGAGGGCGATGAGAGCCCAGTCGGCGATGAAGTCGTACTGCTCGTGTCTCTGGGATGTGAGCGCTCGCGAGTGGGATACCCAACCAATCCGTCGTGATTCCATCGACTGACGCGGCTCGTACTTGTTCAGCCTGCTTCCGGTGAGGAGTGCGCTCGATTCGAAGTCGCCAATACGTTGCTGCTGAACATCGGGATCCATGTTGTCCTTTAGCTTCAGTTTGCTGATCATATCCTCGAAAGCTATTGATCCCTTTCTCAACGTATTCATGGTCGTCTCAAGGGTCTTGTTTCCTGGCTGTAGAATCGGGACCGCTGACTTGGGAGCGTTGATGTAATCGATGCCATCGGACTCATCGAGGCATACGTGCCGGCAGGAGAAGATGCATAGATATTTTTGAGCCCTTGCTGGCAGCCATGATGTACAGTCCCTTGGTGCCTTCCTTGCGTGGCGACTTCTCCGATGCGATGCATACACCTAGCTGGTCAGAGATGTTGCATATGTAGGAGCTGTCATCGTCTGAGCGTTGGATGGGTCCTGAGATAAGTTGTGTGAACTCCTGCGTGCCTGCAAGACGGACTAGGCATGATTCCTTGATCTCGACGTGAATGTCAGTGATTCCAAACTCCACGATGATGCCGCGGCACTCAATCGCAGCAAGGTTGCCTATAAGACGACTGGTTGATCCGGGCTGGACTGAAATAAAGACGACTACCGGGAAGTCGCCAATCTCGCTATATCCAATGCGAAGGACATCGATCGCTACCCAGTTGATGCCGTTCATTCCTAGCTCTCTGACGATGCTAGAACGCAGAGATGTATTGCTGTCGTTATCGTTCCACATCTGTACGATTGGATGTACGCCCACAGGCTTGAGAACTCTTCCTACCGCAGGCCAGTTGGGGTCTGGTCTGTAAGGTTCCCAGATGTTATTTGACGATCTCGCTATCAGTCGCGGTCGGGAGGAAGGCCACGATAGTAACCTGTAGCCTCCGCATCGTCGACAATGAAAGATGCAGTTCGGGACATGACGACTCTCTAAGACTCAGTCGGCCTACTCTCTTCCCATGCACCAGGATGTTTGTTGAGATGGATGCTTGGGGGCCTGGCGGGTAGAAGGGGAATCCATGATGAGAACTGGACCAGGTTAGTAATGAGCTTAATATGGATGTGGAAAGTGAGATCCGGAGATAGGGTATCAAGGTGAGAATGAACTTACTTTTGCCAGCCTTGGCTTGGAAGGGCGCTGGAGAAAGTGTAAGAGAAGATTTGCTGCATTGCGTTGTGACTGACTCTACCTTGGGGTCTGTCAAGGAAATGTCGGGTCGCCTCGAATCAAGTTATGAGAAGAGTCAGATGCGGTCAAGGTACTGTGTAATCTCGTAAAAAGGGTTACACTTGTGACTGTACGGAATCTGGGCGTACGAGGCAAGGTACGATGCTGCCGCAAATTCTTCTTGACAGTGGAAGTGTCCCGCAGTCGACGGCTGGTAAGGTTGGTAACGAGCTGCAGGGAGATAAAAAGGTAAGCAGAAAAGCAGGTGCATTAACACGGCCCAATGCACCAATCACGATGCCCAGCCCCCCACTCTGCCATGTGCTGAATTGTCACAGAGTACGTACCGGATCTGGAATTGCGCAATGAGAGGGGGAAAGAGCGTTGGCATTGGCGGCTTCAAATTCGAAGAAGGCGCCTCCGCTGGCCGCTGGCCGCTTCTTCCTGCCTGCACCTCGCTAATAAAGAGCCGGTCGGTTACTCGCGTTATTTCACTCCTTGTTACGGAGTTAGAATAACTACAGTACTACCTTACACTAGGTAATAAGGTAGGGGAGGTGAGATTCGCCAGGTACTCCTTCCGCCTCAATGGCATCGTCAAGGAGCGCTATTTTCTGGATGTACATTCAAGAGGCATATACCTCTACTCCGTCTGCACTATCCGTACAATCACGAGGCAGCCAGACTTTTTGACAAGGGGACTGCAGAATGTCCACCTCATTCGGCATATCGCAGTCAGAATTAGAACAAGACCGGGAGTCACTGCTGCATTCCAGCGTTCCACGAATCCAATGCAATTCAATCCTCCCTGTACGAAGTCAGTCCTCGACACTGTACCTCGTCTCTAGGTAGTCGCCTGTGTCTCCCGCCGCCGTCACCGCTCTCGCATCGCTTCAGGCATCTCCGTCACCGGTCTGCGGCACTCTTCGTGAGGCTCGGCATGTCTGGGCAGCCTGGCAACGACCGGAAGAATACAGTGCATGGCTAGGACATCGCCGGGGCGCAAAATCTCTGCGAGACTGCCAGAGATCGGAGTCATAAAAATACATTCAAGCGCGACAAGGTACCCGTGCTAACCTAAAATGGCCACTTCTGCACCCACTCACCCTGTGGATAGGCCCTGTGCAATCTCTCTTTTTACCCCGGCACCTCATATTCCCACCTGCCACCCCCAAGTCCACATGGCGGCGACCGCACCCGACCCCGATTCCTGCCAATCCCAAACAAACTTATCCACTCAGAGATTTTCCTTTACAACTTCTCGACAACCCCAGCTTCAGACAGAATTCCCCCCGCTACCAGCTTTTCCCTCCTCCCTCTCCTCTTGAGCTTGTTCGTCATGCTCCCGTTGTGATCGCATCTCTAGAGGCCTTCCCCCTCATCCTCGCTGATTGCTCTCCAGCTCTCTGTCATCTTTACCATACAATTCCCTTCTACGCATACCCTCGGTCTCGGCACATTCCAGTCCCTGTGACGTCGCCTTGCACCCCACTAGCAGATTTTTGACGCCTCCAGCAAACCCGAGACCGGCTCTTTCGCTCGCGATCCTCCAACCCGCACACGAGAACCTTCGAGCCCTCAAGAAATACGCGGGGAATATTTCTCCACAAACATCTTCAAATACCCCAGCTGCGAAATACATTTCATAGCTCCGGCCTTGACGCCCTGTTCACCTCTCCAGTACCTAGTCAAACCCTCGATCGGTGCTAGGTTCAGCCTCCAACATCGCCAGTTTCGCCCGACCACTATTACTCTATTCTTCATTCCAACCATTACCTCTCGAGCAACCAGCAACTATTCATAATGGTCCGCAATATCATTGTTCTCGGAGGCAACTCCCACCCCGAGCTCCTTAACAGCGTTTGCAACAACCTCGGCCTGAACCCGTGCGAGCGCGTTCTGTCAAAGTTCTCTGTTGGAGAGAGTCGTTGCGAGATCAAGGACTCTGTGCGCGGCAAGGATGTCTTTATCATTCAGACTGCCTCTGGCAATGTCAATGACAACTTCATGGACTTGTGCATCATGATCTCTGCCTGCAAGACGGGTTCCGCCAAGAGAGTCACAGCTGTTATGCCTCTGTTCCCCTACTCGAGACAACCCGACGTCCCCTACAAGAAGGCCGGCGCACCCCTCTCAAAGTCAGCATCAGGGGCATCCAAGAACTACACCTTTGAGAGTGTGCCTTCGACCCCGGGTCCTGGCATTGCGCGCAGCATGGGTCTTCCCAATGGCATTGACGGCATTGCCTCTAAGCTGGCGAAGAGCAAGCTCAATGAGGAGCGATCCAATGGAATGAACGGCGTCGACCATTCCAAGACCAATGGCAACGGCCGTAACCACCACGATTCTGTATCCTCTCAGGTCAGCTACACCAACCACGACAACGAGCAACAGAACCGGATCGATGGCTTCCAGTCCAAGCCTGGATACAAGCAGTGGGTTGCCCAAGCTGGCACCCTTGTTGCAGACCTTCTGGCTTGCGCTGGTGCAGACCATGTGGTATGTACCCCAAAAGGCCCCTGAGAAAAGCTCGAGAGAGCACTCAAAGGGGTTCAAACTGTTCGCGAAGTCAAACTAATAAAGCGTAGATCACGTAGGTTTCCTCCTCCATCATCCTTGATAAGGTGCTTTGTGCTACGCAAAGGCGACTGCTTTGAAATCTTCTTGAGCTGTTCAAAAGTTCTTCACACCTATACCGCTTCATTGCTTCCCTGTGAAGCACATGCTAATGATTGCAGGATGGATCTCCACGATCCTCAGTACCAGGGATTCTTTGATGTCCCGGTCGACAACTTGTACGGCAAGCCTCTCCTCATGAGGTACATCCGCCAGAACATCCCCAACTATAAGGATGCTGTGGTTATCAGTCCCGATGCTGGCGGAGCGAAGCGCGCCACCGCGATCGCTGATGAGCTGGACATGGCTTTCGCTCTGATCCACAAGGTAGGTCATTACTTCTCGCGGGAGCAAGTACAGGATTCATGTTTTATTTTACAGGAGCGACGTCCGACTAAGTACACCGAGCAGCGCAACGCCAGCATGATGCTGGTGGGTGATGTCAAGGACAAGGTCTGCATTCTCGTTGACGACCTCATCGATACCGGCAACACCATTACGAGAGCTGCCAAGTTGCTCAAGAAGGAAGGTGCTACTCACATCTATGCCCTCTTGACCCACGGCATTCTCAGTGGCGATGCCATCCCGCGTATCAATGCATCCGCCATCGACAAGATGGTTGTGACCAACACCGTTCCTCAGAAGGACCACATGCGTGCCTGCTCTAAACTCGAGTTCCTGGACGGTGAGTGTTCGCGAGTACTACTGTGTCCTGGGCGTAGCTAAATTTTGGCAGTCTCTCCGGTCTTTGCGGAGGCTATTCGTCGTGTCCACCACGGCGAGTCGATCAGCGTCCTTTTCCAGCACAACTAAAAACATCATCACACGGCGTTCGAAAAGAAACATCGGCTTTTGCATCGGAGGGTTTATTGGATTCCACCAACTGCTTCTAGGGAATCTCAGCAACCGTTGGTGTTGTTTTACAGGCGTTCAGCACAGGGGGTGGGTTGAGTGTGGCATCTTTTCTTACGCCATGGACATTCTAGACGTTTTTCTCTTTGACCCGGACTTTCCACGACATACCAGCTCGTTTCCCATTGGAAATGATGCAAACCATAGGCAGCCCCGTTTGGCTAGCCATATTGCTACACAAAAAAACACAAGATACTTGGAACCTCGTTCGTAAGATGGAGGCTCTTTGTACAGCGGAACAGCGGACCCGAAGGGGTGGCTTTGCTATACACACAAAACTTTCATGTCTGATGGGTTACACTTGTCCGTTTTACTGTTTGCGACTTTGAACGTTTCTTTCATGATTTTGGGACTTGTGCGAAACGGGGGCCAGTACAGTGCTGCGCAGTAGTCTTCATCCCGTCCACATAACATAAACATATCCATAGAAGGTTCTGCCGCTTGATGATTGTCAGCGTGCCCGTAGACAAACCGTGACATATATTTGAGATAGAAAAGAAATCTAGCAATCAAGATGCACAAAACCTCTGTCAGTTTGAAGGCGTGTGTCGTGTCTGCCGTGTTGATGTTTGATCCTACCAGTACACTACTAGTGGATGCATTCTCACATGTCAAGACGTACTAACCCATCAGAAAGGAGGCCTCAACCTCATTATCATCAGGAGAACCCCCAAATGAGACCAATGAGACTATTTTTACAAAGGAATCTACGCTGATAAAGTTCCAAAAGAGAAAGCAAGGATGTCGGAACAAACTCCTACAAGCCAAGAAGTCTTCCCCAAACTCTCCAACTCCCGCCCGGGCCCCACCGAGCCGCGATTTCGCGGGGTACATTTTTGGGCTTATCTTATCGGCGGGAGCAAGCCAAGCTCTCGCCCCGCCAACCCGCCGAGCTCCCTCTCCGGGGAAGGGATGCTTAAACCGAACGACGTCTTTAAACCTCGGCAACGACGTCAATCGACGAGACGAAGAGCATCCTCGAGTCCGCCCACACAATTTTCTCCATAATATCCAGCATAGTAGAGGCATTTGTGTCTGGTGACTTTCGTAGCATAACCACAACCGCAATTGGCAATGGCAACCCTCTCCGGCGCAGAGCGCATCCGCGCAATCACAGACGAGGACGGCATGTTCAAGGCCTTTGACACATACCCCTGGAAAAGAGACAAGATGTTTACCGTACGTTGCCTCTACACATATGACAATCTTCCAAGAAATATTCTGACGAGGTGGATGTCGATTAGTCCGGCCTCTACGCGATCCTCGGCGACCCAAACACAGAAAACCCCCAAGGCACACCCACCGACCTCGCGATCCACGCCCGGAAATTCTACTACGCCCAACGCATCGGCGTAACCATTGACTTTGCCAAGTACAAGGAGTGGCTCGCGAAGCACCCGGATCATACACCCCCTGACGTCCTGCCCGAAGAATACAAGACCGCCAGCACAGCCAGCACAGCTACCGCAGCCAGCGGAGCAGCAGAACCATCAACAGACGACGTCCCAACACTAACATCGAAGCTCGATAACCTCAACACCAACGAGGAGACATCCACAGACCCAGCAACAGACCCATCCACAAAACCTGCAGATGAAGCAACGCCCTCATGGCAAGCAGCAGCGCCAAAAGCAGACCTCTACGTCGAACGCAAAGCGCAGCCGCCACAGGAGGGCGCCCCAGGCCAAGGGGGCTACGAACCAGCGTACCCAATGGGCTTCGCGCAGATGCTGGAGATGATTCAAAAGGGTATCCTCATCCCTGGAATCAGACAGATCCCAAACACCGTCGTCAGAGACGCGGTGAGTACTCCCCACGACTTGTCTTTTGTTCTCTCTCCATCTTTGAGCCCACTCACTGAAATTTGCAGTCTGTGAAACCGTTTGGGAAACGTGCGGTGCCCAAGAAGCCGTGGGAAAAAGACATCGCTACTGTAGAGACGACGGAGAAGCCATCTGTAGTCGACTCTGAATTTCCGCCGTTGGACGATGCCGCGTCCCCTGAGGCAGAGGCCGAGCCTGTAAGCAAAGAAACGTAAAGTTATACATTTTGAGCACCACGAAAGGTTTAGTAGGAAACATGGATGGTGTTGGAGGGGGAGGATATAGGGGTATAATGCTGGTGAAGTACTGCAGAGTCAATAGCGTCAAACATAATATTGCAAGCCCGGCACGGGAATGTTTCGTTCGCGAGTTCACACAAAGCAATAAAGGGGACCAAGTTACTTGTAGAAGAAACATTTCTAGGGAACTACCTAATGCTTGTTGGGACTGCCACAGATGCTGTCCAAGCTGGACCAAGGCCGCACTCCAAAGTCTCCGGAATGTGATACATAACTACATACAATCATCGTCTTTGACTTTTGGTCTGATATACCATGCTTGCCTAGTTGTCCATCCTCGCCATCCTCCGGGTTGCCCAGTTCGAATTTCGATGAGACTAAAGGAGTATCAAAGGGGTATGTGGATGTGTCGATGGACCGCCATGTATAGATGCGAGCATTCTGGCTGGGCTTCGCGATGCAACTCCAACGCCCACTTGGGGTTTCGAGGTCACACTGACGCACCTCCATATCGCAAAATCCGTAACCATGAAGTGTCCAATGCACTCAGACAAGTGATAACCTGCCGAGCGTAGGATGACAGCTGATTTGTAAATTAATGGCCGAGGAAGATGTTTCGTAAGCACGGACAAATGAGGTGGTGCAATGACTTCGTCAAAGTTGAGGGAAATCGGATGGGGGGATAAGGAATTAGGGGAAAGAGGTCGTATAGTGACGCAGAATGAGAACAATTGAGAAGTTGATGGTGACAGTATGGAAAGATGGTGACAAGGTCTAACGGTAGCCGCCGCCACCGCCGCTGTAGCGAGGACCAGCACCCATTCGGTTCATGGCAGGACCAACTCCGGGGCCGGGACGAGTAGCGACGGCGGGGTTGGTGCAAAGCATGCCCACACGAGATCCGAACTTGGAGCCTCGAAGGGAGACCATGTGCTTGCGAATGTGGGCGGCGACAACCTCGCGGTGCTGCAGACCCGCATGCGTGAGGATGTACTGAATGAGGTAGTTGCCGTACTGGTCGCTTGCAATGTCGACGAGAGGGATGCGAGGGCGGTCAACGCGACCCTCGCAGACTCGATCGAGATAGCGACTGAGGAACTCTCCACCGCCAATCTTGAGGCACTTTTCGACAACCTTGGAGGCGTACTGATCAGTGCTGTATTCGGCAGCGTAGCGAATGACATGGTCGATAGCACGGCTTCGGTCCGCTGGAGCGCCATGCTCACAAATGTGCTGGATGCACCAGTTTCCGAATTGTCCGTGGGCCACAATATCGATGTTGGCAAGGACTTCCTCAATGCAGGGACGCTGTAAATTCACGGTGAGAAACATGTTCAGAAAGGAGGGCAAGAGGGTGTCAGCATACCTTGTCTTCCTCAAGACAATTCTCGAAGATGTTCTGGACAACCAGACTGCCAGTTTCGCCCAAGGCGACTTCGTGCCACATTCCTCGCAAAGCTTCGTTGACGAACTTCATGATCTGGGGCGGGGACTCGGACCATCGAAGCTCGAAAAGCTTCTGCCAGACATGACAGGCGTAACGATGAATGACGGTCTCGGGAATTCTGCGAAGGAGTTCATGGACCATGATAGCCTTGTAGTCCTCGGGAACGGAGTCGAATGCCTTCTGAACGACATGGCAGCCGAATGGGTCCATGGACAGATTGAGAGTGTTGCCGCGGATGGCTTCCGCGATCTTAACAACCTGCTCCGGAGTGCCATGCTCGAAGCAACGCTGAACAAGGAAGTTGCCGAAACGGTTCACCATGAGAGGATACGCTTGGGCAACGATGGCCTCCACGATCTCGTACTTCTGGTCCGGAGTGCCAACCTTGAGCTTCTGCTGCAGGAAAATGGAAGCCTGCTGATCGTTGTTGCAGACAATCTTGTCCACAATGTACTTCCAGTTGCAATTGACGTTCCGGTCCAATAACCGGCGGTAGTTGAGAGGCTCAGTAGTTGGCAGGTACGTCTGACCCTCGGTGGCAATGGCCTGTTTGAAATAGAAAGTTAGTATTTTGCATCAAGAATCCTGCCTTTCATTGTTACGTACCTCGCTCTTCCATCCATCACCAGTGGTGAACTCAGTTGCATGGGGCGACAGTGAACTTCCCGGTCCCTGCTGGTTGTAGCCTTGATACATTCCCGAGCCCATATTGCCTGAAGCGCTACCGGGAGGTCCACCCATAGGGTCAAACGGAGCAGGGGAGGGAGTGAAGCCGCCATAGTTGTGTCCAAAATTGGTTCCTCCGTACGGCTGAGGAGATGGCCAGCGGCTGTTGTCGAACCGGTTGTTTCGGCGACTGCTAGGAGGCCGAGAGAACATCTCGGCTTCATGGCTCATGCGATCGTTGCGATAACCATCCGCCATATTGTACGGACCAGCGGGATCCATGTAGCCCTGGTTGAAGCCGCCACGTCCGCCACCATACCAATCACCACCGGAGTCAGAGATGGGAGCAGCCGCACCAAAGGACAGAGGAGCTCTGTTGTTGCCCCAAGTGGTACGGGAACGACTGTAGTTGTTGATGGAAGGGGCGCCGACATCCGAAGAGTTGTCGTCGGTTGGCCAGGCATTCTCGGCACCGAATGCTCCCAGACGAGCGGCGGGCGGAGCCGGAGCGATGTCATCTTCTTGCTTGATCGAGCGCGACTGAGCCAGCTCGTGGTCAAGGCGAGAGATCTTGTTTTGTGCTCGGGCAAGCTCCATCTTCAGTCGAAGGAGCTCGTCCACATTGCCGTTAGTCTCCTTAAGTGCGGCACTAGTTGGGCGACTCGTGGGTGCGGTCGTGGGGAACGAGTCCGTGGCGGGAGTGATAGGGACCGAGTTCGTCGTCGAAGAAGCCTTGTCGAAGTGACGGGAGTATAAGCTGTTCTCATCAGAGTTCTTCAAAGCCTCGTTCTGCTGATCAAGGGCAGCTTGCTGCTCAGACAGCTTCGCAAGGAGCATATCCATGGGGTTCGTGCCAGCGATGGTGTCCTGATTGGTCTTCTTCTGTCGTCGCTGTGAGCGAAGCGGCAGATTGCGGGAGGAAGAACCAACCTTGAGAGCATTCTGATTGGCAAGCTTGGATGTAGCAAGAGTTGCAATGGCTGGCTTCTGCTTGAAGGCAGGGGGACCCTTTGAATTTTGTTAGCCCAAAATCCTAACCAAGCGAGCCTTCATGGAAGCAGTTGGATCATATGGCAGTGGTCTGTGATGAACGACAAGATGGACCTTCACGGCAGCGGTGAAGAAAGCATTGGACTTACCGAGGTAGCTGACTCGATGGACGGCTGGATGTTCTCCTCTTCGTGAAGAGGCTTCATAGCCGTAGGGGAGCTTCGCTTGGGGGTCTTGGGGGTAAGACCCGTGGAGGGAGATGTAGACATCGTGACGTCGGACAGTCTCTTCTTCGAGGGTCAATACTTTGCAGAAGATAGGACAAGGTATTGCCGTAAGGTGGCAGACAAGTTGAGAAAGATTCCGTCGGAGGGGGACGCAAAGAAGAGTGTTGATGGGGATCTTCTCTGCGGTGGAGGGGGAGGTTTGTTGTGGAGGGATTGTGGAGGGTAGAGAGAGGAAAAGCTTTTTGTGGTGGGAGTGAGAAGAGGATGGGGGATGGGGAGGTGAGGTAGGAACGAGGCAGGAGCTCGAGTTGACGTTGGGAAGGAGGCAGTCCCGGGCAGCACAGGCACCTTTTTGAAGGTAAGGTGAACGAAAGCCCTAATCGTAGCTACTGCGGACCAGGACAGAATAATCCGAAAGAGACGAGATCGTGGAGTCGGTTCCGAGTTGAAGGAGGAGTGATGCGCTGCTGCTTGGCCTGGCGAAGAACGGGCTCTTTTTGAAGGTGTTGAAGTCGGAAGGAGATCGCGACCCAACTGAGATTTAGCAGTCTGCCTGAATTAGGTAGGCGAGGACGTTCGAGTTGCGTACGCAGGTACCGGAGAGGTCTTTCCACAGGTGAAATACCTGCCGACCCGCTCCATCGTCCAGGTGAAGGAGGAGGGCCTGGCCGGCTGACTTCTATCTATTCACCACTGCCTATCTTAGCGTTGCCTAATCATCAGATGATATTCAACTTGGGGGAGAAAGCATACCGCCCCTGCTGCCTTGCCCCAATCTTCCCACCAACCCTTCGAAAAGACCCAGCATTTGCTTTGACCCTCGTTTGCTCATCCAGATATGCCGAGGGCAGTAGGACGAGAATCCGCGGATCTATGGCAGAGGCCAGATGGGTTTATCTCTAACCTGGAGGGAAGTAGAAGATCCTCTGTTTCTTTACTTGCGAATAGCTTCACGCAGCACGCAGTGGCGTTCACCACCTATCGCCCAAGGCAATCATTCAGCTAGGATCTACAATGGGGGTTTTGGTTTGAAACATGAAATACGGCTGTCTCTCGAAGAGACTTGTAATTTTTTGACTCTGATATCCTCCATGGTATTTGTACACTGGCTGCCCTATTTATGGACATTCTCCCCATTGCCCGTCGAAGCCGTGATCCACGGTACATTCATACCCTGTCGGTGCCTGAGAGTCACTAGACATCCGCATGCTTTGACAGAGCCACCGGGGCTGACTCGGTCGGCAATTGTCCTGCCCAAAGCCTCGCCACTCTGTATATGGAGAGTGTCCTGGCGCGCATGGTTTCGAGGGATCGCTCGATAGTTGCACATCGTATCGTACAATCGATTTTGTGGTAGACGTTTATCGCTTCTTGGGCTCGGCTGCAGGAAGATCAGCATAACCATCCAGATGGGAGATAGCAAACAAGAAAACTTACTCTTCGTCTTCTTCTTTTTCGGCGCGCTCTTTCCTCTGGCCTTCAGTCTGTTCAGGCGTTAGCGGTAGCTCCTTCGCCCCCTTCAGCCCATGACGTACCCAGCAATGTGTTCCAAGCGATCCATCTCTTCCAGGTCGAGGGTTAGAACCTCAGGTCCAAACTCTCTCTGCACATCCTTAATCGTCACAACCTTGCGTGGGTAGTAGTCGGCGATGGCAGGTCCCTTCAATCGTTGGCGCAGGATCTTGTTTCCCGTCCTCAGAGCCTCGGGGTTGTATACTGTCGCAAAGACTTCGCATTGGGCCTATACGGTTTAGCAAACAACCAGAGAAGTTAGGGAATCGCGAATTTACCTTCATGAGGTCCAACAACCTCGCGCGTGGGACACTCATCTTTGCAGGTCTTGATCCAGCCAGAAATTTGTCGCGAAGTCGAACAAGCTTGGGCAAGCCTGAGTCCTGAATTGGACCCGCAAAATGAGAGCTGCATTCTCCAATTGGTTGCCGGTTTGGGATCATCGATTGGCCGGCATATTTCGGTACGTATCCACGACCTTGTTACATGCCAGGCTCAGGGGACTGGATCCTTGCAGCTAAAGCACAGTGAGCTCCACCCGAGCATGGACTGCTTAATTTTTGTTCTCAATTAGATGTTGACCTTTTCAAGTGAATAAGACATTGTTTTCAACATTGTAACCAAACACCCTCATTTCTATCGGCCTCATTTTCATGTTGCGACATAACATGCAATAGGATATTGTATTGTTCGGTCAGAATTTGCGGTTTATCTGCATCGAGGAGGAACCAAGATGAACAAGCGCTCAAGTTCAGGGGCGCTGCCACCGAGCAAGCGAAGACACACTGAAAGCGAAGCAATAGACTTGCTTCTCGATCACAGCGATGATCTCATCAGATGTCTCCAAGCACTGACAAAGGCCAAGACAAGATGTTCTATCCATCCTGAAGACTTTCAAAAGATCCGACAGCTTAGCAAGGTGTTACTGCCATCTTTCGAGGAGTTGGCTAGGGAAGGAAATACACAGGATCTAGAAAGCGGCGAGATCGACGAGAATGAGGTAAAGGCTTTCATGCCCTTTGATGGGTTGTCCATTTATTTACTGACTTCAAAGGAGAAAAATGCATCGCATGAGAAGGGCGAATCCCTAATTACACCTAGGCAGACCCCAGCTGTCTCAGGACCACCAATCCCGTCTTTCATCTTGGTTAAGCCATGGACGCCAGCAGATATTCCAAAGTCAATGCCACCTCTTCCCGAAATCACACATCCTGTCCTAGAATTGGCGGCCTTCACGCATGTAGGCATGACCAAGCACAAATCGGATCTGAGTTACGACCGCCTTGAGTGGCTTGGAGACGCCTATGTCGAGCTGATCTCGTCTTCACTCATTTTCCAAACTTTCGGAGGCATGTCAACGGGCCAGTGCTCACAGATCCGAGAGCTTCTGATTCGCAATGCCAACCTGGGAGAGTACTCAACGCACTACGAGCTTTTTGAAAGAGCCAACTTGCCGCCGGAGTTCAAGCCCAGAGGCAACCAGCCGGCCGTGGCAAAACCACATGAGATCAAAAAGGTCCGCGGTGACTTATTCGAAGCCTACGTCGCCGCCGTGGTTCTCTCCGATCCCACCAATGGACTCACTCGAGTTGCAGAGTGGCTCAAGACACTATGGGCAACGACCATCAAGGACCAGATCAGATCGGTTGCCAAGACGCCCGGACTGAAGACGGTCAAGGAGCTTGGCGCAACTGTGACCGAGGAGTCTAAGCTACCCCCAAAGGTCCTCCTGAGCCAGATTATCGGGGCGAAGGGCATCAGTATCCGCTACGAGGACTTGTCCAAGGCGAATAAGAAAGACAAGTACAACAATAAGCTGGCTCTCTTCACCGTAGGAGTGTTTCTTGACGGATGGGGCGAGAAGAACAAGCTCCTCGGAACCGGAAGTGACCTGAACAAGAAGGAGGCGGGCCAAAAGGCAGCGCAGATGGCACTGAATAACAAGAAATTGTTGAAGGTGTATCAGGATAAAAAGAAGGCTTTCCTGGATGCTCTTGGGGAGACGTAGGCGAGGTTAGAGTGAGGCGGTTGCACTATACCCATGATACCACTTTCAATTAAAGCGACAATTCACAAGTTTGTGGTCAGCCTATGAATAATGATCATAAAATGCCACAACCCAATGAGGAAGCCAACGTTTGAAGGTACGCATACGGGAACCAACTATCAGGGTGGTCCGGTGGATAGAGCACACCAGAATACCAGATGAACAGGGTGCACTCCGACTCGGACGTTCGCTAAAGTGTTAACCACACAAATCGTGTGGGTGCTCAACCTAGAAGCCGAGATGAGTAAACAGCCAGTTAGCTGCCCAAATGCCGAACTACGATGGACCTCCCTAGACGCTATGCTGGGACCCAAGGCCTCGGCTCAATATCAGCTCAGAACTTATACTGAAATCTCAATTGACGGAACTCTAAATTGAGGACGAAAACAAAACAAAAGACAATGGAACATCCCGCACATCCAGGGCTGCCCGCATTTCACGTGCCTATATGTCTCTCTCGGCCGACAAGCAGATGCCGCAGACTACCGGTACCTAGCTTCAATCACACGCACAAGGGAGACAAGACGCGGGGATGATGGGAGTAAATTGCTAGTCGGGATCTCGGAGAAGCACAACCCCTGACAAGCCCGCGTCAGGCCCGCGCGCCCAGGTCCCACGTCCACTCTAAACTCCCCCAGGTGGTGCTGGGTTGGGGTCGCAGTTGATTGCGCGGGTGCGTTGCCGTTGCGCGGGCTTCGCTGCGTCTGCGTTGCGTTGCGTTGCGTGACCGGCGGCCGAGGCAAACACAATTTACCGGAAATCGCCCACACCTTCCGATGCTGCTAACATCGGCGCGAACCCCCCCAGTGCCCTTCCCAAGGGCCCAATTTAGAGACAGCTGATTGCCGGTACCGAAATACCTTTGCATCATTGCCAGCACCCGCCATCGCCGCCGCTACTTTCTTGCTGCCCACCAGATCCCTTCTTTCTCTTTGGACGACGAAGGGAAAGAGTCCCATGGCGAAGCTCTCACATAATGCATGTCAGCGTGCTGGATCTCTAACTCTCTCCTTTTCCCAGCACCTGTTGTTTCCCCGTTCCGTTTTAGTTCCGGCTGCCAAGGTACCTCGCTCTACCGGCACATCCAGGTGATTTGCGGAACTAGGTTATCTGAGTTGCTGTCTTCGCCTGGTGTTGTTGAGCCGAACCCAACCCCGACGCCAGAACACCTCGGATATACCCCCATAAACGAACGCGTCTTCCCTCCCTTTGCAACTAATCACATCGGTTCGGTCGCCTTTGAGAAACAGCCTTCTAGATGGCTGACTCCGTGGGTGAGTGCAAGCAAAACCTTACTATGCCTCCGTTGTGGAGAGAGCAATAGCCCGGCTAATTATGCGATTATGCCTTCTGTCTATAGATCGCGTGTTCGTCCATGCCTTAAATACCGTCAAGAAAATCCCCAAAACGGGGGCATCGCGGCCCCCGCCGTCCGACAGACTGCGACTCTATGGCCTTTACAAGCAAGCGATGGAGGGGGATGTCGATGGCGTCATGGAGCGGCCGACCTCGGCTTCCGGCATGCCAGCCGACGAGCTTCAACGCGAGAAAGACAAGTGGGATGCGTGGAACCTCCAGAAAGGTCTGAGTCGGACGGAAGCGAAGAGAAGATATATCGAGGCGCTGATCGAGACGATGCACAAATATGCGACAACACCGTAAGCCTATATGCCCACCCTACTGTCACTGGAACCGCCTTTTGCGCATCGCAGCCCACTGACTCGTCACCACAGAGACGCAAAGGAACTTGTCTCGGAACTCGAGTTCGTATGGAATCAGATCAAGAACAACAGCCCCAGCTCGACCGACTCTTCACCGAAAGGCACAGGTTACACCGGCGAATTACGGCAGTTCCAGCCACCCCTGACCGGATCCGAAGGCCCCCTGAAGGTTCTCAGCCCCATGAGCGAGGACGATGCCGCAGAAAGACATTCGGACGGAAGGATAGGCTACGACGATGCCGATGAAGGGGACGCGCTTGTGCCGAGTAGCAACTGGTCTCGGAGTGTGGAGCGCGCGCTTGAGAAGCTGTCCGCCGAGGTCGCAGCATTACGGGAGCAAATAGCAACAGGAAGAGAGTGGAAGTCCAAAAAGTCAAGAAGCTTCCCAGCCTGGCTACGATGGTTTACATGGATTGTCATGAAACATCTAGCTATCGATATGGTGCTGCTAGCCTTCATCCTACTGTGGATGCGCAAGCGGAAGGATCGGCGACTGGAAGACTTGGTTCGGGCAGGGGCGAAGTTGATGCGGGAGTACGTGAGGAACGTCTTACCAGCCAGATGACAACTCTCTCGCAGGCGGTAAGAGAGGGCGAAGCTTTCAGGACCACCGAGACAGCATTGGCTCGATCAACAACACTGCTGTTCGCTGATTGTAGCGACATCAGTCTGTTGAGCGTCTTCTCTGCCCTTCGCTCCCCAAGCTTCGGGGCTTCTTCGAAAGTAATGACGCTTCCAAGTCAGTCTGGGAGTATCGGCATATGCTCTCATGACGGGCCGAATTTTGGCACCCCTTTGATTTGAACATGGGGACTGGCCTTACTAAGGGAACAGTCTGGACGGCGACGATAAAGAACTATCCCTTGAAGATGGACAGTCAAACCAGGATAACCCCCAAATGATATCTCAAAGAAAGCCGTCACATGAGAAAGCAACCGCACATCCTGAGCCGAATGCAGCAGTTGGCCGAGTCTTCAGGCTAACGAGGCCGGAACCGATTGTACTGAACAATCCGTTCAAGGGATGTCCAGAGCTAGGACCGGCTTGATCATACAAATGTGATATCCTATACCAAATAGTTGTAAATACAAAAACTTAGCGTTGCACTCTCATACCTCACCGCACTGACCTTAGACTTGAGTAGAACCATTTACTGAGTGCGCCGGTGGATTTGAGAAACTTCAACATCCTACCTTGCCAAAAAAAAAAAAAAAAAAAAAAAAGCGAGAAAGAAGCAACGCGAACAGAGAGTCTCTGCAGCGAAACTTGATTATATCTTGTTGTGCGTGACGATTGAGATTCCAGTCAATTGCTGAGGCATCAGGACCGGGGTGTAAGTTTGGAGCCACCTTGAAACTGCGATCACAGGCGTGGGACCTCAACTTACCTTTACAGTCTTATTCCCACCTTCCCAAGAAGCTCAACCTCAATCTTTCGTCCTCCACCTACCTCATCATTTTACTCAATTCGGCGATCAGGTCACAACACTGCGAACTCAACCTGGAATGCAGTCAACGCCAAGCTGGATACTCAGGATTCTATAACGGCGGAGGATTCATCGGCAAGATGCGAGAGACAACAAGTGATCAGTCGACGAGACCTGGGAAGGCAGGGGCCGCTGGCGATTATACCGAAGAGGAGGAGGAGGACATCCCACAAGCCGTGCCGGCCCTAGCGATGTTCGTTCCCTTAGAAGAGAGCTTCTTCGATCCCTTCGATGCTCCAGGTACCGAGATTGAGCGCATCAAGCTCGGCCAAGAGAACCTCGAAAAACACACAGCCGCCGTCGAGCAGAACCTTGTCTTTGTCTATGAGCGAGAGCACAGGCGCATCTTGAACGTGGCGAAACAAGAGGAAGCGGAAAAGGGCTTCATTGAGACGCCCGCGGGTCTCATGCAGGGCGAGGAAGCACTCATCATGGAATCAGTCCACGCCCCGATACCGCCCGGCGCCGATTACAGCGACCGGCACCTGTCTACATACAAGCCTCCCGAGGCGCCGCAACAGGTGATGCCTCCAAGACCGTCGGCACTTCAATGGTCACTCTACAATGCTGGCCAGGCCGTGGGTCAACTGAACGGATACGCTGGCCACGCCCAAGAGCTCAAAGAAGCGTATCAGGAGATGTTGAACGATGCACTCAAGGCATCGCCTGACAATAAGGGACAGGGAGATGAGCCTGCTCGAAGCTAGAAGCGACGAAAGGTAACTTAAGTCGCAACCAGTGGGAGTGTCTGAAGAAGACAAGAAGAACTCGGGGTAGCAGGCGCTAGACCACCACAGACATGAGGATGTCCAACCGGTAAAATCGCCGCCATTGGGAAGCTTCCGGCGTATGAAGGCGATGAGTCCGGCAGGCGTTTCGTGTACATAAGCAGTGTACATACACATCACGAGATATCAGTAAAAACGCACGTACTATCTACATCTAAGTCTCGTCGTCACCATGATATGTAACGACCGGCGGTAAGAGGCAGCGGTCATTGAAGAAATCTCCCATGCTTCCATAAACGGCGTCAAAAAGCTTCATCTAGGTACACTAGATAGAGGAAGGCTCGATTAAGCATTCTTGCGAAGCTCAAGCTCACCTACGATAAGTGTCCATACAATTTAAAGTGAAGAGGAAAAGGAGAAACAAACGCTCTGCGACGAAATTTTCCGCAGACTAAATGGTGCTCAGCGGAGTTTCTTGCTGCCTCAGGCGACAAGTAAGCTCCCGGGATGGTCGACCAATCACGGTTGATGTAAATTAATCGCGATTTACGCACTAGCGCCACCAAATCCCCATGGTCCGGGACAGAAGAGCAGTTCCCTCCCGACGTCAACGATTGAATATCAATCCGCCTCTCACCCAAACGCCCTCCCCCGTTTCGTCAGACTCTCAATCCGTCAAGGCGACACGATGCTGCGGCATTCATTAGCACGTTCGGCTTGGCGGACTGGCAAGCAGGCCGCCAATGCCTCGCGAACTTTTGCTACAACAGCTCGCAGGAATGTCGAAGTCGAACTGACTGTTGGTAAGGACGAACCCGCCCTTGTGAGGGGCTCAATTGGTTTCTGGGTTACTGACAAGATCTATAGACGGAAAGAAGGTTTCGGTCGAAGGTGAGCTGCAATGTGACCGCATCCGAGGATTCCTACTCACGATCTTCTAGCCGGCTCCGCCCTGATTCAAGCTTGCGAAAAGGCAGGCGTCACAATTCCCAGGTTGGTTCAGCCGTCGATAAACAAACTGTATGGCATTAACTAACTCTTGAACAGATATTGTTACCATGAGTACGACGCCCTTTTCGATCGATTCGATGACCGCTACGAGGAATGACCCCCGACTGACAAATACAACAGGAAGCTTGCGATTGCCGGTAACTGCCGTATGTGCTTGGTCGAAGTCGAGCGTGCACCAAAGCCCGTAGCCTCCTGCGCATGGCCCGTCCAGCCCGGTATGGTCGTCAAGACCAACTCTCCTATCACACACAAGGCCCGCGAGGGTGTCATGGAGTTCCTCCTCGCCAACCATCCTTTGGACTGCCCTATCTGCGACCAGGGTGGTGAGTGCGATCTCCAGGACCAGTCGATGCGATACGGTGGCGACCGTGGCCGCTTCCACGAGATTGGCGGCAAACGTGCCGTCGAAGACAAGAACATCGGCCCTCTCATCAAGACTTCCATGAACAGATGTATCCACTGCACGAGATGTGTGCGTTTCTCCAACGATATTGCCGGTGCCCCCGAGATGGGCTCTTTCGGCCGTGGCAACGACATCCAGATCGGTACCTACCTTGAGAAGAACCTCGACTCCGAACTTTCCGGCAACGTTATCGACCTGTGCCCCGTTGGTGCCCTCACCTCGAAGCCTTACGCTTTCCGCGCGAGACCTTGGGAGCTGAAGCACTCCGAGTCCATCGATGTCCTCGATGGCTTGGGATCCAACATCCGCGTCGACTCCCGTGGCCTCGAGGTCATGCGTATCCTTCCCCGACTCAATGACGACGTTAACGAAGAGTGGATTAACGACAAGACTCGCTTCGCCTGCGACGGATTGAAGACCCAGAGATTGACCATGCCTTTGATCCGCCGTGAGGGCAAGTTTGAGCCCGCCGACTGGGAGCAGGCCCTCATGGAGGTTGCCAACGCCTACCACCACATGCAGCCCAAGGGCAACGAATTCAAGGTCATCGCCGGTGAGCTGACCGAGGTCGAGTCCCTGGTTGCCATGAAGGATCTGGCCAACAAGCTCGGCTCCGAGAACTTGGCCCTCGACATGCCCAACGGAAGCAAGCCGGTCGCCCACGGCGTCGACGTTCGCTCCAACTACTTGTTCAACTCCAGAATCTACGGTATCGAAGAGGCTGATGCCATCCTCATCGTCGGCAGCAACCCCCGCCACGAGGCCGCTGTCCTCAACGCTCGTATCCGCAAGCAATGGCTTCGTTCTGACCTCGAGATCGGTGTCGTCGGCGAGTCCTGGGACTCAACTTTCGAGTTTGAGCACCTTGGTCTCGACCACGCCGCCCTGAAGCAGGCTCTTGCCGGACCCTTCGGCAAGAAGCTCCAGGCTGCCAAGCGCCCCATGATCGTCGTTGGCTCTGGTGTTACTGACCACGTTGACGCCAAGGCCTTCTACGAGACCATTGGTGCCTTCGTCGACAAGAACGCCGCCAACTTTATCACCCCCGAGTGGAACGGCTACAACGTTCTCCAGAGAGCCGCTTCCCGCGCCGGTGCCTTTGAGGTCGGCTTCACCACCCCCTCCACCGAGGTTGCCGAGACCGCCCCCAAGTTCGTCTGGCTCCTTGGTGCCGACGAGATCTCCGAGAAGGACATCCCCAAGAACGCTTTCGTCGTCTACCAGGGTCACCACGGTGACCGCGGTGCCCAGATTGCCGACGTTGTTCTCCCCGGTGCCGCCTACACCGAGAAGGCCGGTACCTACATCAACACCGAGGGCCGTGTCCAGATGACCCGTGCCGCCACCTCCCTGCCTGGTGCCTCCCGTACCGACTGGAAGATCGCCCGTGCCATCAGCGAGTTCCTCGGCGCTCCTCTGCCTTACAACGACGTTGCCCAGCTTCGTGACAGAATGGCCGAGATCAGCCCGGCCCTGGCGGCCTACGATGTGGTTGAGCCCGTCGCTCTGCAGCAATTAAGCAAGGTTCAACTTGTTGACCAGAACAAGGGCACCAAGGCCAGCGGTACACCTTTGAAGAAGGTTATCGAAAACTTCTATTTCACAGACGTCATCTCAAGAAGGTATGCAGCTCAGAAGACGCCCTTGGCAGTATTGGTAGAAATATCTAACACGCACATCCAGTTCACCGACAATGGCTCGCTGCTCTGCAGCCAAGGCCAGTGGCAGCCCCAAGACCAACTTCATGGCACCAGGCATGGAGGAGGACAGGCCAATGGGCCAGATTGCGTACGGAGCATGAGGAACAGACTGTACGACTACGACCGTAGAGGGAGGAGGACGAAGATGAAGAAGAAAAGAGAGTTCCTTTGTTTGGGATGGATGCATTGCTTGTATATAATAGCACGCGCGGGTAGAGAGTGGCGGGTAGCTGAAGAAAGTAAATACCTTCATATCTATTGTGTCTCGTGATGCCGTTGTCCATGTTGCTGCTAGTCGTCCCGAAACCAGACTGGCGTTCAAATCAATGATGTTGTCAGCGTGAAGCCACCGAATCGATTGTTGTTTACGTGTTTTCAGCTCGAATCGCATAGCTACCTATGTAAGCGGGTGATAAGATGATTTGCTACTCTTGTACCCTTAGTTCCTATTCCCATTATTATACTTCTCACTATCTCTATTCCTACCTTATTCCCTTGACACTCTTCATTCTCTCTAAGTTTCTGTCATGATACGTTTGGAGAAGCTCCCGTTTTAATTTTCATTTCTATCATTATTACTATTCCCATGTCTGTTCTCCATACTCTCTGCTTTCTATATATTCCTCTAGCAATACGCTTTGAGAAGCGTGGTACGTAGTAGGAAGGGGATATTGTAGTAAACCTGAAAACGAAGGGGACACTGGCAAAACGTCGGATTGGACTTTCAACATGGATGGCAATCATCAGCGATTTGAAAACAGCGTCTCAATACCAATCTTTGGTTCCAGTTGGTTCCAGCGGAAGCAATTACAGGTCATGAGTAGGAATATATATATCTATGAGCTACAGCTGCATTGGATTGCCCTCTTCAACTTGGGCACATCTCCAACCCACCGCTCCTCCTCTGCCTTATCACCCTTGTACTCCTGACCATCCCAGCTCTCCTCAAAGGGATGTAACGCCATCTGCATGACCCTCCTCAACACATCCCTTTCGCCATCCTTCTCAACCCGCTTGATAATCTCGTCAAGCACCCAACCACGTGGCACAAAGTTGGGGTTCACAGCCTTCATAGCCTTCTCCCGCTCGGCATCCTGGCCGTCTTCGCCCCAGTCTTCGATGACGCGGGCGCGCCACTTGTCCAGCCAGTTCCCGACATCAGACCTGCCCTTGGCCTCGGTGCCGGCCGTCGCGCCTTCGGCGTGGAAGAACCGCGCAGCCGTCTCGCGGCGGGCGTCCTCGGTAGCAATATCCGATAGCTTGACGGAGCTGAGGCGTCGGAAGAAGTGGTTGAAGTCTAGCTCGTGGGTCTCCATTGTATCCAGCAGCCCACTGAACAGTTCATCAAAGTCGCTCTCCTTGAAGTTCTTGAGACCAACGCGCAGCGTCATGAGGCGCTTGTACTCAGCCATGAAAAGCGCCTTGTACTCCTCACCAACCTGCATGATAAGCTTCTCAGCCCGTCCGACAAGGACCTCGGACTCGCTCTCCTCGACGCCATCCTTGACGAACTTATCCTCATCCACGCCGGCTCCTGCGCCGATGAGCTCACCCAGAGCTTCGCCGAGACGAACCAGGTTCCACCAGATAATGGTCGGCTGGTTGCGGTAGCTGTACCGCAGGAGGTGATCGTCGTGGTTGGGCGTGTAGGCCGGGTCAAAGTTGTCCATGAACGCAAAGGGGCCGAAGTCGATGCTCAGGCCCGCGATGGAGGTGTTGTCCGTGTTCAGCACGCCGTTCATGAAGCCGTAGGCCTGCCATTTGGCGACCGTGAGGGCGTTGCGGCGGGCGACTTCGCGGAAGAGCCGGGTGAAGCGGTTCTCAGCTCCGTCGTCTGGGCCCTGGATTTCTGTTGCCGGGACGCCGCGCGCGGGCTCGTGGAGGGAAGAGTCGGCGGGTTTCTCGGGGTTCTCGAGGCGGGCGGGGAGCTTCTCCCAACCACCGAGGACATCTTCGGCAACGTAGGTTGCCAAAGTACGGAGCATGGCGCGGTCTCCTCTGGCACGGGGGAGATCAAAGTTTCCCAACCGAATCCAGGATTGCGCGAAGCGCAACACAATCGCACCCGGCTCGACCGTCTCTCTCCTGACCTTGACGTTGGGCAACAGCGTCAGAGACAGCGCGCGCGTGCTAGGGATACCGAGGGCGTGGAGGGCCTCGGAGACGACAAACTCGCGGATACTCGACCTCAGCACCGCCTTGCCGTCTGCAAACCGCGAGTAAGGGGTGATACCCGCGCCCTTGAGCTGCAGCTCGTACCGGGTCTTGGTCTCGGGGTTCTTCGTCTCAAACAGCGAGATAGCCCTCCCGTCACCCAGCTGGCCAGCCCATTGCCCGAACTGGAAGCCGCCGTAGCACTGCGCCCAGGGGTACCCGCCCTCGAGCTTCTCCTCGTCCCAGCCGTGTAACCTGTTCCCCGCAACGGTCTGCTTGAAGTCCTCTGTTTCCTCGTCGCCTTTTTTGATGCCGATATCGCGCATCGCGGCCGGGCTCACGGCGAGGAGCTCCGGGTTCTCGGTGGTTTCGGGGCGGACCCAGGTGAAGGCTGCGTTGCGGACGCCGCGCGGGGCGATTTGGTCGCGCGGGGTCTTGTGGGAGTCGGCTGGCGTCGGGAAGATTGCGTCGGGCGGGAGGGAGGAGGTATAAGTCCATGTCTTCGGGAGCTCGCCTATCGGGAGGCCTTGGTAGGATGTCTTTGTTGGCTTTGCGCCTGCGCCGGCGCTGTTGGAGAGTTGGGCGGCCATGATGGCGGGGGGGGTGATGATAGCTCTTGGGACGGCTCGGCGGGAGAGCAGTCTCGAGAGCATATATGCGGATTTGAGGTTCACTTCAGTGTGAGGTGCAATACAGAGTCAACAAATCTATTCACACGAAGAGAATGGGGGTATCATATGCAAGTGTACATGAGAAGTGATTAGGGAAAACGTGGTGGAGGGGTCATTCGGTAATGATGATCCGTAGTGTAAGTCAGCATCACTGAGTCGGCGATGAGGGACTCTCGGAGCTTCAGTGGCGATGCCCCAAAAAATCCACGCTGACTAAACCAAAGATGCGCACCTGGATAGAAAGAACCTCGGCGTCCACATTGACGGTCGCCGATGGCAACAACCACCGATCCCGGAGACAATTAATCATCCAGATATCAAATATCTAAAAATCTCGAACTTCAAACTTCGAAATCTCCTTCGGTCCCCGCTCCAAGATCCGAAGGGGTCCCAGGCTCATAGACCCTGAGGATAAGGTACCTTAAGTTCACGGTCCGAGTCCCGGCCGACGCTGCACCTCATGCCCAGGTGCATCACGCAACAGCTTCGACACTGTCGTCACCATTGGCGTCACCGCCGCACTGCGAGTGAGAACGCAGCCGCCCCCAAAATCCCTGCCGCCGTCCCGGGAATCCAGCACGCCCTGGCAGACAGCTCCGATTGGGACAAGTGGGGTGAGGAGAAGGAAGTTCCAGTTCCAGCCCACTGCAGCAGCAAGTTCCGAAAAAACGCCTCCCTTTGACACACCGGGAAAGAAGCTCAGTAGGTAAAAGCACGACTTTGAGTGATGTCAATTGGACGTCTCGGCTGTTGTTGGCCGATGCAGGCGGGGGAAGCATGTTTTTCCTGCAAGTTTGCTCTTACTGCATGTCATCGAAACACAACTCGATGGATGAGCTGAAAGCACCAGTGCCTTTTTGAGTGTCTCATCCTCGTCTCATCCCATCGTGCTGATTACACAACCATCACCCCTCACTTCATAGCTCCTCCCATCTGAAGATACCAGCAGAAGGCCGTGGGATTAGAAATACAAACCCCTGGCCTCGGCCCATCACTACCCGCCTGCTTCGAAGCTATCTTTTATCATCCCCTTCCATACACTGCCGTATGTTCTTGACGAGACGCTCATCAAGACTCTGCTCAACGCTGCGTCCTCGTCCCATATCGCCCCTCATCGCTTCTCAACATCTTCAAAAACGCACAATGAACTCGATCCTGTCCACCTTCACGCCCGATGCTTCGGGAACTCCTCCCAAGCAGGTGGAGTACATCCCATGGCTTACCCTCAACGATGGTAACAAGATCCCAATGGTGAGTCTAAATCTCCAAGTAAAAAGGACTTCCGTTCCTGCGGGAAGATCCACCCACTCGGCAATGCATGCCAGCGCCAGGCCCCAGGGTCATTCCAGCTCAATTTTAATCTTAATAACAAAACTGTCGCATCGCCGTCAGCTTACTCCAAGAAGACGTCTCATACTGACGTATCGGTAGCTCGGATATGGCCTGGGTACTGCCAACTACAAAGCTGGCGGGGCCAGCTTTGACGAGAAGATCGTCGACAACACCGTCATGGCGATCAAGGCCGGGTACCATCATCTCGATGGCGCTGAAGGTATGTGCAGCTTTCATTGATCACCCACCCTATCCATAGATCACCACATTTTAACAGAATTTCCCAGTATACGGAAACGAGGAAGAGTTTGGCGCAGCCATCAAAAAGGCCGGCGTGCCAAGGGAGAAGCTCTACGTCACCGCCAAAATCAGCGGGACCAAGAAGCAGGACACCGAAGAAGCCTTCACCACCACGCTGAAGAAGCTCGATCTCGAGTACGTGGATCTCTACCTCATCCACGCGCCCTTTTTTGCAGACTCGGACGAGGAGCTGCAGCAAAAGTGGGCGGATCTCGAGGCCATCCAGGCCAGCGGCCGCGCGAAGAGCATCGGACTCTCCAACTTTTTGCAGCCGCATATTGAGGCCATCTTGAAGACGGCCAAGGTCCCGCCTGCTATTAACCAGATCGAGTTCCACCCCCATCTGCAGCACGGCGATTTGCTGGAATTCCACCGCAAGAACGAGATTGCCGTGTCTGTTTATGCTCCTCTGACGCCCATCACTTCGAATATCGATTCACCCGTCAGAACTATCTGGGCCAACTTATCCAAGAAGTACGGCGTGGCCGACTCTGTCATCGGGCTTCGATGGTGCATCGACCAGGGTCTGATTGTCATCACCACTTCCTCCAAGGAGGAGAGACTGCAGAGCTACTTGAACCATATCCCCGCTATCAAGCTTACTCCCAAGGAGGTGAGCGATATTTCTGAGGCTGGCAAGACCAAGCACTTCCGCGGATTTTGGAAGGCTAAATTTGAGCCTGATGATACTCGATGAGTCTGACATTGGGGGCTTTTCCACCGCTCGCTGTGATCAAGAGAGGGCGTTTTAGTAGTGTTAGTCGTAATGAGTAATTATGAAAGTTGTTCGGACAAAAGTTTTTTAGCGATTCCTTTCCAACACTTGCAGAGTACAGCCGCGTGAAAAACACACAACAAGTCTAGTGTAATAAGCATTGTGTTTTATTTGCTTCCACCACTAACATCGCCTCACAGCTCATCGTCAGACTCGGTCTCGCTGCCGTCTGGTGGCGGCGGTGCCTTTGGCGCTGCCTTCTTTCTTGCAAAAGGCAAATCTCTCTTTGCAGGAGGCGCCTCCTTTTTCGTAGGCGCGGCAGCAGCCTTTGGCTTGGGCGGTGGTGATACTTGAGACCGTGTGTGCTTACTGGGCGCTGGTGCTGCCGGCTCTTCGTCGTCATCTTCACTCGCCGTCTCGTCCTCATCCTCAGTTGTGTCGCGCTGCTGGTCTGACAGGTCCGCAGCCTGTTCCTTGACTTCATCAACATCCATTTTGCCCTCACTTTCCTCTGACGAATCAGCATCTTCAACAGGCGCGGGAGCGGTCTTCCTCTTGCCCGGCCTCGACTTGGCGGCCGCATGGCCTCTTACCGCGGCCTGGGAGCTCTGCTGTACCTGCGCTAGCCTCTCCGGCTCGACGGATGCAGACGCGAGTAGCTTCTGCTGCTGGCGGATCTTGACCTTCTTCTCGTTGAGCAGGTCGCGGAACTTTTCGAGCAGTTCCGACTCGTCAGCCTCCTTGGCCGCGACTAGCTCGTCGAGTTGAGCTTTGAGCTCCCGCACAGAGTCTTCGAGCTTGCTTGCTTTCGCAGTCGTCGAAGCTAAAGCTTCCTTGGCCTCATTGGCTGTCTGCGCCGAGAGCGCACACCAGTCGAATAGCTCAATGAGCTCGCGTGGGCTGTGGCTCAATTCGATGGCGCCGAGCCGTTGCTAGATTCACCAGCCCGTCAGCCCAGCCCGGCCACCCACCCGGAAGGTAAAAAGGCTGGAACGAAAAAACTTACCGTAAACTCATTCCCCTTTTTTCGAATGGTCAGGGTGAGAACTGACTCGTTTTCCACAGAGGCAATTGCCTCAACGCCATCGGCCGGTTCTTGTTGCAAGACGGCAGTCAAAATAGCGACCCATTCTTCCTCAGACACTGGACTATTCTTGACGCGTAGTAATGCGACTTTATCGTGACGCACTATCAGGGAAACCCTACCATTAGCTTTTTCCAAAAATTTACGTATAATATGAGGTGGATGAGTTCGGTGCATGAAACAGGCGTCCGGCCAAGACCCCACTCTCCCGGGCCGCGGTGATCGTCGGCCAGGAAGGCGGGATGACGAGCGTTTGGAACTTGGAACTTGGAAACTCACGAGAAACGGCATATGGCTTCACGCCATCTGTTCCCACCAACTTGACATCTAGTGCCTTTGACCTGGTTGGCGTGGCCTGGACGATGACAAAAGCGCCTTCACTGTCTGACCGGGGAAATCGGAGAACGTGGCCGGATGCCATGACTAGGTGTCTCGACCGATGTACTCCGTAAACTCGACGAAAGAATCGGTTGCTTCCCCCCTTGCGTGCCACAGGAATGAGCTGAAGGTTCGATGTAAGTGGCAGTTGCAACCCCGGTGTAAGGCCCGAGAGTTGGTTCGGGCTGTCGTCGGAAACTTTCAGTCAGTGCGTAATTATTTGGTTCCAAGGGCTGGAATCTAAATTGCAACTACTTTGGCTCGAGGGGGGTTCCTGGTTGGATGGAGGTTGAGACAGAGCAGTCCGGGAGAGTGAGAGTGAGACTGAATTACCAGAGTTGGTAGTTTGTTGATTAAATACAGTGAATTGAGTGTTGCTTCATCTGAACCGTGAGGGTTCTCGACGGGTCTTGGGGTCGAAGGCGCTAGGCAACTATGGCGCTCAGACAAGGCAGCAAAAGGGGGGGACTGTGTAACGCCTCAGGCAGCCTTGGCCTTTTGGCCTTGGTATTGAGACGTAAGTTCGGGACGGGAAGGAGGTACGGAGGTCGTGGGAGGGCACGGAGAGCGGGAAAGTAAGGCAAGGCAGTCAGCAATTGTTTTGGTGCTTGTACTTCGTAAGGAAGGTGAGGTCAGGTGCTGTCAACAAATAAACAGGAAGCTACGGAGACGACGGCTTTGTGTTTGGACCTATTGCCTGTGGGATGAACCGGAAGAGAGAGCCCAGAGAGAAAGCGACGGTCAATATTACTTCGCTCTGGTAAACCATAGACTCCCGATAACTTCTTTTTTTGCCCTTGGTGGAAATCGATAGAAAAGGCAGCACTAGTTATAGCCTGATGCCTCCATTTTCTCCCTAAACTGCCAGCCTCTCGTTGCTGCAGTCGCCGTTGGCTGAGCTCACCTCCAGGGAGGTAGGTACCTTAGGCACAAGGCGACGGGTGGAAAGGGCTGTCGCGCCTCCAACGCGTCAGAATCGTGCAAGTGCAACCGTCCCCGCATGCATGTGCTCGTCGTCCAATCAATTCACCATCTGATGTCCCCGCTAATCACGTGGCTTACCCTGGGAAAATTTATGATTCACTGGAGAGCCCTGGACCCCCGGTCTGCACCCTCTCAAGTCTCCCACCTGTTCTTTCCCCGTCTGTTGTCCACCCCGAGCATGACTCTCTCTACGGAGTACCTCAAGTGTCCCGCAGAAAAAGAACGGACCCAGCTTGTCTAGATCGTCCCTCTCTCTTCCACTCTCTTACCGTCCCTGCCGGCCTTATTATTTACTCCCTTCTGTTGTCCCAGTACTCGGAGAGACTAAGAAAGACGATAGTGGATTGTCAATCAAGCTTAAGAAAAAAGAAGAAAAGAAGAGAGACCCGGAGCGAAAAGGGGGAAACGTTGAGAATCGTATAACACACACACCGGTCCCTGATACCCCCAATTCTGTCACCCTCGTGCCTGCGGAACACCTCACACGGGATACGTAGCTCAGTGGGTTTGCCCACACCTGCGCGCAATACCAGCCACC